TGTTAATTCTGAGATCCGTTCGCTAATCGAGGACTATCATCTCGGTTCCGTCATATTGACCGCTAAGAATTTGAAATGTGCAAACTCCCCTCCCCTATTTCCTTTCTTCCAACCCCGCATCTAACCAATATTTGTTCATTGTAATGTCTCTTAACAATACCACCACTCCCAGTACCCTTGGCCCTTTCGATATGTATCAATTTATCAGTTTCATTATCAGAGGACAAGGCATCATGATTGGACCATCCCAGCCACCTTCTCCATCATGGACGATGCCTTCGTTGAGCACTCTCATATTAACTAAAAATCGTTTTCAGAAGCTAATATTTAAATGTAGCGGCAGAAGAAACGACCAAGCTGGTGTATGAGCTACAATCCATCGCGCGGAATGCTGGCCATCCTGTGCCACTTATGATATGTCTCGACCAAGAAAATGGCGGTGTCAATAGTCTCTTCGATGAAATTTACATTCGCCAGTTCCCCAGCGCCATGGGGATGGCTGCGACTGGGTCGAAATCTCTCGCCAGAGAAGTTTCCAAGGCTACTGCTGAGGAACTTAGCGCAGTTGGTATAAATTGGATCCTGGGTCCCGTGCTAGATGCGTTGACGAATGCCAGAAACCAGCCTCTGGGTGTTCGAAGTGTAGGCGATGACCCCCAGGAGGTATCTGCCTATGGCATCGAGTTTATAAAAGGCTATCAAGATGCGGGCTTGGTAACTTGCGGAAAGCATTTTCCCTCGTATGGCAATTTAGATTATATGGGCTCCCAATCCGATGTTCCTATTATCACGGATTCGATTGAGCAACTCAGCGTGAGCGCGCTAGTTCCTTACAGGAGCGCAATCACTCATGGCATAGATTCCATGATGGTAGGAGGATGTGCAATGTCGTCTGCTGGGATGACCGTCATGCATGCCTGTTTGTCCGAGCAGGTTGTGGACGACCTCCTGCGAAAAGACCTGAAATTCGACGGCGTGGTCGTCTCAGAATGCCTGGAAATGGAGGCGCTCAGTTACAACATAGGGGTTCGCGGTGGGACAGTCATGGCCATGAAGGCGGGTTGTGACATCATCCTGTTATGTCGTTCTTTCTCTATTCAACAGGAAGCTATCAATGGGCTAAAGGTAGGGGTAGAGAATGGTATGATTAGTAAAAGCCGGATACGCGAATCGTTGCGAAGGGTCCTGGATATGAAGTCGCGATGCACGTCATGGGAAAAAGCATTGAATCCCCAAGGAATCAGCCTTCTTTCAAGAATGCAACCGTCACATACAAGTCTGTCCACCAAAGCATATAACAGTTCCCTCACCGTTGTCAGAGATAAACACAATTACCTTCCGTTAACGAGTATCCTGGAACCCGACGAAGAACTTCTTCTCCTCACACCTTTGGTCAAACCACTCCCTGCGTCTGCCACGTTATTATCGATTGTTACCGAAAACTCAAATCGACCATCACTCTCGACTGATGCCGTCTCATGGGAACGCAATGCTTCCGTGATGAGTGGCGAGAGCGTTTTCAGGGAGTTTGGGCGGTCATTGGCCCGACAGAGGAACGGGCGAGTTTTGCATACCTCCTACACGGCCAACGGTGTCCGGCCTGTCCATGAAAATTTAATCGATCGTGCAAGCGCAGTCATTATCGTCACTGCTGATGCAAATAGAAACCTCTACCAAAACGGTTTCACCAAGCATGTGTCCCTTATCTGCAACTCCCAATTTTCTCCCAGTGGAGAACGTCGCGCAAAACCTGTGGTTGTTGTAGCTGTCAGCTCGCCTTATGATTTTGCTACAGATCAGTCTATAGGGACCTATATTTGCACCTACGACTTCACAGAAACCGCCCTTCAAACTCTAGTCAAGATTCTATATGGAGAGCTGGTACCCACTGGCTCACTTCCCGGCTCTCTCAGCCGTAACCAGAGACTGCAACAATCAAGACAACACTGGTTGGTGGAGAATTGGAACGAAGACCGGGATACCCACGCTCTCGATAGTCTCCTCAATATTGTTAGAGAAGATGTTACTCAAGGCCAACGATCTGAACTTTTTAGCGTAACCACCTCCACTCTACTTCTACGCAACAACGACGTGGAAGAGTCTCACTTCGTAGTAAGAAACAGTAGCACTCATTCGCTCTATGGATTCTGCTCGACATATTACTTCAAATCCACCGGAACCGGTGTGATCGGCGCGCTTATTGTTGACCCTTCCCGCCGACGAATGTCCATTGGCCATTCACTTCATAACCGTGCAATCCGAACACTGATCCAACGTCCGGGCATCCGAAGCTTCCAGCTCGGCGCCAGATTACCCGGGATATATCTGGGAATCCCCACAGGCAACCCAGTGGAACGCAAGAGGCTTAGGCAGTGGTTCGCCAATCTGGGCTGGAACACAGCCCTCTCTCGCTCAGTGTGCAGCATGGTCCTGCGAAATCTCGAAAACTGGACGCCACCAGAGGGACTAACGAAAATCCTACAGAGCTCTGATGTGGATTATGATCTTGTTTATGGCTGGGAGTATGCAGACTCGGTTCTGGATCATGTCAAGACTACATCGCGCGTGGGGGTTATGGAGCTTTACAAGAGGGGGCTAAGCGGTGCGCCTGGAAGTGGTATTATTCGGGCTAAACGCCGTGAAGACGGAACGATACTGGGTAGTGTGTTAGTATATAATTCTACTTCGACACTGGCGGAGGCAATGCCCGCCCTTAGGGAAACTCACGCGATCTCCGGGGCGATCTCTTCGCCAGTGATATCCCCTTCAGTGGGGGAGTATGCCACGCTGGTGCAGGGATTAATATTACTGGGGATCAAGCAGATACGAAAGCAAGGGGCTAGTGCAGCAGTTCTTGATTGCGTACGTACATTTTGTTGCTCCTGTTTTACTCCTTGGCTCTCTCCATCTGTTAATTGCACCTTTTTCCATTATGCAACGAGAGCTTTTCCACCAATCCCCTCCTTCCCATCCATGTTTGGGCTTCGAAAATTTTATCCTGTGGCTAATCATGTCCCTTGACGCAAAATAAACAGGTTGACGGCGACGGAAATTATGATAGTCTCTCCTCCATGGGATTTTCTGTGCTGCACAGCTTCGATGAAGTCACCTGCGACGTTTCGAACTGGAATATGATGTCCGCTTCATGAGCGGGAGAGAGCACTTTACCTTCCCGACTCTATACCGAATAACTCATTAGCACGGACGCCACATTTCTTCTTCCCTGATAAATCTTCTCATCAGATAATTTTATTCGATCTTCCTTTTGCAGTTCCCTTAAACCCCTCTTCCCTCTTTTTTTTTTTTTTTTTTTTTTTTTTTTTGAGCGTTCTCAAAATATCACATCGGCTCTAAAATATGCTCGCCGCATTTTTCTTTCTTTTTTTTTCCTTTTGCTATTGAGCGTTCAAGTTTCTCATTATTTCAATGGATTTTTCTCACTTGCATATACGCTGTGTATATGTTGTGCTATGGCAAGTCTTGTGAATGTATTAAAATTTCCTCTTCCTCTACCAGTGCCCTCGAACCAACGACCTTCTGATCTATTCACCACCATTTATTTTTTCATCTCGGATCCTCACCTCCTGACCCGCTTCTGATCCACGTTCCATCTCACCTCATTCTCACATGAAATTAATGTCAATTCGATCGCCATGTTATTTTCCTGGTGGGTTTTATTTCCTTATTCCTCTGTATGGGCTACATAACCCGATTTCTTTCCCTTGATTTTCCATGTATTTATTTCATTGCCATCTTTCATTTTTCTTGGCACCTGTTTTCAGTGTGGCAGAGCCCTTTGGCCGTTGGGTTTGGGAATTTCTTTCTCAGGTCTTCTCTCTCTTCTCGGTCTTCTTTCATTGCTGTAAATACTATACCCAGTTGAAACCGGGTTATGAAGATTCTTGCTACTTTTTTTTAATATGGATAAAAGGAGATGGGTATCCACTTTTTAACGCCTTGATTAAATATATTAATCTTATTCACCGCTTTCTAGTTGGAAAGCATACCTCAGAAATGATAGAGCAGATGTTACCATTCCTGTGGTTTCTATAGATATGTTGAATATAAGAAGTATTTTATTCCCATTTCAACGATAATTATAATACGTGGTGCAAGTATCTAACAATGATACAAAATTTTGGCACCTACATTGAGCATGAACTGCCCCATTACGAATGTCAACTATCTCTTAAGGTTCCCACCCGCTGATATGACCAATTTAGTTAACCGTCCATAAATCATCACAATGTCAACTACGAATTCCGAACCAAAGAAATCGGGGCATCACTGCACCACCATGGACCAAAAACGCCAAAAGCCTAGTTCTAGCATGCTATGGGAGAAGCAGGCTGCGGCCCATGGATGGATGCATGCATGCATGCATTATAATCATCACTCTTCACTAGATATGCCCACCATATGCAATGAATCATTCCACAGCCTTGCCTGGTTTCGGGGCTGTAGAGGTGACTCGCACTAGCTGAACTCCAATCGTCACCATCATCCTCTCTCTCCGGGTTCCGCTTCAGAACAATCGGAAAGATACCTACCGCCTCTACCTTCCCGCTCCTTACCAATGGCGGCCCAAATGGTAGTGGCAGCACCCCTGCTCACGGCTTTTGATGAATTTCACTTGATCAGGGTTTTGAGATATACCCTCGAAATGTTCTGCGGAGAGGTGTTTCCCCAGCTGAGTGGGAACACCCCCGGGATGCAAGCTTGTTGCATGGAGACCTTGGCTCCCGAAGCGGACGTTCTATCTCATTGACCATATATATGTTTGCCGTTCTGGACGGCGCGTATGCCCGGAAGGGGGTGTACCCTCCTTATTGAAAATTATAATTATCGGGAGCGTTAATGCCGCCGACTCTTGTGTCCCGAAGACGACACTGTTTCCACACGAAACTGGAACTCTGGCGTGGTGGCACCAGATATCAGCGCAGGTTTCAGACAGTTGGAAGAGCAGAAAATGGGACAAATGGTTGATTGCAAGTTGAGATTCATAGCCGTCGGTTGTGAGCAGGAGATCCGGCAGGGGCCATTACGCCGGCGTTGTTGATGAGAATATTAACTTTGTCTGTCTTTTCCAATATTTCCATCGCTGCATTCCGGACGCTCTCTAGGGAAGCCTGATCCATCTGGACCAGGGTGCATCCTGTCTGGCTGAACTTCTTCCCTGAGGGGCGGTTTTGGCTTTTTCCAAGTCCCCGGCTGTTAGGTACAGCGTCGCCCCTGTTGCTGGGATTGCGCAAACGGTTTCGACGCCAATGCCAGAAGATACGCCAGTGATGACTACCCTCTTTCCTTCCAGTTTGTGCTCCATGCCCTCATCTTGGACGTGAAGTCAGGGATCTCTTGCGGGTTAGCGTGAGCTGCGGCGTATCGAGACATCTTCCAAAATATTTGGGAGAAAAAAGTAGCTAATCGAAAGACACTGCCTTAATGGCATAATCATTCGGGCAAAGCCTTATCTTCAAGCAAACTGAGGAAGGAATCTGGACCCTTTTATAGAGCTTCTGGGCTTCCTAGGATGTGAATATGCTGCCCATCGTAGACCAACGGGCGGGCTCCCTGTTTTCGGGTCGAACTTTACCCGGAAAATATATGGAAATGAAGTGCGATCCATTTATCTAACAGAAAAAGAGATGTTTAATAGATTTTACAAACATCTTTAAGGTCGGGGGGGTTAGTCGCTGAGGGAGGGGGTTCCCAACGACTCTGATACAATATTAACGGAAAGGTATTAGCAACACTCCAGGGGTGCTGGGGCCTGCCTGGATTATAACCACTTCTTTTCTACCTACTCCAGCAGAAATACATTTTAATGGGGTTTGCCAATACTTTTGCGGAGTGACTGTGGTATAACTATAGTTATCCATGGAGATGGGATACACCGTAAATTCCCAAAACGAACGGCCCAGAATAACAACCAAGAAACTGTGACAATCACCCAGCGGGAAATATTATTGGGACAAAGTTGGGAACTGTGCAGCATATATGTAGAGATATATTCAAGACAATAAACTCTGGGGACCATTCAACATGAAGTCCATTCTAATTAGGTGAAGTCAAGTGAATGATACTGTGATTCTCCAGCGTGGTAGTAGTAATAATAACAATAATAATAATAATCAGAGAAACAACATGGAATTTAAAAAAGGTTTAGTGACTGTGCTCAAGAATTTACGATAGAAGAAAATGAGATTTATGATTGTCTGTCGTTGACTCGGAACTAGTTGGGAATAGCTGCCAGATAGCAGATGCGGGACCACCGCACGGCGATTCATATATATTTACAACCACTACTGTATCGGTGTCTAATCTTATCACAGGCACTTGGAGGTTGTCCGGAGGAAATGATGAAAAGAGAGGTGAGATTACGCGTATGTATGTCCATGTATGTATGTACGTACGCACAGTCCAATCTTCAAACAGGTGAGAGATCATGGATAGAATGTACAGCCCATATTTTGTCCAAAACATATAATTTTTCAACACAATGGCAATAATAACTTTTTGCCATCCCCTATTTTTCAAATCGTCAGACAGTCATTCCCTTTTCTAGGATTTTCAGAGCGGAACTAACGGTTCTTGGGCGCAGTAACTGTAGTCAGTATCGAATTGACATTGAAGGAGAAGGCGAAGCATAGATCAATCAATGCTCACCACCCTGAGGGTATAGTTATGGCCCAGACGTTGAGATTAGAGAAGGGACATTAGGGACTCGAGTAAGTGACAAGCGATTCGAATGCACCGTTGCGTCAAGGACCCAAGGTGCATTAGGGCCCGTTAATAGTCGACGAGGAAGACAGCTGTGCGAGATGCCTGTGCCGTTGGCAGGTATGGTTCAAACGCTTCCCCTCCAATTTGGCCCTTGTTTTCGGATGTTCAACGGGAGACCTGTGCGCTAGAACGGATATGGGTCCGATATTCGGCCTGGGCCGTTAGAATGCTTCAAAAGGAGGAACTCCGGGCCGCAATGTTATTGCACTAAAACAGGTTTATCACCCAGGATTGATCACTTAAGATTCACAGATTCACTTCTCTCGTTGGAGCGGTAATGGATCCCTAACTGTATCAGGCGCTGAGTCAAATGGTGAAATTAACCTGATATTCCTACGCTAGCCTGGTTTATTGCAAAGGGGAGAATTCTCGCGTCCGAAAGGAAAAGGGAAAAAACACGTTAGACGGAAAAAACAACCCTTAAACTTACTTGTGCATACACGCGTATGTAAGTGCTTTAATAGACTCTCTTCTGTCCAGGACGGGTATTCAAAAGCCCAGGCCCCTGTAGCGTTTGAGCCATAGCGTCATAGAGCTTGGTATATTTGTCCCTTGCCAAATATTCTCAGGGCAAAGTGCTCTGCGCAGGCCACTGAATTAGCCGTATCTGAATCTCCGCAACCATTTCAATCGGCGCATTCAGCCCTTTTGCACTTGGGGCGTACGGTGCCCGAAAGCCAGCAAGCCAACATACAATCAGCCAAAAGAGCCAGAAAGGCTAGTGTTGAGACATGCTATGCGCCCGCCGAGTCTACTCGTATCACGATTTTTGTGTATTTTAAGAGCCTAAATCAACATTAGAACCGTTGGAATGCAAGTGAGAGTCTGTGGTAGAAATCAGACGTCCAGTGCCTTCACAGTAACTACCATTCAGACAAGGCGAAAGACGAAGCAGTCAAACCCCAGAAAGGCTGTGGCAGTAGATGCTATCCAGAAATCGGAGGTATCAGAACAGGCATACAAAACCGTCACTGACCGAATAGAACAACAAAAGCGTTGAAAATGCACGAAGCGAAAGATGCATATCCGGCAATTGATGATTGCATCACAATAGACTTGACACACTTTCACAGGCAGTATCTGCACGAAGATGGGGAAAGATGAGGACGAAGTGACTGCCTAGGAGGCACAATCTGGCTACCGTGGTTGAGTGATTTGACGAAGTTTAAAAAGACATCAAAGCAAAACAAGGTCGGTTGTGGGGAGGATGATCCAATCGATATTTTACCCTCCCCAGACGCTAAAGAGATCTTCTGAAGATATTGTTATTCCCCCAACTTTCAGCTAGCCTTCACTACGTTTCAGGCTCAAGCCCACGAAACACAGTAAGGCTTTTAGTTAAGTCTTGAGTATGGGGTTAACTAAATTACAGATTACCCCACTGTCAAGTTCTCAACATTGTTTTAGCAACATCAAAATCCTCGGGGGGAGGGCCCTGGACCAACACAGGGGCTTATATTATTGAACAAGCACATCCGGGACCCGGCGCCCTCTCGTGCAAAAGCTGCAAATAAAAGAGGCACAAGCTGGTAAAACTGAGGTCAGGTTCCTTGGGAGGACCACCAGCTTCTCTCGAATCCTTGGTGCATGGGGTGGGTTCCCCGGAACAAGCGGATTTCGGGTTTTTCAATCTCCGCATCTCAATCAGAAGCCGGGAAAACTGGTTTCGTGGAACTTCCTCCTGCTTTCATATGGGCGCTCGTATATTTATAAAAACTTATCCCTATTATTGAGCAGTACGCTGCACAACATATAAAACCACGGTCATAATCCATGTTGCCCCCGTATTCGCTTGATCAAAAATGCGATTTGATCTCCAGATCCTCCCGCCTCATTCCATGAGAACATTCTAGAAGAGGACGAAGAAATAAAATAAAAAGTAATAAAAATAAAAAAAAAAAAAAAAAAAAAAAACCATAACAGTCTTGTGGAGACGACGATGGCGGGCTAAAACTCCCCGTTCCCCATTCTCCCTTGCCGAGCATAGCCGGTCCATGCAGGTGCTGGTCAGACTCACTGGTCATGCGTCCGATTCTGTTTAGATATGGCCTTTATGGGGGATGGGGGGATGCCCTGGGGTGGATTAACCGGGTGTCTGCTGCAAAACGATATGGCGGGTTGTGGCATTTTTTTTGTATGCGGTAACTAACTATTAGTTAACTAACTAGTTAGTTAGTTAACTTACATGGTTAGAATTGAGTTAGAAGGAAATGCGCAACCTGGACTAAGCCCGTGGAAGACTTCACCGCGGCGCAGATAAACGAGGCAAAAGAAACAAATAGTTAGTTATCCTCTTCTATCTGTTGTAGATTATAGATTGTTAAAGAAGACATTAAGATGCCGCTCCGCCGTGACTAGCAGATTGCGTAAGCCAAGCAGCTTCCCGAGCCTGCGTCCTTTTTTAACTCCGGGGACACACACTGCAGGTTCGAATCATAATAATTATGATTTGTTTTTTAAAGTTCCAGCTCCTTTTCATCTTAACTACCTTTTGGAATTCTGAATTTACCCTTTTCCAATCTATGCGTCGAATCCGCTTCATGGATCATGCCATCTCCCATTTGACATGTGTTCAGGGTCTGTACCTCATCCAATGACGAGCACTATCCCGAACTACCCTATCTAAGCGAGATAAGGCACGATGGAATCGCATCGCATTGAATCGTCTTCACTTCTCCTGTCATCTTCGCAGTGTGGCTACCTGCGAGTGTCGTGGGTTTTATTTTATTTTTATTTTTATTTTTTATTTTTATTTTTTTTTGGGGGGGGATTTGCGCTATTAACTATCACCTTCGTTTTCGCTTTCATTTTCATTTTCAGGTAGGTAATGAGGAGGAGGCAGGTCTCTGCCTCGCTTAACGAAGAGGGGGAAAAGTAGGCCATACATGGATGATGGCATGTCTCTGTTGGTCCTTGCCGTTGATCGATGTGCATTTTGTTTCTCTCCGACTGTACCCTTCAGATACAAAGTCAGTACGCACATATACCATCCATCTTGGATCTTGGACATCACCAACTAGACGTCAGTTAGCCGTTTCGTTACCGCTAGCAGCTGGTAATTCTCCATTAGTGCTCGACGAACTCCCATTCAAGGGAAGATTGATTAATGCTGTCCAGAAGGAAGCCAAGAGAGAAAAGAATATTGTTCCTGCATCTATATTTACGCCCTTCCTTAACGGCCGTGATATTATAACTAATACCATTTGAGTTTCAACCGTTGTCTTAGACAAAACAGGTGAAAGCAGCATAGGATCTTCCCCCCCCCCCCCCCCCCCCCTTCCCGAGAAATTCACTTATTATTATTAGCAAACTGTTATGGAATCCGAGAGAAAAACTTCCGTGACCGAGATTTGATTATTTTTCTACCAGGGTTATTATTTTGGTTTCTTGTTTTGCTGACCTTTGAACCACCCCTCTAATCTTGCGCTGATTGTCAGGCGGTGTCTTCTCCAAATGATTGGGTCGGAGGAGTATTGATCAGCTCCTGTCAAAGAAGAGCCTTTACCGCTAGGTAGGTGGCCAAGTGGGGATTTCAGGATTCCAAAGAGGAACAAAGCGGAGAGGCAGTGATTGCCGACAGTAAGCATCCAATAATCTGATGAGCTGCGGATGCCGTATCTTGACCAAGAGAAACTTATTGAGGGTATTTTCTTGGGATTACTTGCTGGCCCTGTGTGTGACATTATCCAGCACATCAGAGGCGTACGACAAAAGGGACATTGCAATTAATTTTTGATTCTCGTTTGTGAGTTGCTCAGACTGTTCTCGAAGAATCACTTATTTCGGACATCTTCTCTGGGAAAGGGGGTGTTAGCAGTGTATTTAGTAACAATATGTTAAACCAGCAGGGTTCCTCTGCAGCCATGGTTGAGTCTTGGGAGAATCTCTCAAAGCCTAACGTTTTTCACCATGGAAATGGTAAATGCCAATAATAAATACAAGTCGAGCATGCATTGTGCTGATGTTTGGCCACAAATTGGATGTGGCGTTCAAGAAAATATTAGGTATTGATAGGAAGGATTTCTCAAGGTCAGCTAACCCATGTAGTTACGGGCGAAGTCCAAGGCGCAATGAGAGAGCATTTATCAGAAAGGCAGATGAGACGCCGAAAAGGACTCGAGATCAATTTCTCTCATATAGTTAACTCACTAACAGAAGACAAAGATATTCTTGTCCCCCCCCCTTTTTTTTGATGGATTTCCCCTCCTGGAGAGTTGTTACCTCCCATGTGTTGTTCATTTTGGTCGATTCTATTCTAATCCAGGCCTGAGGCGAGACTTGAGACGAGGCAATGAGCCTGGATTTTGGGCTACCAAGAAACTCCTGACCACGTGTTGTGACGAAACTTTGAGTTCCAGATTTGCAGCGATACGATTACGCGTGAACCGTGGTTCCGTTGATCAAGTTTTCTTGGAATAACTTAATCGAAGAGCGATCCGCAATAATCAAGGTTTGGGCGTTCAGATCTCGACATCTCGTTGGTTTCAAGTTTTCTGAGGAGGTTCTAGCATGGAACAATCTAGGCGTTCAGTTGAACGTGGTATTAAAAAAGTTGAATCAACCGTGACGTTCTTCCCCCCCCCCCCCCCCCCCAATTAAAACTTCATGCACTAGCATACCCTCACACATATCTCACACACTTAATTACCCTTCGCCAACCCTAATCCTAACGTTCCCTTAACTTAACCTTTGTTGTTGAGGTGGTGAGGCGGAATAACTAGCGATCGTTTAGTAGAACGTTGTGATGGATTTGTTGCAAAGCGGGCCCCAACTTTTAAACCACGCTCAAATTGTTCCCTGTACAATCTCGTGTCCGCTGGGTGTTTTTCTCTTTCTGCTCTTTTGCTTGCTGAACGGGCCCGTTCCGGGTGATTCATAGAGCTGGTATGAAGTTAGATGTTGAACTGCCGGGGAATGAGCGGGAAGGGTCCACAAATGGCCCCAAGCTAAATATTAAAGGGGCCATATGCTCAACGATACCGGGGTGGATGTACTGTAAGCATGCACATGCATTCATACATGTCTGGGGAAGAATACCTGCAAGGTAACTATGTTTTGTCCGGCATAGCCAGCTGACCTTGCCTCCAGAAGCGGTGTATGCAACCCGCGTACTTCAATCCCAGGGGATGAAATTGAGATGCAGAGAGAGCATTGGCCTGAGCAGATGTAATTCCGGGTGTAGCAATTGTGATGATGCCAGATAATTGATAATAAGGCCCTTTTCTTGTAGGATATAAACGAAGGCTTTCTTAACTCAAATTGTAGCGATGCTGATAGGGACATCGGATAAACCAGAGAATGTTGCATGCATCAGACTCCGAGCGAGGAGTAAGACATTTGTTCCCCCACTGTCTGATCCGGCTGAAAGAGATCAAGAGCTTGTGACTTAAAAACCTCTCAGCCGACTCTGGAATGACGGAAGGATGGGGAATTGCCCTGTTGTGTATCAGTCTTCGTTTTGCACTTGAAGAGGGGGGGGGGGGGTTCGCTCAGAGAGCTGAAGAGGCGAAAACACATGCAGACCTTAATTATTTCGTTATGATTTCATAATAAACTTGTATCCTCACCCATATCTCGCCTCCCATATCTCCGATTTAAGCATCTTGGTTCGGGCGGCTCTTGGTTCCCTTCGCTACCAGCTCTCATTGTTCTAAACAGAGTAGTTGGTTATATGAATGTTATTTTTATCACCACCATCACCAACTATAACAACCCACCGAAAGCAAGCGAACAGAGACCATTACAAAATAAAAAGAACCCTATATAACCCCGGACTTACAAGTTTCCCCTGTGCTGTTTGTTCCCTTGCCCCTTGTTCCTGCGAGTTGGATCACCCAAGTTCCCAAGTTCCCAAGTTCTCAGGTTCTCAGGTTCTCAGGTTCTCAGGTTCTCAGGTTCTCAGGTTCTCAGGTTCTCAGGTTCTCAGGTTCTCAGGTTCTCAGGTTCTCAGGTTCTCAGGTTCTCAGGTTCTCAGGTCCTCAAGTTCTCAAGTTCCCAAATTCTCAAGTTCTCAAGTTCTCCAAGTTCCCTGACTCCAGAATCTCCCCGCGCATTTTCTTCCCCACGCCACTTTTAGTGGTTAACTAGTTATTTTAGCTTAACGTTAACTAGTTGAGAATTACTGGTTGCTGGTTTGCTAGACTTCCGATTGCTTGGGAGGATTGTTTAACTTAACCAACCTCCGCCCACAAGTCCGTCTATATACTTGTCTCCACCCACCTCCTCGCTTCATCTCCTCGCTTCATCTCCTCAAACCCACTCCGCATTCTCCATCCCCATCAACGCCGTTCACCCAAACACCAAAACCGGCTCTGTTTCTAGTCGCACAGCCCAAAACATCCCATCTATCGATTAACTAATCTGTTTGATTCGCTGGATGACGGAGAACCAACACTCTTTTCTCTGCTCCTCGCCTGTTTCTATTACTCCTGCCTTCCCTTTGTCCTCCCTATACCTCCCCTGGTCATACTTCGCCTCACTTCTCGGCTAAATATCCACCTTCACTGCGGGGTTTGCATCTTCACATCCGCGCAATATCTATCTATCTAGCAAACGCTCGAATTCACTTCTGCTAGTTTGTGACCTGCGCGCTTCTTTTTCATCCCGTCTGCCCGCCTCTTATCTCTTCCCCTTTCCCCCTTTTTGTCTGCCTCTTTTGCACCCATGGAGAGTTTCGACACCATGGCCGCCATGCCTTATCTAGGCAGCCCGTTATCCATTGCCAATATACAAAATACGGACTATCTCAATGCGATGCCCTCCCTGGAGATTCCAGAGTCCCATTCAACTTACGAAAATGATGCGTTTGTTAGGTATGCCGCACTGTACACTTCGGATCATACCCTCTTCCCATCCCTGCCTCTCTGCGGACTAACAACTCCACTCTCTTTGATAGCGGCGACGATATGGGGTTTTCGCAACCTCAAATGCCAGCTCACCCTATGCGACGCTTTTCCAGTAATCACTTTGACGACCCTTTCCCAGAAATGATGCCTCCGTATGAAGTGCTTCCGTCCGACCAGCAGCCGCAACAGGATGCCTCCATCAACCACAACCACAAACTGCTCAGCTTTTCCATACCCATGTACAACTTCACCCTGTTAGATTACTCACTGCGACGAATCTCAATCTCTATGGCTGCGCAGCTGCATGGCATGTTCTTCCTGGCCGAATCGCCTTGGACTTCTTCACCAATTACCAAACCTAATGGGCCACCCCCAATGGCTGAATTAACATGTTACAGACGAAACCTCTTCCAGGTTACAGGCTCAGTGACGATGCCTCGGTCAATGAGATATATCATGACAGACCAAGGCGATCGCATTCCTATTCTTGCGCAGGAACTCACTGTGTCCGCAACAGAGTCGGTTGAGGGTAACCCCGTTAAGATCATTTCTGTTCCATGGAAAACACCCGCGGCCAACGCAGCTGGCCAGCCGGAGGACAAGACAGAAAAGGAGCCCCCTTCTATTCCTTTGGATATTATGGCAGGTCAAGATATAGATTCGGAATATGCTACGTTCTCAATTGCCTGGAAACGCCTGCAGTTCCGTATTGCTACTGCGAATAATGGAAGGAGGAAGGAGTTACAGCAGCACTTCGTCGTGAGACTGAAGATTGTCGCGACGTTATCCACTGGTGCTAAAATCCCCATCTGCGAAGCCCATTCCGGACCCGTAATCGTGCGTGGTCGTAGTCCAAGGAATTTCCAATCGCGAAAGGATCTACCACTTAGCGGCAGTGCTGCATCTTCAAGAAAACACGTCCAGGCAAATGCTAACCGAACCGCAACAAGTGAGACTGCTTCCTCCCAACTGGGAACAACGAAACGCAGCAAGTCTCCCCAGGACCAGGATAAGAAACCGCAGCTACCATCGCCAACGTATGCGGACTGGTCGCAGACAATACCCAGCAATTCTGCAGCTCTCCCAACCCCAACTTTTTCAAACACCACGATAAATGACACGGCTTTGCCATATGCTCAATCCAGTCCAGAAGCATCACAGCCCCGCGAAAAGCGGCGACGCATTAGCGTCACGGGACAACCAATCAGTCTTTCGTTCGCTGACGACGGCTCAAGCCCAGTAAACTCCGGCGGGGACTCCACGGGCACCACCCCGATAATGCATGTTCCCACCATGCTGCCCAGCCAGAGACAGCAGGACATCAACGGATCCCCCATAGATGCCTCGCAGAAGATCCCTGCTGTCCCGCAAACAAAACGTCAACCTCTAGCCCACAACCGCAATTCCTCAGGCAACGTGCCCACTTTAAGTCAACAGCAACAGCTCCCGATTCTGGCGTCCCAGTTATTAAATTCCAATGAGACCGCTGATCTTCTGTATGAATACTTCCCGCTCGGTTTGGATGATTGGCAAGCTCCCGTTGATGCTGTCTATCGACCCCACGTTGTTCACCATATGCACTTGCCGGATGATCCTAAGGCCATCGCTGCAAAGAGTCGGAGCAGGACGTATTTTGTTGAAGGGAGCTAAACACTTGTGTTGTGTTTGCCATATACATGCCGACATCTTTTCGTTCTCTTTTTGGATATACATGCACATAATTTGGTTTCCGTATTTCTTGTGATATCCCATGGACTAGGAATTTTGTAAGCATCGGGGGCTGATTATTTGGATTCCTTCTTTTTGGTTTCTTGGGAAGAGAGATATGGCTTCTTGTTTCCTAATGGCTGGTGAACTGGATTCCTTTCCTCAGGCTCTATTTTATGTATTTTTTTATTTATATTTATATTTATATATATTGTTTTGGAGTTTTCTTTTGATGGATACCTACGTTCATGTTTTTGATGATGGCGGCGTCGTCTCCTTTCGAATTTGATTCATACAATTTTTTTTTTTTTTTTTGCTCTGTCCTTTCGTTTGTTACTGATATAATGAGTCCTCTCTCTTTTCACCCTCTACTAAGATTCTCAACCTTGCCATTGCCATACATACAAACGAACCGGTGATCCAAACTGCTATGTGAATTGTATTCTGGACACATCTTCTCCGAAACGATTTTCATCTCATTGCATCCTATTTTCCCCGTTTTTCCCCGGATCAGTCGCTTATGCGCGGAATAGCAACGGTATAACCATATCCCACACCTCCCTATCAGACTATCAAATAATACATGCCTATAATCTCACCAAATCTACTTCCAAAAACAGGAGTAAAGTTACCCCCACCTCGCCCCGATAACCAAAACCAATCATCTCAAACCTTTCCATTCATGGATAGGCGAGATTCCATTTCCAACTAATCTGGGTAAGGCAGGTGAAATGGCTGGCTCTTTTCGTCCATTTTTATTTATCTAATATACTTTATTTAAACAAAGTTAAACTTTTCGGCCTTGTGGGGATGTGGAGCACAGAGCCAAGGCGAAGGGGTTCTTTTCTACCAAGGTAAGAATTACTTTTTCTGCTCTACTACCAAGAACCGGAGGAATGGAGAATCCCGGTGACCCGAACGTAATGGCCCCTACATCAGACTTCTCCATACGCGACGGTTCATATCCTGATGCACTATGTTTCGGAGATTTTATTTTGTTTTAGAACAGCATTGATTTTCTCGATTGGTTTGAGGCTGTAGTTATGGTTCTGCTCAAAATCAATCTCGTCAGAGATCCGGGATCCACCTCATAATCATCTCCTTCATCACTCTGAAAATTCCTTTCTCAGTCAAATAACTACTGACAATAAATGTCTCAGAGGGTTTAATACTAATGCATGATGAAAACATGATAACATTCTCTCAAAAAGCTACAGTTGTTTAACTACTTATCAAAACCAACCAGCGTTCTCACACCATTCCACACTTGGAACTCGGTTAAGTTGTTGGATGGGCTGGAGGCTCTAACTAGCGAACAAACGACGTGGGAAAAGAATATTCTTAAGACCTTCCATTCCGGGTTGGGCCGGGAAATAAGAACGAAAAAATGTAGGAAACTCCGGATTTCTTTGTTTTCTTTTTTCTTTTCCTTTCTTTTTTTTAATTTTTTATTATTATTATTATTATTTATCTTTATTTTTTTTATTTTTGGCTTATCAGTGACAAAGTTTGAACGCGGTGGGTAAGATAGCAGTTATTCAGACTGGCTCTTTGAAACTTATGCACTGCCTTGTTGTCAGTATCATATACGGCCTTGATTTAGTTACAGATGTTCTGCTGACCCCAGAGAGTAGGATGTCTATTCGTGACCATGCACATTGCGATGAAGTCATAACTATCAAGGAAATGTGCCCAATTGGGTGGCTGGCATGTTTTCTCTTAGATGAGTGTATATGAAGAATGTGGCCAGGACGGGATCATCCGTGGAAGGTCACATCACGTCTTCAACTGATGGTGGTGGAGTTATCCATCCCCACCACACCAGCCATGACAGTGGACAACAAGAATTCTGGAGTGCCTAGCCCAGCTTTTTGCGTTTAAAGAGCCGGGAGGTCTCCATTTGTGGGCCATCGAGATATTTCGATGATGGTTAGTCTGTGGAATCAGTATAAACTTCAGCTACTTCCACCAAAGGTGAGAATTCATTTGATTTATTTGTTTGCAACGCTTACCATACTATTAGATGTTACTTTACAACAATGATCTAATTGAAACTCAGATAGTTGATATGAGCAGAGAGAACTAATGATTTCAATCTAGAACTATAATGGGTTTAAAAAATGTGAAATAGAAGTATATTCAGAAAGCTTACCAGTTCTATCTGTTATTAATTAACTGATTAACAAAGTTATTCTTAAGTTAAATGTCAGCATCTCATAAAAGTATTATTCAACTAATCTACAAGCTTAATTATATAGTTAATTCTATTAATATGACTAATCATTAACACATATTATTACTCAAATATATGTGATTTTATTATACAATATATATTTTATCTTACTATTTTTATCAAATCTCATATATTAAATAATATCAATATAGACCTTGCAAAAGTTGATTTTTATAAATATATATATAAACCATAATATTTCTGTTAATAAATATAAAATTCATTAAGTTACTTTACATCATATTACTAATTAATTTACTTTTAAAAAACTTTATAAATTTCTACAAAAAAGCTTTATATATATAAAATTAAATCAGCTTTAAGATTACAATTCTTTATTATATTATATTATCTTCAAAACTTTATTAAAAAAAATTAATAAAAAATTAATTAAATCATGATTTTATAACTTAATATTTGTTCAATTTAAATATTAAAAGACGATTTAATTATTTATTCTTATAACTAATTAGTTACAATACATGTTCAGTAAACTGAAATATGTTAATCATTATTTACTTTACTATAAGAGATTAAATTTACTTAAGATTAAAAAAAATTAATAAACTTTTAACTATATCTAAGAAATATGTTTAATTTTAAATATCTATTCATCTAAAAATGTAATATTTCATCAGTAATATGACTCATAATTATTATATTAAAGTGATTCTGATAATATATTCTTTAAATAAACTTTAAGAATATTAGTACCATATGTATATTATTGAATATACTCTTAGTATTTTCTAAATATAAAAATTAATTTATTAAAAAAAGAAAAAAAAAGAAAAAAATATTTACTTAAAATAACTTTATCTATATTAATAATATGTAAAAATCTCAGAGAATATAATTAAATTTAATTTTCATTTTTTAAAATAAAAATTTATAAATCTTTATTATATTAAATTATTCTTAAAAATTTTAACTTTTTAACTATATTTTTATAATTTTTAGATCTTTATGTTTAACTAAAAAATAGTTTATTTAATTGTAATAATAATATTTTTTATATTTTCTTCAATTAATAATAAGACATAAATAATTTTATAGTATTATATTTTTAATTATATTTTTTTAATATTATTGAGATATTAAATAAACTTGTAAATATATTTTTTATAAAAGAAAAGTTATTTTATTTTATTTTTTTTTAATTCAGTATAAATATTAGTTTAATAAAAAGTTCTTTTAAATTTTCTTAACTATTAAAACTCAAAAAAATCAAAAAATTGTAAAATTCTTTCAAAAATTACAGATCGAATCAATCCTTCACCGTATCAACTGCCGCTTTTGGAATGCCAATGTGCTGCTTATGGCCGCCACGACGGTATCGCGGCGGTACCGCGCACGAGCCACCTTTCCAGACGCGGCTTAGCCTCCCGGCCGCTTTTACATCAGGAGCTCGTTCGGGTAGCTTCAACCTGACGACTCACTGACGCTGCACCCGACGCTCACCCGAAGATCAACCCTCAGATCATCCTACCCTTCCGATCTTTTCATGGCCCCTAGGAAGGAAAAAGAAATCCACCTTCTTACACAATCCAAGATGGAACCACTCACTCAGCAGGAAAGCCCATACGGGCTCCCTCCCCTGCGCTCACCTGAAGTTCGAAGAGATGAAGTCATGATCAAACCGCTCGAGCGTTCACGCACCCACTATTTGTGGCCCTAAAATTGGCTCCCACTTCCTTTCCGATGAAGTCACTGTATAAAAAGCAAGCCATTGGTTTACCTGGAGAGGTCGAAGAGGGGTGCCGGCGAACTTCAGGTGGACAAAAAAGGCTCAAAAGTCAAGAAAAGGTGGCCAAATATTTCTACAAAAGTCACCCGGCGTTCAAACACTCAGGAGTCATTTGCAGGCCTTGCAGTTGTCTCCAACAAAATTCTCGAGCCGGAGGAGGTATTCTATGCCTTGACCCAGCGTATTGACGCAAAATATCATGGAAAAGCACAGTTTTTGACGCATCCATTCTTCGCAATTGCAAGTCCCTCAGGCCTTCAAACAGCCTGCCTGGCCGCTTGAGAACATGAAGACTTGAAACTTTTGTATTCTACGGACTACGATGCAATTCTCCCCCGGGACAGGTGACATTACGGTTTGCTGCGTAAACTGGCCTTACAATCATCGAATCAACCAGCGAGATATTAACACATTTCTCATGACGGTATTTCGTAATTGACTATGGAAGTACTTCTAGCTTGTAGCAGAATTCTCGAATAAGAAATGGATTGCCATGAAATCCATGAAGAAGCTGTTGGGTTTCAGTCAGTCGAGGGTTCCGGAATAAAGTGACGGTACAGAAGCTGAACGTCGCCATGTCAGCCCTCTGTTCAGTGGGTCTAAGTGGTCGGGCCCCGGCAGAGCATCTTCAGAGATTGTAAAATTGCGGAACAGATACCTGTGCGATAAACAGCGAGTTGATGTGATGTACCTCAAACTGTGGTTTTTCTATAAGTGGTTGGAAGTTGATGTCTGACGCACGGTCGAGTCAACAGCCATTTGCCACATCCAAAACCGCACACATTCAGCTCCCACTCGAGAACGTCTCCGAAGATTCTAACACTGATCTCCCTCTCCCGAACGTTCTAGCCTGGATCCCCAAAGACTCACCACGTGCCTGAGCTTGTTCCTTCAGCAAAGGCGCCGAGGAGATCTGGGCGCAGGGGCAGCCTGCCACAGTGAGCGGAGATTTGCCGCCAGTGTTTTTACAGAGTCAATTTTCTACCAGTGAAGGTGTTCCCGGAAGCTGAAGGGCAAATTTATCAATATTCAAGTAAGTTCTGTTCGGTCCAATCACATATCCAACTCCTGGTTGCTAAGAGTAATGTCGTTAGATTTAGCAAGCCAAGGGAGTTAGCGACCGGATAGAGTATCGCTTGCGGGTTTTAGACAATGAGCGAGATCTCTATCGACGGCGTTTGCCTGGTAGAACAAGAAGATATTCATGGCCGTACGGCAAGTCTCCTAGTGGCAATTTCCAGGTTTCTCGAACCTTTTCCAACACCTCCAATGGCTCCTGGTGGTCAACAAAGAATCCGGTATCGACTCCACAAACAAGTCCTGTTGAATCGTTGGGCTTGAGGAGGGTGCCACACAGCTTTGCTTCCCTAATGTAGGATATGGGTGATGTTTTCATAATTGCTTCAGCATTTCCCTTTATAAAATCCAGGAGCACCATTTCGATACCCACTGTTGCGAGTCAGAATTGTGTGCTATATTTCTTTTGCAAACAAGGATTGAACTTACTCCCATATGATGGCGTCGCAGCCAAGCATGCAGCTGGGTGGGAGCTCATGATACCGTATATGCCATCCTTATTCGATCAAATCTCTCTCAAGAGTCCACTTGCAAGTTCACGCTCTCGGTAGCTTCTGTCTGACGGTTCCCCTGAAGTTGACATTTTCCTGAGAACACCAGCCTGTAGCGTTCGCCGTGACAGCTCTGGCGGGATCAAGTGGGGTAGGCGTGGTGCCTAGTTGCCGGCATGTTCTGTGGCAACACAGGGATAAGTTGCGGCAGGATTTTTGCCTGAGTCGGAATCAGTTGACTTTCTTTATTTACAGTAAACCAGGGAGAATGAAAACGGCGAGAGGAAGGCGTAGGCATTCAAAAGCGGCGAGGGGATATAAGACCGCTAGACCGGATCAGGAGAGGCCGTAACTAGGCACTTCCGGACAGAGCGACGGATAACATACAAGATAATAGTTAGTTTTGTAATGACTATATTTTTTAAATATTAATCACTAATTTTTGATTAGCTAGATATAATGTGATAGATTGTCACTATATTTGATTTTATTATAGAAAGCAGAACCTTGATGAGGCAAGTAATTCAAGTGTATAATATAGTAATAAAAGATTCTGTGTGAGAAGTCATGATTGAAAATTTCAAAAGTTAGTTCTGCAATTTTGTTGTTCTCTCTGTCATTCGACAGCAACTGGCTTATAGACTTTGGGAAACCTGCTTGGCAAATTCAGATTCCTTTCAGAGCTCAATGCAATCTTCATAATTGTCATATTTGAGGATGTCATTCAAACACTAAGAAAAGGTTGCCCCTGGGGTTACCGTTGACCCTTGGAATCGTGGCTTCTTAACACTCAAATAGATATACTCTTAACGGTTTTTGCGCAGTTCCAATCAACCTCCCAAGGTGTTATGTCGACGCATCAGCCACTCCATGAAATACGCAAGATCAGGAATGGAAGTGATATCAGGAGTTTTCATGTTTCAGTATGACAGTTCAGGGCTGTGGTAAAAATTCACACTGAAGTTAAAAGGTTGTCCATCCCCTGCGCAGGTTTCAAGGAGCTAAACATTCCTGTTTGCTTCTGAGGCTGTGCTTGGATGCGCCCATGGAAAGTGAGTGCTCATGAAAGGGTTTGGGGGCTTGAAGGGATGTGACATATTGACATCTTCCAGACAATCAAGATAGCTACAGGACGAAATACGAGGTTACGATATGTAACTAGCCACGCGAATCGCAGCCCTAAATCCGGTCAGTGTCGTGACCTTTTCACAACAGAAGCAATTGGCATCATTATCAGTGAAGTTATAATATGTAACGATGGATGAGAGTCATGTAGCAGGATATGCATGATGAACCACTGATGTACTTCTTACTCAACTGATCAGAATCAATATCTTGAAATCTTATATTCTTTGAGAAATGATATTCTGGAATATCATATTCATCCTCTCATTTCTTCAATTTGTTACTCTTGCAAACCAATTTAAAGCAAAGACATTATACTGTGAATCTTGTCATCTTCCTTTTTGTTCCTTTCATCTTTCCTTTCCCTGGCCTTCTCATTCAGGGAGAGAAAAAAAAAGCCCTGCACAGGAGTCAGGAGTCACACTATGCATGATAAGTATGCAGTTTTATTCACCAGAAAATACCTGAAAAAGAATCTCATGCTAGTTAATATAATAACTAGATTGAGAATGACTTTTCCTCAGAGATGTTGATGGCATGATCCCTATCCCTTCTTGTTTCAACTACTCAAGAACATGGAATTGGCCAGATAAACAGGTTTTACATGAGCAGATGAATAGACAAAGTTCAGACCCACTGTGAAAAATTTCCCAACTACATCAAGAGTGGAGATTTTGAAACAAATTGATAAATGGCTTATACGTCGAAAGTCGTGGCTCAGAGACAAACTGCGCCAAATTTGCCATGGAACGCTAGTCATCCAAACCTCTTTGTCCCAGAGTATTCCAGAACTCCTACCGGGAAATGCTCAGAAAGCCCATGCTCCTGGTTCAAAGAAGAAACCCTGTTTTGAGCTGGTTCCGATGGTATTCCAAAGTGGAGCAGACTTCGAGCGCAGGACGGAACGCGGATCACGATTGCAAAACATGTCTCTTTTTATCCCGAATTCTGCAGCTTTGAAGCCACCTGAAGTGCGTCTCAATTTATCCATCTCACTCTTGACATGAAGGAAGCAGTGGGTGAGATTTTCGATCGCCAGATAAGTTTGCCTTTATCATCCCCAGCTCTGTTAACCCATGAGCCACCAACAGCTTCTTCAAACGACTGATACTGCACCAATGTCTTCGTTCGCAACTAATCTGCTTTCATTGTAACAGCATTGTTGTTTGGCAAGACCTTCATTTAAGTGGCAAGTTTCGTTGAGACTGCTAATCGCCAATTTTCCTCTCTGTGGTTATAAATACTATCACTCACGGTTCCTTTTCAGCTTGTGATAACAGCCAACCCGAAGAGATATTTCATCAGGTAATTTACTTTACTTACATCACACTTTGTATGGTGATTTTCTTGCCCACAATTCAGCCTCTGGAGAAAGCGGTACTTCACGATGAACTCCCATTGCGATTTCGGATCTCAGGGGCTGTTGGGAATGCCTCTGGCAATACGAATGGCTGTGGTGTTCAGTCACGACCTATGTACTACCGGAATTTGCTGTTCCCCCTTCGACAAGAAATCTTCCTGCCTCGAAACTTGCGAGTGTGTTCATACCTATATCGCTCTCTATCTTCCCCTATAGAGAGTTGTCTGCCTGAATGCTTCCCCCCAGCAGCGTCATAGTGCCTTCCGGTGCGGTAGACATGGTAGATACCAGAAAGGTAAACAAGGACAACGTTGATCTTGTTTGAGTGACATTCACCGACGGTAGGGGAATCGCGCCCAGACTTGGCTTAATGGACGTCCTGGTTGTCGTAGAAGCGACTTTGGTGGTTCAGTGCCTGTGTCGTTGGCTCAGGGGTTTCACCTTATCAGGACGTCCCTTCTTCAGCGAGTGCTAACCCTTATTGTACCGTACTATCGCGGCAAAGGAAATCTTTGTTCGTCCCTCGAAATCATAGACTTTAACGATATTCTTAGGCACTATCGATGCTGCTTCGCTGATAATGCAACAAGACAAAGGCAGACTCACTCGTCCCCGACAAGATGAGTGAGATATTACAGGAATGGGAAGAGGAGCTTGTTGTTCTGGCAATCTGAGAGCGGATTAGATCATAGGCAGGAAAACAATATCCCTATGATATTTTTCTGCTGGGACCTTAATGTTTCAAAACCCGTCAATATTCTGACATGTTTCCAGCAAGGTACACCAGAGCTGTTGCAAATGATCGTCGCCGAGCAGAGGGATTTATACAGGATATCAGAGCTCCAAGCGGAGTAAGATTCGTCTCCTGTGTGGTAGCTGGCGCATTATTTTGATCCCAGGCTTTCCAGCTTGCGATGATGCACAGCGAACAGAAGCCTTCAACCAAAGTCCTGCAATCCATGCAGCACTCAAAATGATAAGTCCATTTCCATATGCTTTGCCATGAAGACGTTATCGATTTAACGACGAACAAAGAATCGGACGTCGGAGAGTTGCATCGCCTGTCTTGTCTTGTGAAATCTCATCGGGTGCATATGGAGACTTATATTGACGAATTCTTGGGGTCCATTTGGGCTCCTTTGAAGCAACTAGTTACTTTTTAAAAACACCGCTTGAATATCTCGAAGGAGGCGGGGACAAATATGGCAGATCCTTGGGAGTTAACACAGCCTCCGCACCCACACCAAGCAATCAAATCCTGGGTTTCGATTTGAACTAGATCTGCGGAGAGTAAAATTAATATTTTCGGCAAAGTCCAATGTCAATCGTGCTTTATCAACACTTGGGTCTGGAAATCGAGCTCATCTCACCAGGAGAAATTCAAAAGAAGAACCAATCAATCCATCCCAGGCAAAACATCGGTCCAAAAATGCTATTCAAATTTTGATACCAAGCTAACCCAAACTTAATGAGGCTATGATGCCGTCGCATCGGGTGCCTGGTGATGTGTAGGTCTTAGCGCTACAGGAAAACCATGTGGACCCCATGTGCGGACTGTCAGTCGGACTAAATACCCCAGAAAAGTTGGTTCTCCACAACCCGACTCACGCCGTTATAGGAGTGGTTTAAGTGATCGCCACCACGGCCCGTATAACTAAACTATAGTTGAAAATCTGCCCGAAGCCCAGGACTGAGCTAATAGTGCTGCAGACATTTGGAAGAATAAGGTTAACGAATAACCCCATTTTCCCAGGTTTCGGCTTTGTCTGTCTTCAGTCATAAATGAGTTCCCACGCATTGCGGCTTTTGAGGGTGCATATAGCATAGTAGCAGTTCTGTATCAATTTTTTGATGAACGTGATTGTGAAACAATTCGAGAGCTCCGGCCTTTGATTGTTCTAACAAAAAGTTCACCTTGACAAAGGTGTTGACAACCTGTCACTTAATCATTTCATCATGGAGACTTTGTCAGTTTCATATCAAAAATAAACTCTGGTATCCAACGACAGACCAATAGCAGGGATTGTCAAATCCTGTAACTGGATGCTGGCTTTTATTTTATTTTTTTATTTTATTTTATTTCGGGTTCCTCGTGATCCCCTCTATCCTTCCGGGAGAGAGGAAGTTCAGCAATGAGGGAGTGTTCCGTCATCCCTTTCATCCCGTTCCATCCTGTTCAATTTATAATATTAGAAACGCAATCACATACATCGCGAAAGGAGACGAATGCTAAGTCTGAATTTTTTGATACTCCAGGCAACTTTGATTGTTGCTGGAGACAGGAAGATACTGGAAGCCATCTTCAAAACTATGCGGGAAAGTCAGCCCATGTCGAGCGAACAGCAACAGCAAACAAGCATACCATTTCCGCCTTGATGGAAAGTATGCCCGCAGGGAGCCTTATCCAGCTCAACCCCAACATGTGAATCGGGATGCAGTAATTAGATAGATACTAAGATTCAAAGGGAGAGGTTAAACTTTTGGCTAGAAGATGCATGTTACAAATAGATACGGCCTTCAAACTTCAGACTTGTATGTAATATCTGAGGGCTCTCGGTAATATATATCGGCATTTCATAAAGGTAATGACGACCATATCCAAGCACATGTGAAATATCTATCATCCATCGCGACGTCATTCAAAGTTAAAGCTATTTCCCACCCCGATAAGTTTGGTTTAGGGCGTCAATCGCGCTAAATGGCGGCTCTTGGCTAAAGAGGGAGGCCTGAGCTCTATACGAAACAGGCGCAGATCAACACCTCATCAGCAACCTCAGGCTTTCCCACAGAGCTGATGTTGTGGTTGCATGCGGGATGCTCTGATGATTTCTTGGCACATATTTGGGAAATCATGATACTTATATTAATTAAGGTGATAGCGCGGAGAAATGCCAATGCTGGTGGGTTAGGAAAGTGATTAATTAGTTGTTGGGGTGGTCAAGGTTGCACGCCCGAAGCTGAACCAGAGCAACGTTACATTGCGACCTCCCAAACACAAGCACTTTTTTGAAATAAGGAGCCGGAGAAGGCCTGCAACTTTTCCTGGGGAGTTGGAGATGAATTTCGAGAGAAAAGCAATGAGAGTGTGCTCCTTCAGATTCTAGCCGAAATCACTCAAGAATGGAAGACTCGAGTAATCGTAGATATATGATATTGTTCCTCTTGAAGACGCTGTGTAAAGCGTTCGCTAGGCTCTTTCGCGCCTTGCCACATTGAGAAACGGAAACTATTACAAGGCTGGAGAGTCTGGTCCGTGCGGGCAGGCGCAAAAAAAAAGGGCAGTACAGTAACCCACCAACCTCTAATACCGGGGAATACCATGGGCGTAAGTTTGGTATTCTTACCGGTTTCGCAATTACGGCGTACGAGACCGTTTGTCGATATTGTCAGCTTACCGAACCAGGAAGCGTAACAGCTCGAGAGAGCTCGGCTATTGCACTTACCCATGGCGCGTGTCCTGGCTGCTCACACATTCGTATGCCCGAATGGAACGACCAAGAGTGTTACAACGCCGTGCATTTGCCCCGGTTCAAACCCCGTATTGATTACCAAAGCGGCTCTTAGGGATAGTTGAAATATTTAGTCCCTTGCACTACCACTTTTTCATCTGAGCTCAATTCAACCTCATTGACACACCATCCACTACCACATCACGCCGCTCCCTTTGCATTCCTGCTGGTTTCGGTCGAGTCTACACAGTCCGTATTCGAAATATTATCTTTCGGTTGTCACCTCATCTAGCCGCTCTCCACCACCACCACCACCACCACCACCACACTGCATGACTGTTGCGCCAGGGAGTTTCCCGATCACTGGGGGGATCCTTTATACAGCGCCAAGCAAACCAACCACCAGCGTATTATTCTGGGAACATTCGTTCCCAATCCCAAACTAGACAACTTCGGATTTATTTGTTATTTTTTTTTTTTTTTAATTTTTTTTATAAAAAAAATGTTGGCTTTTTTAACCTGTGACAAAATAAACAACTTCACCAACGACTCATTAATGCCACTGCTGGTACTACTACACCAACTGCTCCGAGTCATGGCAATTCTTCATTGAAACTGAGTGACCGTCATTCTCCTCAATCCCCCGTTTGTAGCTGGCAGGTCGCGGTAGTCAATCAATCGCATGCCTCGCTTCCCTGTGTATCGTTTCACCACCAGGTACCACCGTGGGAAAGTCACCCACGCCCTCCCCCTCCCTCGTCCCCGGGGCCTCAACGACAACACCTCAATCTGTCAACCTGACCACCGTTCCCTTATTTGTTTTTAATATTGCGACTTGAGGTGTTTATTCTTACCCTTTAAGTTCTTGTTTCATTTCACATTTTATCCTTGTTTATGCAGACTGAGACCGGAGCACCTCTTTCAGTACTAACCCCGTCTACTACCACTGATCACCGCTGGCCTTGATGTTAGTCGGATCCCTGTGGAAAAGGATTGCCCGGCAAAAACAAAGTTCTTGGGTTCTGTTTTTTTTTTTGGGGGGGGGGGTAATAAGCTCACTAAAAGGAGATATAAACAGCCTGGCGCGAAACGTGAGATCTGGGTCCGGCAAAATTGATAAGACAGACACAAAGCGGAGCAAATAGTGCCTGCAACGCTGCAGTTGCCCTGACCAAGTGCCTAGAGACCCCGTATTCACTGTCGCACTTGATAGTTGCTTGCTTCCTCTCCATCCTCACCAGCTCCATCTTCATTTTCCCTTCTTTCTCTCTCTCTCTCACACACACATACAACATAATAACGCAATTCCTGTGGAAAGTCTTATTGAAACCCACATTCCTGGATAGTACCAGGTACCCAATAGAACGTGTCTTAAAACCAATGCGCGGAGTTCCCGATACAACTTTGGACTTGGCTATTTACACTTTGCCTTTTGGGGTATTTGTATGAGCCCGCTCGCCCCTTTCCGCTATCAGCAACTATCCGACATGAAACTTTGACTGCTACTCCGCCTTTTAACTTTGCTTGCATAAGTTTTAATATCTTGCGGCTCACCCCTTCCGACGGTTTCACTATTGTGGCTTGAGTCAAAAATACATCACCCAGACACTACTGCCTCTGCAGAACATCAAATCGTCAGCACATCACATCAGCACTCGGACCTTAAACCCTCTTTTGTGTTGGCCTCAACGCTGGAAATGGTTGTCAAGCTTTTATGTCAACCATCCATGAGTTTTACTTAAGCTCCTGTCGAGGCCCCCTTTTGAAACCGTTTACACGAGCTTTGACCACCATATAATAATAACCCATATACTCTATACCTATCTACCAAACTCAAACCTCTACATCTCCCACTACCAAGGCTCCCTTGGAGGCCTACCGATATACCGATATATATCCGTCTATTAACATGGCAGATGCAGTTGCAACAGCCGCCCGCCGCATGCGGTCTTTCTTTCGTAGCATCATGGCTCTCCTCAAGCGGTTCATGATGTTTCCCTCAGGACTTGGGGATGCATCTGACTCAAGACGCGGATCCATTTCCAGCATCAAACGACGCTGTCGATCCCTCGATGAGCTATCGAAAGAAATTGAGCGTCTTTTCACTGGCCACTTGGACGTTGCGAATCTCTTGGCCATGTCACGGAAGATCCGCGCGCAGATTGACGCCTGTGCCAAGTCGAGCCCAGTCTCCATGCTCCCGTCTTTCAACCATACTCTCCCCACTGGCAATGAGACAGGTACATACCTTGCCATGGACCTGGGAGGATCGACGTTTCGCGTTGCGCTTGTTGAACTTTCTGGGGGTGGGAAGATGAGGATCATCCGTGTGAAGGTCTCAGCAATTGATGAGCCGGTAAAGTTGTTGGAAGGGAAAGCTTTTTTTCGCTGGATGGCGGAAAGAATTGAGGAGATGCTAAGCGGTGGTGACGAAAAGTATGGCCTAGACTCAGCACCTCTGCCAATCGGTCTATCGTGGTCGTTTCCGATTGAGCAGACCTCGATACGCAGCGGACGCGTCATTTCCATGGGCAAGGGGTTCCTGTGTTCTGATGGTACCGTGGGTGACGACCTAAGCGAATTGATCATGGATGCTTGTAGGGAGCGAAATCTCAATGTCAGAATCGATGCCATCGTCAATGACAGCTCTTCTACCCTGCTCTCTCGTGCTTACACAGACTCATCGACCCGGGTATCTTTGATCTTAGGCACTGGTACCAATGCCGCCATTCATTTCCCCATAAATGCCATTGGGACCGCCAAGTTTGGAAACAGACCGGCAGAGTGGTTCGATGCAGCTGATCACGTAATTGTCAATACCGAACTTAGCATGTTTGGTGGCGGGGGAGTCTTACCAACGACTATCTGGGACGATTATCTCAACCGCACACATTTAAAGCCCGATTATCAACCCCTGGAGTATATGTGCACGGGACGATATCTAGGTGAGATTGTGCGGCTGGTCATACTGGATGCTGTCAAGACTGCTGGTCTGTTTGGAGGTTTCCTCCCTGAATCCATGCGGAATCCGTACTCTTTTGACACCGCCATCGCCGCCTACATACAAGAAGATACCTCCCCCTCCCTTACTGCTTCCTCTTTATTCCTGCAAAAAAGCCACACCTTTACCATCCCCCCATCTCCTCCCGATCTTCTATTCCTCCAACAAATCTGCGGCTACGTCACTCGCCGAGCAGCAGCATACCTAGCGACTGCCATCCACGCCCTCTGGTGTCTACGGAACAACACTGAAGCACCCATAATTCTCCCCACCCCCGACTCCACCTCCACAACGAACGAAAGAGCTGTTGCCAGCGGAAACAATCCTCCAAAGAACGACACCGCCGATAATAGTGAACTGAACGTCACGATCGCCTGTGATGGGGCTGTCATCAACAAATACCCTGGCTTCCACAAGCAGTGCCAACACTACCTCAACGAGCTGACACTGGAAAGAGATTCGTCCCTCCCATCCCCTCCCCTCTCCCTCTCCCATTCTGTGACGGCCTCCTCACCCTCGAAGCAACTGATTACCTCAGTCGTCACATCGCCCACCATCACTCTCGAGTTAGCTGATGAGAGCGCGATATATGGTGCTGCAGTGGCGGTGGCGGTGGCTGTTCCAGGAAATTAAGGCTAAAGGAAATTTTCTTCTGATTTTGTTTCCATACATGCATGCATGCGTACAACCATTGCATTACCCATAACCCGCAGCTTGCGTCATTCGGAAAACAAATCTTCCTTGTATCACAAGAAAATATCCCACCCCCATTAATTGTGAGGTACGAACCTGCTGAAGCGATTCATCCGTTCATTAATCCCGTTATTTACCCCGCATATATGATCCGATGTTTTTCCGTCCTCCAGCCTCTATACGCTTCCGCTTTACATAACAACTCCATCTTCCATGCATCGTACCTAACTGGTCATCGAGCTACACCACCCTTCTTCCATCTTGTTCTTTGTTTTTTTCTCCCCTTTTTGTCTGCCTGTCGAGACAGGTACCACAGGTCACCTGTTTTTCCATTTCGTGCATTTCTTTTTCCTATTAACTGGTTTCGGAACATATGGACGGAATTTTCAACCGGGTAAAGAATTAAATAAATAAATGGAGGTTTTGTTCTGGTATTATTGCTATTCTTATAATTCTTGTTCCTCCTGCTGTCACCATCACCCTCGCCAATATTTGGTTGAAACATGAAAAACCCTTGGTTTCATTTACTTTTCTCATTATTCTTCTGAGGGGTTGGTCGTTTCCGGCTCTCTTTTGGATATTTGTTCCCCCGTCCCACTTCGTCCCCATGCTCATTTACATATACTTGACGTATATGTACGCAAATACATGTGAATAGCTGAGGAAAGGGATAATGGAATTGGTGAACATTAACTCGGAAAGTTTGCCTGTACATAAATTTTTTCCCTTATTTTCTTATTTTTTTTTTGTCTTTTTCATAAATTTTTCCTTGATGCAGTAGATAAGATATTTCATTTCTTTAGTATTCTTATTGTTTTCTTTTAGCCAGTATTAATTTCTTGCAATTTCGTTTTAAGCTCAAGGGATTGAGTATAGTCATTTCTTTTATTTTCATGTGTATTTCTCTTTCTTCAAATATGCAGTTGAATTTCATCACTATAACCTGTTGCAATTTTTGCCCTTGTATTGCATATAATTCTCTCCTCGGTTTTGAAGTCAAATAAATATAATAAATAATGGTTTTTGCAGGCATTAGAGTTTCTATATAGATGAGGAGATTTAGACTTTTTTCTTTCCTCTCTTTTAATGATTTGATGAGTTTAAGTCCAGACAACACTTGTTCTTATTTTACTTGCCATATGCTATTAGACTTCTTTACATGATGTTTTTTATCTAAGGCTGAAGACATAATCATTGGTTCCTCCTAGCGATATATCAAAGTGCATTGCTATGATGTCATAATGTCATAAATACAGTTCATAAGAAAGTTAAAACTGAGATGCCCATCAATCTCCAGAATCTGCTCCAATCTCTAGATTATGACTTTGCGTAAAATTCATCACAATCAATCAAATACTTTATTATTTCATAAATACTAATAGCTTGTCATTCTACTATACATGCTTGTAGTCTTGCTTGAAATACATCTGCTACAGTCCTTAGTTTAAATGTCAGATTAATATCTATTGCAGTTTTATCTAAAGCATACTTAACTCTTTCAACATTTGTTAACTTGCTATTGAGGTCAGATTAAACTTTTTCTTAATCTTTGAGCTGCAGAATGTTTCTATTTGACTAACAAAGCTTGCAAATTAAAGTTTTCTCATCTTTTCAATAATCAAATTTTTTATAGCTGAATTATAGTTAACTAATTTTTATAATTTTTTATAAGATCATCTGACTTCATATCAACATTTCATTAGATTTTAACTGCTCTTAGTACTTTATATATATGCTGAGAATTTTAAATAGTAGTGAGAGTCTACTATATTAAGTTTAATCAAATTTATATAAATTAAAGTTTAAAGCTATTGAATTTAATTTAATCAAAATTTTAGTATTTTAATAAAACTTTAAATTATTAAACTCAGCTTCTTTTATTTATTTTTTATTTTTATTTAATTTAAAGTTTTAAGTATATTTCTAAGTAAATAGATAACATAACTTTTCTTTAGTAGTTAATAGTAAATTTTTTTTAAAAAAAAATCATAAAAAAATTTAATAATTATAAATATATAAAGTAAAATATTAATAAATATATATATATATCTTATTTTTATGATAATGTCATAAAATTTCAATTAATACTTATATAACTTTTTATATTTATTCAAAAGTCATATTTTTCATATCTATAAATTTAATTTTAATTAAAATATTATTTTTAAATTTAGTTAATTATTAAATAATCTGATATATACTTATTTTCAATTTAGTAAAATCTTAAATTTACTTCTTTAACTTTAATCAAAAGAATTAAAAATATTTATTATTAAAATCATTAAAAATTTAATGAACTAATAAGTAATAATAATGATTTAAAATTTGAAACTTAATATCTATTCTCTGAATTTTGTATATAAATTTACTTTTATTTAACTTTTTTAGTATTTTAATATTTATGTATATCTTTTATATTAACTATTTTATATTTATTTATATTTTAAATATCATTTAAATATTGTAAAAGTTAATATTTTTACATAATTAAATTAATTTTATGTGAATGTTTTACATATCATATGGTATCTTCATAAAAATTTCTTTTTTATCAAAATTTCAACTACATAATTATTAATATATTTTTATTTTTTAGTTTTAATAATTAACTTAATTTACACTTGATTTTTTACTTTATATATATTTTATATTATACTTTTTTAATTTTATAGGAATTTATATTCTTGTTGATTCTCTTATATAATTTTTTATAAGTATATTAACCTGCGATTATATAATATTATATATTTAAATTGATAATCATTGAGTGAGATATCTATTGTTATAGCTCAACTAGAGTCAAGATGATAACAAGACAAAAGCTTCAATTCATCTATCTAACTAGGCAGCTGCGACGAGAATACTAAACTGGGGATTAGAATGTCGGAATGAACGAGCAGCTGAATATATATAGGTGGTTGGGGATCGGAGCGGATCAACCTTAATCCATATTCCAGATTTAGTCATTTTCACTTAACCCGATCATTTAGCTAGCTGGCTGACAATTCTTTATATCATAAGATCTGATTGATTCATAGTCTTTAATTGAATCATTGTAGACAGCATTCAGTCAATTGAGTTATGTCACGAGCATCATATCACTCGTATGCCTCGGATTGCTCGTATACCTCGGATTGCTCGTATGCCTCGGATTGCTCGTATGCCTCGGATCGCTCGTACGTCTCGGATCCCGCAGCCACGGCCGTATATATATATCATTCTTTCTCACTGTTTTTCTCTTCTTCTTTTCATAGTCATCATCATACAGATTAGCTAGTTATTATTACGAATACTACTGTCTTATGCCTTCTATGTTCTGACTATCGTCATCAGTTGACTCTCTCAATAACTGTCACTCATTCTTGATTTCCTGACTGTAAAAGCACTAATCTGTTATATTTTTCAGACTCGGTCATTATTTTGACTGTTGATATAACTCTCATTTGAAAGCCAGTCCCATCAGAGTTGTGGATACATTCTCATTCACAATGTCATATCATTTATAGACTAGAGTGGAATAATGAATGTTAAATGATTTTAGCAGCAGCATATTGGAATGAGATTTGCTCAGTTTTATTGGCATTAATTAATATCTAATCAAAGTCTTCCTTCTTGAGTAGAAGGTTGAACTTGTGACGGCGTTGGCTACGGCGCGCTGGCCACTGCGCTATGACAGAGTATGGCTATTTGGCTACGGATACTGGCATTGGTCGGAAAGGGTGATAGCAACAGCCTAGCAGCCGCCCTAGGGATGCTGCCTGGCAACCCCGGCAAGCAACTACCCCGTAAACAAATACTGTCAAAAAGTACGATATGGCCGACGATATACGGGGATGTTCTATATGGAGGAGATGATGTACGGAATAGGAAGGCGGTGAAGCTAAAATAGGCAATCCTCTGTGAGGCAGAATGGTGATGATCAAATCTATCGAGCTTCTCTATCAGCGAAACAGAGGATTTCTTCACCCCTCTTTTATAGACGTTCAGGAGGACTGATATCCTTATGCCGATACCGCTCATTGTATATACAAATCTAGCCCGAAAGGGCAACAACAGGCGTAATAGGAAAGCTATTAACGAAAAAGGCAACTTTTTAAGATTTAAAGCAAAATTTTTAAAGGTGGAGGCCGCATGCAACCGCAGCACGTTGAACCAATGATACGGTCCGCCATATGGCGCTAGATATCAGCCGCCGTGCTGATGTCTTCACCCTCTGTTTCGTAGATCTTAGTGTTTCGTTGAAGTAGCTTATCTAGTTGGCAATTGAACATCTGTGTACCTGCGCCTAGATTGAAGCCGTGACAAAATACTAAGATCAATTACTTTTCTTGCCCTTTTTAAAGTAGGTTTTAGGTGAAAAGCCTCTGAGAGAATCTTTGTTTACTTGTGTTTTCAATCCCTGAGACGACCACCAAGATGTCGGAAGCTGTTCGAGGATCTGACAGTCCATGGAGATCAGACTGGGACAACATGACTCAGGTGGAGGGAGAGATGAGACCAAGAGAGTCTATATCTAAGGAACTGTTTTTTGAGGCATTTAAGGAGGACCCGGAGCGGGTGTATCGAGAGATTGCCAACTTCATGGACGAAGCACGAGATACCCTGAACAGGGTTAGGAACGAGCGAGATGAAATCCAAAGACAAGTGTATGAACTTGGCCAGCAGGTGGATAGCCTGATAGAGGAACGGAACACCCTACAGCAGATTGTGATCTCCTTGGCCTTGCAAGCCGGACCAGCAGAGGCGCAGAAGGCGCAGCGATCCGCGAAGCTCGACAATCCTAAGCACCTCACTGATGGGAAAGAACCAATATTTGAAATCTGGCTCTCAAGAATGAAACGCAAGCTGGCTGTTAATGCCGACCACTTTCCGACAGAAGAAAGCTGTATTGACTATATTGAAACCCGAACAGAAGGTGATGCTGCAAGGCACCTAGCTCCGAGAATGAGAGAAGACCACCCTGAAAAGTTTGAAACTGCAGAGGAAGTGTTTGAATACCTGCAGTGGGTCTACGAGGACGTCACAATCTTTTGATTTGGGGGGGCATACTGAATGATTCGATGAATGCAGGTGATTTGAAGTGGGAGGATGTTATCCGTTCAGTGATAGAATACGTTATCTTACTGAATAAACAGACTTGAGATATACTATATATCAATATGCAAGCATTTGGTGCTGCTATATACAGTACATATATATTCATGCCTAGATCATCACCAACTCAAACTCAAGTCCTCCTGCCAATGCATAAACTATCATTATAAAACTATACAGGACATGAATTCATAAATTTCTGTTTTGAATCAATTGTCAGTTGCAAGCATCACGCATCAACTGCACATTATAAAAACGCCAGGAGAAGAGAAATCAGGAGAGAAAAAAAGTAACGTCAATGATAAATCCTTCAAAAGCCCCTAATCATTTCACGGTTTCAGTGCAACTTTAGCACCATGGTGACTGGCGCATGTTATTGTAATCCACTCCCTCCACGGTTCAGGGTCACGCGACTCAATGGTGCGGAAGTGCTGCATGAGGCGGATCGTGGTGTACGAAGCTTCCGCGAGTGCGAATTGTTCTGATTGTTTTTTAATGAACGGTGAGATGGTTTGGTTAGATACATCAACCGCATTTTATAAATCTTGGGATTTGGCCCTTCACAAAGAGGGATACGAGAATGCAAGGCGATGAAATAACTTACGACCAAGACAAATCCGCGGCCCACCGTTAAACGGTAGATACTCCCACCCCGGTCTGAAGGTCTCCCATCTCTCGGGTTTGAATTCAGAAGCATCTGGTCCGTAAATGTCCGTGCGTCTTTGCATGGTATAGACGCTGTAGCCGAGTGAAGTGCCCTTTTTGACAAGGATGGGGTACGATCCGTCTGGTCCACCACCCCGTGGGAGGATAGTATCACAGATTGCAGTACGTGAATTGACTGGAACGACAGGCCAGAGGCGCAGGGCTGGATTTTAACGATGTCAGTAAAAGTTCGCTATCAATAGGGACTACTAGAGAGGTTGAAACAATGTCCAAGGAACTTCTTCTTTTTCTCTCTCGTCAGCTCACTTTCGTTAAGAACATAGCGAAGATATTTCATATTTTTCATTTCTTCGAATGTGGGCTTCCCTCCATCCAGCTGCTCAACTTCCATCTGCAATTTGTTCCACACATCGGCTCGTTTGGAGATTATGTTCCAGACATTCGCCAACAGACTCGCTGTGGTGTCACGGCCAGCAAGTAAGATGTTCAAGGTTTCAGAGCGGAGGGCTAGGGGATCTTGAGTCTGCTTAACCAGTTCATGCAGGAAAATATAACGGTGCCCCTTTTCTTGCACAGGAAGGCGTCCTTGCTTCTCGTTCATGTGATGCTCGAGAGCTTTCATTACATATCGATCGGCAAAATCATGGATGAGTTTCTCATCCGTAACAAATCGCTTGTCGGTTTTGAAATATCTATCAAGAAGTCCAAATCTCAAGGAATTCCCAATTTCTGTCGTGCAGTATGTGAAAGCTTCACCGAAGTTTTCACCGTCAAGGGACTTGTTGTTTTTCTGCAAAGTATTGGCTGATTCTCCAAACAAAAACTCGGTTGCCGTGTCTAACGTGAGGTCGAAGAAAAGTGGTTGCAGGTCAACAGTAGATCCATCTGTCGGGATGGTGTTGACAAGATCCTTTATGTGAGCTTCAAAGATAGCCAGGTCAGCAACCTGGGAACGGTTGAAATTTGGCCGCAACATAGTTCTCGAGTGCTCCCATTGAGGGCCGTCTGTGGTGAATATGCCCCATCCGAAAACACTGTGGAAGCCCTTCTTCCTGACGTGGTTGATTTCATAATCTGCGAATTTAAGAGACAGCACGGTTTTAATGTTTTCGGGCTCGCAGGTAGAAATCGCTAAAATTAAGTTAGTCTTATGAAGACAGGCGTTCTAGACTCCGCATATGTAGCAGAAAATCACTAACCTGGTGTCCCTAGACTATTGAGTGAGTAAGTATTCCCGTATATGTGATGGCGCTTTTGGAGTTCTTCCAGTATGGTGTTGGTCTTCTTATGAGCCTTGACCTTCAGAGCTAGATCCAGGCCAAGGATGGGATCTTTGTGCGGATATGCCGGAGGTGGTCTGCAGCCATGTTCTTTCGCCAACATACGGCGACCAGCACCCACAGTCAAGTAAACATATACTCGATAAAGACCAAGGAATCCCAAGCCTCCCAGGAGGAGATGTATCAGTGACAGCATTGCGGATGTAAGTATGACGTGTTGTCTCGATATCGCTCCCTCAATTTCAAGTTGTCCCGCTAATCTATATTCTACGACACCTACAAGGTAAGCAAGCATTCATATCAAATAAGAGAACAAAACCTGCTGCGAATAACCAGAAGGGATCAATCGGCATCAACAGTTTGTAAAAGGAAACGAGGAGGTAGGAGAGTGACTTACTTCGTTAACAACCGTTCAGTTGAAGATTCACCGTCGCCGTTGATGAGGGATGGAGTTTTGCCACGAGATCCTCCATGTGAAGCTGGGAATATCCTAGCGGGCCACATGCAGATATCCCAAGAAGTATATATATTTCTACCTAAACGATCAAGCTTCAACAAAGAGAGTTTGATAGCGGGTGGGCTTTGGTGCTTTCTTCATAAAACAGAGACACAAAAAAAAAAAAAAAAAAGAGGAATTCATACCGTATTTCCGAGATTCCACGGCCAGCAGCGCTCACTGGATGCGACCCGGTATTGGTTAGCATGCTTGGTGATGGGATGGATCTTCGGGCAAAGGATGGGACAGACTCGCCAGCCCAACAATGAGTCGAGATGCCTAGGCTCAGCGACTGTTGATCGTCTACGGAGTTCACGGAGTCGTCATAATAATAGCATGAGCATGGACAGTATATCGCATGCGCAATGCGGGGAACGGCTAGATTCCCCAGCCCAGCAAATCCACGTAACAATTCCACAGATTCCAAGCTTTTTGGCTCTCCCCTGGGTCGCCCCGGTTGGGCATTTCTACTGCGTTGTGCTCCTTAAACGCCCTCGCAGCCACCCAGCCAGCGCCACTCTAACCCTCTGGCGACATCATTGAGAGCACGGCCATGGTCCAAAAGCTCCATAGATATGGATTCACATGGAAATCCTCGGATACTACTAGGCCTCGGCGGGTCCCGTCCCAATGAATCTGCCCCATATGCCTCAGCAGCGGGGTGAAAGTCAACCCGCACACCGACTTGCGAGAATCCAGGGCCCAGTCGCTAGGCTGTCCGTTAGAAGCCAATATGGTGTAGGTTGGTATTACAAGAGCTATTATCCGTCGGAGTTAACTTGAGCTTTGACAAGACAAAGATTATTTTAAGGGTTCCTCAAGAGTCGATTTCGAAGTCTTGGGGCCTTTTTTTGCTGATTCTTTACGGAATCGGAGGCCCAGCGTCCAGAGTGAGAGTTATGCGGAGGTTGAGAGAAACACAAAATGTTATGTCCATGGTATGGTGACGCTAAGATCTAGTTGCTGGGATTCACGGATCGTTAATCCTGGCCCTATCTCGGCTGCACCGTAGCCAGGCTTTTCTATGAGGATTGGTTTCAGATTGCATTGGCGGGGGCTGTGTTTAATTGCAGTTGGATCAACGAGCAACATTTATTGTTGTCTTTGTGCCACTTCATTGCCTCGGTCCCGCTACGCAATATTTCACGATATTGTAATCCTTGTTCAAGGATGATGCATCGCAAACGGTGCCGCCAGTTGGCTTCTCGCCAGATTTCATTGGGACACGGAAAAACAACTTTGAGCCGGTCTACGGTTAAAAGGATACAGTAACTATTACCTGCGAAACTTTGTTTCGATCATTGGATTACCCCAACATCAAAATGTTGATTAATTACCCATTAGTTACCCACAATTTTCTTTATTAAGCTTCGGCATCTGAAGTGGAAGATCTGGGGTTGACCCAGTTCGTCTTTTAGTGACTTGCTGCGCGAAAGATATTCTACAATGTAATGAACAAAAAGAGGCATTCATTATCAGTGGTCATCAATTACCATGGCGCCGAAATGGAATGCTCTCATAATTGGTCGAGCAACTTTGTAGGGTAATACTTCGATCGTCATTATGGAGATAAAACATGTCAAAGAGGGAAACGAAATGCTGACCCGGACTCGATATCAAGGCGAGTCTTCCGCCAAAAGGAAAACATGATAACTAACTACCTTCTCAAATCTTCCCTTTTGGCGGTGGAGGACAGGGATCATCAAACAGATTCGACTGATGGTGTACTACGGTAGGAGTACATATTTTTGCGCTGCTATTTTTTTTCATTTCTTCCCTTTCCTTTCTCCACATTACAGCTTTTGATTAAAAGTTAAATATTTACCTCAATTTTTACCTCGGCTCATTCCACTCTGCGTTGAATTCCATAATGCCATTCAGAAATTCACGGCATCACCCCATCTTGGGTACGAGAAGGGGCTTGGGGTTTTTTATTTTATATATATATTACTTCTAATATTTCATTCGATTTGTATTTCTATTGACAACAAATTACTACGTCTGAGAAATGTTCATTTTGGAGGGAGGGAGATGCAGTTGAGAGGAGAAGAAGAGAGCACAAGGCAAAAACAAACTTACATCCAATGCCGACCCCGCCATTCTTACCCACAAACTTATACTGGTCCCGTTTCAACTATAAATAACATTTGCGAAATTGTTAGCCTTCGAGCCAGCATGAAAAGGATATGTGAACTATTTTACCGCATTGACCGGCATGGCATAGCTTAATAGCGACCACTCCAGAGTGACGTTTGGGTCGTTCACTTTAGCTCCCATGTTGATGCGAGTAGAGCCACTGGTTTTGTGTATCAGTTATAACGATGATAACCAGCGGCCGAGACTGCGAGAGACGTGGGCCACAATCCGTATGTAACATGATTGTGAGCTGTCAGCGAGGGAGTCTCTTCTGGTCACGTTGCCCGTCATTTCCACTGTTGCTTGAATGATCGGTTGCTTTTCCTTCGGCCTTTCGATTATTTTGGAGTGCTGATATTAAAACTTGAAAGTGTGTAGATAGAAGCGTGATTCTGGAGATTCTAAGAAAACGTTTTCGAGACCGTAGAGTTGTATGAGTTGAGTAGAAAATAACATGATATATCATGGCTATTAAATAGAAATGAGATGTGTATATTCTGTTCGTATGTTATCCCGAGGTCAGGGGTTTTGACCTCCAGGAGACAATATTGTAGCAGGAATGAAGCGGGATGATCTTTAATCAGGCATAAGATTTTCCTTGAAGTCAAAGCTTAGGATATGGAACGAAACTTTGTTCCATGAGAGAAGGATATGTCGTTACATTGCAGTTTTTCTTGAAACAATATTCATGAGGCAGCAAAACAAAATCTTCAAACCTGGCTAGCTAGTTAGGTTAAACAAAGGAGTTGTCGACTCTCTTGATGCAGAAGTTGAAAGCCAGGACGCAAAGACACAAGACATGCATTGTAGAACTTAGTGTGGCATGTTTCCATCTTTTCAAATTTGTATCGTTTATGCTTCAAACGTTGGCCAACTTAAAAATCAAAAATGGATCTGTTATGTCTTAAGAAGACGCTTCGTTGGGATCCAACTTGAAGTCAAGCTTCAGGAACCCCCTTTGTCTCGATAAGAACACACTATGCCTTCGGGGGGGGGGGGGGGGGGGGGGGGGTATGCGAATAGCATTATAGGTACCCAAACTCAGCGGAAATCTTGTAACCTGTCGCGATATAGACTTGTTATTCGCCCCTTTACCGGGAACTCAAAAAAATAGGATGGTCCAATGGCTCCTTGTTTTGTGCTGGCTAATCGTCGTATATTTTTCGCTGAGAACCAACTAGTCACGATGCTTTCCAATCGGCTCGTTTCCCAACCAAGGAGAACAGTATATGACAGTGTCTTCTCTGTTTTGCCGATACAACTGTCGTAAACAAAGAAGGTGGGAAAGACCACGCGGATCGATAAAGAGAGAGAGAGTGTGTGTGTGAGTGTGTGTGAAGAAGAGAAGGATAGATACTTAGGTTTGTGGAATGCGAATCGCATCAAAACGTGAGTATGCAAGAAGATGGTCATATTCTGCCACAAAGTAGATATCATGAAGATGGTCAGAAATTCGCCTTCTCGAGATGAGAGAGTATTAATATCGCATGCAAAACTTTGTTGTTGGGATAATGCCCAAGGTCCCGTTGCAAACGCGTATGACGCCACTCTCGTGTAAATGAGGAAGCGCAAGGGGAGAAATTGGACATATTTGTGCCACATTCACAGTCCCACCCAAGGGTAAGAGACATTGAGAAGTACGATAAAGCCAGGCCGAACGGGGTAGACGAATTATAGCGTATATGACCAAGTTTCTTTTCCCCGAAGCTCTCAGTGGAAGGTCCTCCGACTCGCCATTAAGGGCGTAGTGGGATTAGGGGACGATGTGAAAATATCTAACATGGGACCTTCATGTTTCATCGCTCAAGTTGGTCAGTCGCATCGTCTTCCGTTTAGAACCACGCTATTGTTCGAGGTTCCATAGGATTCATGCTAAAGACCGCGACTTCTCTACGTTATCCAAAATATCAATCCTTACAAAGATCCTCCAAGAGTTGCAGCATTCGCAGCCGAAGATTCTTGAGTTCATCGGGAGTAAGGCGGCCACTTGACCCCGGATCCGAAGGTGGATCGGATGGTAAAACAAGCAGTCTGCGCTGGGTAGTGAAGAATGGTATACCAAGAGCGCGAAGCTCTGCGTCTAGGGCATTTGACATGCTTGTCAGTGCTTTGTATACCTTTCTGTCATAAGTTTCAAGCTCGAGTTTATCATCTTCAGGGGTCTAGAGGTAAGCAGACCCATGTCAGCACAATGGCTTGCTGGAATAAACCAGAAGGCGCAGTTATTCAGGCATGCAATTGACAGAAATAGCTTCTGTGCTTAAGCATGTCAAATGGAGAATAACATACTGGACCGTCAGAGTCGTTTGCAACCACCCCGCCTACCGACCGTCTAGGAATGAGTGTTAATCAATGATTCCACGAAGCATCATTCCAGTTGGGCGGAACGGACTAGGAATCTCAACTTACAAGACCTCATTAATCTGTTTCTTCTTTGCTGCCCGGCCCTCTTGTTTTGCTACCAATGCTATCCTGCCCTCCCACCACTGTTTCTCATGGTCATGTTGTGAACGAATCAACCTCCTAATATTGGACTGAATAGTCTCATTATGAGCCACGGTTTTCATGACATATTTCAAGGCTGCGTGCCAGACTATTATGGTGGACGGGTCAGGTAGGTTCGCTGTTGGGTCTAACTGCTGAGGGGTTTGTGCTTGGGTTTCATGGATAGAAATAGGAGCTGCTCTAGAATACAAATTCTGACCCGAGACCTGAATCGCTGAGTTCAAGGGAGGCCCAGATTGGTTGGGAACAGGTGGAACGTACGCCGAAAGCGTCTTGAGAACTGAGGCGAGATCTGGGATAGCATTGTTCGAGGGTGCTGCCATAACATGCGATTGGGATCTTCTTGACGACAATCCCTTGGATGAAGAGGCTAAAAAGAACGGGCCTTTTCGATTACTGCTCCACCATCAAGAGTCGTAATCTGTAGTTATCTATAACTAACGTAGTTATCTTTATCTCTAATGACTAATGTGGGGCTCTCTCGCACGTTAACCTGGTTGTTTGCGAGGATGACAGTTGAAGAGATGGTGCTAACCCCGATCAGGTGTCGGGTCTTGGCATCCAGTTGCCTTTCCGCATCATAAAAAACTTTCCTCACCAAACAACAGACATCAGGCAACGTCAACGACAGGCCCAAAGCAGCTCTGCCTTCGGTTCTTATTTTCCTTGCTGACGGAAACAGTTCTTTCGGGGCTTGTATTGCCTGTAGAATTTTGGAGAGCCTGTGCTTTGTCTTGAACAGCCAATTGACCTAACCTCAGCTCCTTGAGCAGCCATGTCTCGTTCCGCAGCGGACGCAACCCGCTTCACAGCCACAGGCCCATATGCTTACTCGAAACCAGCAGCGACCAGTTCGCCGTCCTCACGATGGGCGGGAGCGGGAAACGGTCCATCCAACACGGCCCGACTGAACCCGAACCCCGAGGGCGCGAAACGGGAGACTCCCAAACAAAAGGTTGAGCGACTACGTGCTGAGGCCCGGGCCGCACGGTACGCGAAGACCTTCACCCCGTTGGATCGACTCATGATGAAGGGGCGGATATGGGCTGATCGTGCGCATAAAATTACGGTGTATACTCTCATAGCTGCATCTGGTATGGTTCAATCCCCGCATCTCCGAATCCCCCCCAATGCGGAAGTATTTCCATGTTGCATAACATTTTAAGTTTAGCGCGGCTAGCATATAAAAAGGGGATATGTCGTAGTTGCTTTCCTCTATGGATTTCCTTTCCGATTTCTTATTGAAAGAGTGCTAATGTGTTTTTGCATCTTGAATTTAGGTATTGCTGCTGCTCTCACAGTCTACTCTGCCACATCGCTGATCATTTACAATCGCCGGCAACGACAACTGTGGATTGATAAAGAATTGCAAAAGCTCTTGGACGCAAGAAAGGCTTACATCGCAGGCAATCCCACGCCCGATCAGCTCAGATTACTTGAACAGGAAAAGCTTGCGGAAGAGGAAGTAAGGAGGAAAGAAGAATTGAAGAAGGAAAGCTTGTTTAATAAGGGGAAAGAGTGGCTATTTGGAGGATTGAAAATGGAAGATGGTGCAAATGGTGACCTGAAAGGGAGTGACGAAATCCCGACTGCGAAACCGAGCATTCTCGAAGTCGTAAATGCCAAGAGAACGGAAAATGGTCCCTCATTTGAACAGGGACCGATCCCAGGTGGACTGGGCCAAATGGATCAAAAGACAGATGGAGGACCTAACGAACCGAAACGAAGCTGGGTGAGCTGGATAACGGGACGGTAAATACGGTGGCAAGCTCGTTCCAGCGCGATCTTCCCTGGCCATCAATTTCAGACGCCCTAAATCGCAAAATGAGGAGCCGGGGGGGGGTTCTCTCATTTTTCTTGCCCTCCGTGAACGTATACTCGTTTCCCTTTGGACCAATTGGTCGGAGATTTTCACTGTGCATTTTACCAGCATTGTTGTGGCCATTTTCAGGAGTCTTTGGCGTATATCAGAACTCGTTTCCCCTCTATTTTGTACCAACACATCTCTCATCCATCTTCTCGCAATATATACAGAACAACAGCATAATAAAAATCAGATAAGTGGTACAACCATGATTCAATCTATTTTTGCATCCTATTTGTGGCCAGGTTTTTGGTGAATGTGTCTGTTTGACCCCAGAGCTTCGAAGCTCGCCTCACATATCAGGTGAACATAGGTAGATGTGAAAGCGCTACAGGCGAGTTTATAATAAGCAGCGGAACAATGACTTTTTTTGAGGCCCAACGCCCTAGAGAACAACAATAGCACCGAATTTTAGAAGTTCTCATTGAATGTTAAGGTTCGTCAAACGCAAACAACTTGGATACAACCTTTGGAGAATCCTGGATAAACCCAAACCCAGCACGAAGGACGGTTTGACCTTTCCAACGTCATTTTTGCAACCTCGTTTGCGTTCTCTACCAACATAACTAACGTGCAGGATGAAATGAAAGGGTCAAACCCGTCTGAAGAATATGAAAAAATATTTGCTTGCCAACGAAAATAATACCAGGGCTGGAAAGTGTGGTATCCCGCAACCAGTAATGCAGCTGATCATCTTTCCAAGTCGAGTGCTATGCATGATTGAAACTCGTACGCAGATCGCGTGGAGTTGAATCTCCTTTTTGTTAACTCATATGCAAGAGCTAATTTGTTCATACAAATATACAGGGGCAGAGAACCACTGCTGACTGCTCACTACCATAACGCCGCAATCCCTCTTTCAAGTTCTAGAAGAGCGAGGCAAATTCCCACGGTCCTGGTTGGCCGCGGGCGCGAGTTTGTTAGCGTGTCACAAAACTTCCATTGCCCGGTGGGTGAAGAGGGGTTTTCCAGATTTAGTCACGCCCGAAGGACTGGGACGTCTGCATTTCATAGCCAATTAGAACACCCATTGGCGCCAACGGCAACATTCTAGAAGGGAGAGGACGAATTGTTGGTGGACTTTGAATTGGAGAACAATATGGAGATCGAGCTAAGGGCATGCCATTGTTACAAGGCTAGAGCGGCCAACTCACCGCTGATTTGGCTCTGATCTCTCTGCAGAAGCATGGAATAGCCGATGAGCCAGTCAGCGGCTCGTTCTTGTTGAAAATCCAATGGTTCGGAGTACGCTGGGACGGGTTATGCCCAACGTTGCTAAACTACTCCGTTCAAAGTACCTTTTAACGAAAACGAAGTAGCCCATGCACAAGCCCATCATAATAATATTCTATTAACCAGCATCGCAGCAAGTCAACGGGTGAAATAGCATGATATAGCATGATACAATCATAACGCAGATAATGGTCTCAGCATATTATGAGATTCCCTTCCTATCCCTCCCTCTCCCTCTCTCCATCGGGCTGCCCTAGAAAGGTTCGGGAATATCCATGCTATTGGTTGCGCCAGCTGCTGCAGCGCTGCAGCGGAAACATCTCAGTTTGGAGCTTGCTGGTAATGTGATTGTGGCGTTTGGGGGAGCTGTGGATGTCTTCCAAGGCCGGCTAACAGGGGGTTTATCTCAGGGATAATCGGCTTTAGCGTCATTTTTCTCAGACTGGGTGTCATGGACCAGTTAATGCTATTTTCTGTGAAATTGGCCCTGGTTGTTAGTGATCGATTCTGAGATCCCCGCTCTGTCAATCTTCTTGTGGTTGCAAATTCCGTCGTGATTTTCCACACATCCACCAACCGTATGTGCCAAACTTCGCCCTCTACCAGATTTTGGGACGAATCATAGAATCATAGTTTGGATTCCCATCCACCATTGAGAACAGTCGGTTCGTTAACTGGCCGAGTGGCTTTGCCTTGGATCAGGTTCTTGATCAGGCCGTCACTGAGCGTGGGCATGCATGTGGATTTATCAACGGCTGGATTTTCCTGAAACTGAAGATACTCTTTTTCCAGATGGCGACAGGGAGTGCGCAACTTTCCATAGAGCCTGAAGTCGGTAATCGCAACCTCTACAGCGTTGAGTGATTAATCAGTGTTTCAACCATGCTCACACCGGATTCACCTATACAGCTCGATGCAGCATCCGACGAGACAGATAGCACAATCTACACCGACTACGATTCGATAGCCTCGACACTCCCTAATTACATATACCAAAACGGGCGACGGTATACTTCGCAAGGCGTGAAATATGTTCGTAGAAGCCTTGTCTGAAGCTGTGGATGGGTTGTCACTATGCTGACATGAAGTGATTACCAGTTACTGCCGAACGATGAACGTGAGCAAGAACGTCTCGATTTCCTCCACCACATATTCCGATTGACGCTAGATGGGGACCTTTGTTATACAAAACTAGAGAATCCCCAGAGAATATTGGATATCGGAACGGGTACGTTCTAAAATCCTTCCAACCCATATCACTACTCTAGCATCGAATCAGCACCCTCGGCGCGGATATGTGACACCTTCTATAAGCTAACACTCATCACGCCAGGGACCGGTATATGGGCGATGGATAGCAAGTATCCCCTCTGGTTGACGCATATATCATCGAATATTATATGCTAATACTTCGAGGCAGTGGCGGAGATTTACCCTGGTGCTCATGTCATCGGAACAGACCTTTCTCCCATACAACCCGGAGGGTGAGCTTCGAAAATCCAATGAACTAAGCAATCAGTAGTTAATCACATAACTGACTTGTCCCCCGCGAATGAAGAATACCAGATAATGTTGAATTCATAGTGGATGACGCTCTACAAGAGTGGACGTTTCCTGAATCGTCCGTTGACTTTATACATATTCGCTGCTTAGGGGGCAGCATACCTGACTGGCCTCAGCTTCTATCTCAATGCTATAAGTGAGTTTATCCACCGTGCATACCCTTCCCTTTCATTGAGCTTCATGACTGATTGATATTTTCTGAAGAGTGATCCGACCTGGTGGCCAGATTGAATTGTCTGAGGCACGCACACAACTTTGCTGTGATGATGGAAGTTTTCCAGAAGAATCTCTTTGTAAGAAATGGATGGTGAGTTTATGGTCTAGTGCACATGAATCCAATCATATCATAATTTCTTATCTGTCATCATTTCAACCACCCTTGTCTAAAGATTTGCATACAAACACAAAAGAAAAAAGGAGAACTCAGTTATTAACAACCACTGTAGAAAGAACACCAGCGACTTGCCAAAAAATGCGGTTTTCACTTCGACGTTTTCCCAGAATTCCGCGGATGGGCATACAATGCAGGCTTCGTCGACGTTGACACGTCGGAGAAGATTGTGCCTGCCGGGACATGGCCAAGAGACAGGAACTTAAAACGTCGTGGGGCCTATTTTATGGCTCAGCTTTTGGATTTTGCACTCGACAGTTATTCTGTTGCCCTGTTTACCCGTGGCGGAGGCTGGCATGAAGAAGAAGTGCGAGGTTTGTTGAATGGCGTGAAAGCCGAGCTACGGACTAACAAAATGCATCTTTACACTCACTTGTACGTCGTCTACCTTGGAAATAATTCTGATGAAGAACGCTTACTGATATATTCATGTAGCTCCTTCTGCATCGCCAGAAAACCATTGAATGGATAGGAGAACTAAGCAACATTTTTTTTTCTTTTTTTTTTTTCGGGCACTCTCGCCTCTTGGCAAATCCTTATTTGCTACGGTACGACAGAAAATTCAAGCGGAATACACAGCCATTCGAAATGGCAAAAGAAAAGTTGCGCCTATCATTTGTTTAGGAATTTACCGATTATTACACCTGTATTCAGAAACTTGCCTCTTCCGTCGACGCTCAAGCCCCTTCCAAGTCCCATGCATGATGCGAAGCCGTTCCTGGTAATGCGCGGTAAAAATAATATCCGTTGTTCTTCACGCCAGACACGCAGTCCACCATTTACATGGAATGGCAATAATGCCTGCCGATATGAAAAATCGAGGAAAAAAATTAGCTATTTTATGACCGCTGTATAATTTACCTAGTACTATCTCGGAGAAAGAAGAAGTTGAAGGCTAAGAAAGCGGCACGGGAAATTTATAGAACCAAAGGATGATGGCCGATCTTTACGCCGGTTTTCTTGTTCCATTCTATTTGCTTTTTAATATCTCGTGGTTAATTATTATTTCCAGGCAGAACCCTAATAAATGTCATAATTTTCCTTCACATTTTTATTACATCCCGTCATCTGGACCCAGAATATCCGAAACACCAACCCATCCCGCTCCTCTCCACTCCATCTATTTCCAATTCTCAAAGAAAAGATGTAAACGAGGTTGATATCTCCCCTTTACTCCAACCTTATATTATTTTAAAAAAAAATGGCTTTGTCAGGAGTAAATTGGCAGAAATACGGCCTGGGGTCTCGTTCACCGTATCAAAGTCTGACGCCCAGCCACAAGGCCAGGCCAGCCACACCACTGCTTACGAAACGATTCAGCTCAACTCTTGGTATGACTGCATACAGTTCCAGTTACAAGCGGTGGGCTTGTCCAGCTAGGAGGCCTTGGAAAGTTAGCAGCGAGCGCTGCGTGCTTGTTGATGTTCGGCAGATATTTCATTATCTATTTTCATTTTTGGGGCTTTTTTTCAGGCTAATGATAATTAACTAATCGTGCCTCCGCGCACCCACACCTGATGTGGGTGCGCCACAGTGTAATGATAAAAATATCAACTTCTTTATTAATCAATCTTCACATATTAATATATCACCACCACCATGATCAATAAGATAGATGATCTTGAAAAACATATTCAGAGTGTCATTGAAGTCTATAATGACAATTGAAAACAGAAAATCTTATCTCTAACACACAAATTCAACATTTCTTATCAATATCTTTGAGCAAGAATCAATGAAAGAAAAACATACAATGCAAAGACTGCACTGAACAAGAAGCTTAGCAAGAGCCAGGAGAATGTGTTAAAAGAGTGAATAGCTCATATGAACAGAAATAATTGCTTACTGACTGCAGAGCAGATTCAAGATAACATAAATCTCATTCTTAAACATCATCATACTGATTCTTCAACCTTCTCATCTGTGGTCAGCAAGATATAAACCTATCAATATATACAAAGCTTGAATGAGTATAAAAGAGTTAAGCAGAAGGCAATAAATCTGAAAAGAATTGCTGTTGAGAATATTAGCTATATCAAGATGTGATTTGACTGTTTGAAAATCTTACTTCAAAAGTACACATTTCAAATCTGTAATATCTACAACTTCAATAAGATTAACTTTCAAGAGGGTCAAAAATGTGAAGAATAAGTTATTACTGCTTTAAAAGACTTTAATTCAGTTATAACTTCATCATATTCTCAAGAATTGATCACTATGATTGAGTGTGTTTCAGTAGATAATAAGATATTGAATTTCTTCATCATCATAAAATTCAAAACTCAATTTGAAGATTGATATACACAAAGCAATCTACCAGGCAGATATACAATCATGACATCAGATACTGATTATATCAATGATGAGATTGACTTTATATGAATTCAGCACTTTAATAAGATCTCTAAAAAATATCAGCAAGACAGTCATCAATTGCTACTTCTTGACAATTATGAATCTCATCTCACTGAAGAATTTTTACAATGCTGTGATTTTCACAAGATTATTCTATATGAATTTTCTTCACATTCAACTTATATACTGCAATCTTTAGACAGTGTATCTATTCAGCAGTATAAGCACTATTATTCAAAGACAATTAATCAAGCTATGTAATATGAATATAAGTAGTATGAAAAACATCAATTTCTACAGATACTAGTTGATGTTTGCAAAAAGACTTTTCAATCTTCTACTATTCAGACTGACTTCATAGATTGTAATATTGTCTCATTCAACTTAGAATCTATATTGCTTAAGCTAGATTCAAAGATCTCTGACTACTCTGAGTTGCAAATATATGAAGAAGACTTTTTTTCACTGCAATCAAGCTGTTCAGATACTGCTTCATCATAGCTATTCTCATTCAAGACAATTGAGAAGTTACAATATCATATTTAAGTGACAAAGAAGGTAATATAAGATATGAAGAATACATTTGATTTCAAATCACCTCATCTGAGCAATCAATTGAACAAGATTTTCCAAGATAGTCTTGTTCAGACAGAACTCAATGCTATAAAAGAGAGTGAGATTGAGAGTTATTATCTTGCAATCAAACATCATAGCACTAAAAATACACATCAGCAGGTTCAAGTAGAAGGTATACTCACTGTCAGAGATGCAAATAGAAAGATCATGCAATGTAAAGAGAAGGAAGCAAAAAAAGAACATTATAAGAGAGTCAAACATATTGAGAGAGCTTTGAAGAAAAATGTCACAGATTCAACTTAACAAGAGGTTAATGATATATATGAACATCTCGCGAATAATACAGCTACTACAGATGATATAGATAAATTAATTATCATAGATTAGCAGCATGGTGATGAGATATTAATTTTTGAAGTTCTAATTATCCATATTTTTATCATTACACTGTTTTTATCATTACACTGTGGCGCATCCACATCAGGTGTGGGTGCGCGGGGCACGATTAATGATTAACTCTTCTTCAAACCAAGCACCTTTGTAGTCTATGAGGGAAGCGACTGATGCCTTTGTTCGATCGATCTGAGAGTTTTTCGCAGATATTGCAGCATCCTGCTGCATCATATGCTAATCAGATCAATTAATTAATTACTGAAGACCACCTTGTATTTTACAGACCACACATGGATGAAACTACAGAATATATGAGGTTTCATATATATTCTACTCTCTCTTGACTCATTTCATGCATCCTTCATCCTCAATTTACAGGGATAAGGAATTCAGGTCTTTGTTTGATATTGAAACTTCTACTAAGGGCGACAAGTATTCAAAAGTCCTCTTCTAACGTGCAAGAGTCTGCGCACAAATCATCCTCTTCATCAAGTGTACATAGCTCTATGAAGCAATGAATAAAAAGATGAGAAGTCAGGCACAATATCTAAATACCTTCATTAAAAAACTATTCAGCTTAGCGGTAGGAGCAGTGGGAGAAGTGGCAGTTATGGGACAAACTCAGATGCCATATTATTTCTTAATGTATACATTAAGAAATTATATTTCTCTTCCTCTGATTCCCCACTCTATTTTCGGATTTATCTATTATAAGCCTTTGTTTGCATCTCGGAATATTACATTTTGCATGTAATTTACTGTAATTGATCTTTTACATTGTAACTTTACTGCTCCTGTTCTCTCTTCGGAATCAAATCCAATCTCTAAAATGCTGTTTTTTCCTCAACATGATTTACGTAATATTCAGGAGAGTGTGTCCGTCAACTAATCTGCAAATATGAGAAATACTGTCATGCTCAAAATATCTAAGCATATGCTGATATATGCAAGGGATGGTTGATTGACCAGAAACTGCTTATGAATGGAAAAAAGTAGTCAACATTTTCATATCCCTAAAAAAAAAAAGGAAAAAATACTTAAGCGGACCCATTGACATGACCGTTAGTGATTCCATTCGTACCATTCGTACAATTAGTCGTGGTTTCATTTTGCTTTGCACCATGAACAGACCTACGAACACGAACAGCCTCAGCAAGATTCTCGAGCACGCTGACGGTCATTTCCCAATTGATGCAGGCATCAGTTATGCTAACACCCTTGACGAGACCCGATGGTCCCTCAGGCGGCACCTTCTGGTTACCTTCGTAGATGTTCGACTCGATCATGACGCCAATGATGCTCTTCTCGCCACTCCGCAGCTGGTCCGCAACACTGTTTACGACTTTTGGCTGATTGAGATGGTTCTTGTTCGAGTTGCCATGCGAGCAATCCACCATAACGATTTCGCGTTGCTTCGTCTTGCGCAGGTCTTGGCGGGCAGCTTGAATGCTCTCTGGGTCGTAGTTGGTACTCTTCGTGCCGCCACGGAGGATCACGAAGCCATGCTCATTGCCGCTCGTCTTGGTGATGGCGGCCAGTCCCTGTTTTGTGACGCCTAGGAAGTGGTGTGGGTGTGCAGCTGCCCCAATGGCGTCTATAGCGACCCCGAGATTCCCGTCTGTGCCATTCTTGTAGCCAATGGGGAAGCTGAGACCTGAAGCAAGCTCCCGGTGGAGCTGGGATTCGGTTGTTCGGGCGCCAATGGCACCCAGGGAGATGAGGTCTGCGAGGTACTGGGGAGAGACTGTGTCCAGCATTTCGCTGGCGATGGGCATACCCATTCCATTGAGGTCAGCGTAGAGTTTTCTCGAGATACGCAGGCCCTTGTTAATATTGTAGGATTCATCAATATCTGGGTCGTTAATGAGGCCCTTCCAGCCTACAGTGGTGCGGGGCTTCTCCAAGTAGGCACGCATGATGATACAGAGGTCCGACTTGAGCTTGTCGGAGAGAGTCTTCAGTCGTCTACCATATTCTAGGGCACTGTCTGGGTCGTGGATGGAGCAGGGCCCACAGACAACCAGAAGACGGTCATCCCGTTGCTCAATGATTTCAACGACCTGTTCGCGACTGTGTTTAACAGTTTTGATGGCTAGTGCTGGCTGAACAGGGTGTTAGAAGCCTTGTATATCTTGCAAAGAGTTGTCTCGCCTCCCATTTTCTTCGTATCTCTTCAGGTATCACCCTCTTTATTGGCCGTAAGCATCAGAACAGGTGTGACTCACAGCACGGATTTCATTCTGGAGAAACTGGGGGGAGAGGAGAGGGTCATATCCCAAGACTAACATATCAGTTAGTTCCATGGGAGTGTTTTTAAAGCGATGATAAGATTTAAGAGTCGTCAACTCACTCCGGGTGTCCTCATTGACCTCAACAGCAGCCTTGACGAGCGGCATTGTGAGGGTGGTGATGTATATAGAAAAGGGTATTTGCGTGGTTGTAGCTAGCTCTGCGCAGGGTTTTTGTAAGTCTGCAAACGACCTAGTTGAGAGCACAGAAAAGAAACCAAACACAGCTGGCGACGTAGCGTTGTTATTTAAGAACTAAAGAAGCAAGACACAAAAATGGGCTTTGGGGGCTTATGGGCGGGGCTTTTGTTTTTCTCGCTGGAAGGTTGGTTACTTTTTTATCATGGTGCTACCTGGAGATTTTGGTGGTGCTTAACTTTATCAGTCTCTTAGGGCTCCGGGCCGCGCGACTGACTCAGATAGAGTGCGTTCCGATGGATTTTTTCTGGCGCTGCCCGCCGCCTTGTGCACTGCATTTTTCGTTTCGGTAGATTGCACGTGACGCGTGTCATTGTTCCTCTTAACTTAATTCTCAGGTGGGTGGAATACTATACGGCGGATGTGGGGGGAAGGTTTTGGGTTCAGACAAGCCTTCCAAAAGCCACGAACAGGTGAATAATTGGGCTCCATGGATGTGTCGCATCCCGAGGCGAGGGGTTTGGATACGGGCTGCTGGAAAAATAAGAGTTGCAAGAACCTGTCAGGGTTCAGTGCTGTTCAGCACTGTTCAGCGCAGTTCTGTGTTGTTCAGTGGCTCCCTGAAAGATCCATGGGCATGCCCTGGGCATTTAATTGGCTCTCCGGCTCTCAGTTAACTTTTTTGGAATCCCCAAAAGCCTCCGCTGCCGCCCAATCCGGGATCTCCATGCAGGCTGAGCTCGCCGCGAATTGAAGCCCAAAATAGGACCTTTTAAGTTGTAGTCAACACACTGCTAGGTTTTGCAGCTAGAGCTGTCGCCCGCAGCCAATTGATAAGCTGCGTGCTGGACAACTCAACTTTGGGTTTCTAATGCCGATGAACCCTGCCCCTCCTCTCTTCCACTCTCTTTTTCTGGGATCTACAGGCACAAAATGTCAGAAACATCACAGCTTCATTTCCTCTCAAAATTGAACATTTCAGCTTGAATTTTCAAAGGTTATGAAGCACAAACCGCTGGGTTATCAAGTGGTTTGACAGTAGGTTTACATCTTTGTGGCAGGCTTTCGGCTCTCTCCATCCATTGGTGGGTAATACAAAACAGAGAAAAGAGTGGTTACAATTCACAGAGACAGGTCGATTTTGAGGTTCAAATGAAAGGATACGAGTCAAATGACATGCTGTGCTCGTGTCCTCATTGCTGTCATTACCAGCGGCTTGCCTGCATGGCGTGGCTTCAAGGTTTGACAAGTCTATTTGAGGGAAATGATTTCTACTGGCATGAATTTATTGGCGGCTACCCGGCCACGGTGTTTCTGGACTCCAAAACTTGTACCAGTGCGTGCCGTTCATTCTCTGTTGTGAATACAGTTGCCAACCCGCCTAGAATCTATCGCTCAGATGACTGTTTATCAACTGATAGTCAGAGCCTTACAATGTCTCTTATCATAACAGTATCATGTGGAGATATCGGAACTGATGTCAACATACCATGCCTCCTCGCACCCGTGCAACATCACCCCATTTTCATTTTTTCGCTGGAGAGGGAGGTCAGCGCGACCAGAGCTGATCACCCGCTATTTTCAGCCCTCGCGAGTCGCGACCTGTGAAGTTGCAACTTGCAAGTAAGGTCAGATCGAGGATCGACCGCTGTTTGGCTCCGAACAGATTGAGCACGGAATAATTGTGTCACCAGTCTCAACTAATCAAACAATTTTGCAGTATCCCGTATTAAATGGAATATTTTTCCTCATTGTTTTGCCTAAAATTAATTCTTGAACCGATAACCTTCTCGGTTAGCTATACAATTGCGGTAATTTTTCTTCATGACTCTGACTCTGTATTCTGGACTCCATCCATTCGGCGTCTTGTCTATGTACACACGTGTCTTCTTATGGGGACAGAATGCCTTTGTTGCCGGGAATTGTTCCTCAGTGCCTCTTTTGCGTATCCATGTCATCGAAGTAATAACCTGAAAAAGACCTAGTGTCTGCCAAATTTGCCAGTATTATTACCATTGCCAAGACGCTACTGAGTAAGCTTTGCGCTTATTCTGCATTTTCAGGTACTGCGTTAAACTTAACAGGGTTAAATTGGCGGCTAATTTCCGGATTAATAAACTTCCCGATACCACTGCGTGTCTCATTTTGGCGCTAGTACCAAAATAGGACTAGCGTCAGGGTGCAAAAACTCTCTAAACGCTCTGATTGAACGCTAGGGCTTACCAGCTTGAGCGCAATCATATCCCAAAAAGGTAACAATATGGCGCTTATATCGGCTACAGTCAGCCACAGCAACCTTCAAAACTCCAAGACTCCAAGCTCCTATCTCAAACAGATTATCTCCAGGGATCAGACAGGAGTAGTATCATGCAGGCTGAAACCTTGCACCATTGCCCTCTACAGCGCTAATGACCAGTCTGCTCATTACATATCTGATATCTGCTTCTTGCTCGCTCCTTTTATCCATTCCTCCCAAGTTACTCCTTTCAAACACGCAGTGTTGAGACGTCACCTCCACCTCATACACCTTGCAATTCCTCGTCACATATATCGTCTGGCTAACCAGGAGTGATGTCTTCTATATGTTCTAAACGTCAGAGGGACAACGGCTTTGAGGCGCAAGATGTGGACTGGGAGCGGGAACGAGAGCGGAAGGTAGGTGTTCGCGAAACACATTCCCCAATTTCTATTTTGATACACCAATTTTGAGGGCTGGCCTTAAAATATATGTTCACTGTTACTCCCTTCTTAATTTACTCAGCAAATTGCCTACTCTGACTGACCTCTTCCCAGAAACTGCGGCCACTTCCATTCCGGGCCTCCCCAACATCGAAACACACCACTCTATTCTCTCAAACTCACCAGTTCCTATCTGTCGAAATCCTCCCAACCATTACTCCAGTCGAATCATCCGATGACGATGAAAATGGTACGGTGTCGGACATGGTTTTGTCCCCTCGAAGCCAAATGGGGAGGAAGGACGACATGCCATTTCTATCCATTCGGGTGCAGCCCTCTCCCGACACAGACTCGGATCTTGAAATGACCGACCAACCCCGCTCGTCGAACAACTTCTCACCACTCTCCACTGGACTGACACCCAGCTGGCCTGGGAATGCTGTACCATCGCCAATCCCCCATCATCTCATTACACAGTCTCTCAGTATCAGCGGGGGCCGCACTGCAACTCCGATCTACGGACATTTCACAACGGATATGAAGGTGGATGCCATGATCCAGCGTTCTGATAATGCAAATAATAACCCACCTTCTTCTTCCGCCGTTCCTGCTGCTGCCTCAAATCCTGCTTTGCCCAGCAGTTCGTCACGAGATCCAACAGCTGGAGAAGACTGGTCGCGCCGTCGCAGACTTCCAAGTCCTATCAGCGAAGACGAAATCTCTCCAACTCACCCCTTTCCCCAAGCCAATCGAATTCTCGAACCAGATACTACACCGGCATCTCCATCTACCTCCACTCACTGTTTGGAGGAAACATCACCTAACCACGCCAGCTCAGCTCCGCAGTCCTGGACCACCCACGCCTTGAATCAGACTTCAACAACAACAACAATAACATCATCAACATCAACATCAACAGGCGACCAATATACTGGAATCAGCAACTTAGCTCCACTCACCCAGGACTCCTCTGCTAGCTGTCTGCAGCATGCTGTGGGCAGTGATGATAGGGATGCTTACCATTCAGATGGCTGGGTCACGCAAACAACAACAGCTCCTCTTTCTCCTCCCGCCGCCAACGATATGACTCCCCGACCCGGCAAGTCTAAAATCATCATTGCTATGGGCTTCCGTTCTGACTGTGACAAATGCCAGCGTCGTGTACCTGGACACTACAGCCATATCATCCGTGGTTAGATAAAGTCACCGTCGCTTTTACTTTTGCCTTTTTTCTTTTTTCCTTTCCTTTCTTTTTTCAGTTTGCACAAGAAATAGCGACGACAATCAATTACCCTACATTTTGTATGCGAACCTTTGCTTGTTTTATCCCTTGTATTTTAACTATGAACTTATGGAGGTGGTCTTTTTTTCTTCTTGATAGCAAAGACACACTGCGCTTGTACACCTGCGAAATATTTGTGCGTTGCGCCGCTTTTGTGCTATATGATAATTTTGATATTGGCGTTTATTGGTTTACTCATGTAACCTATAAGAACGAACGGCTGGACCTAGTAACTAGTCCCGATTGGCAATAGAATGGAATTAGAATTGGTGGAATGTATGACAAGTTTTATGAGACTATTTTTATTTTATTTATTTTATTTTTTGGCAGTTGATCGTCCTTCCTCTCCAACCTTTGTCTATTATTTCTGAGATCTCAAGTCGGCTATTTACTCTGAGTCTACGTATGTGGAAATGGTAAGCACATATGGGTAAGTGGTCTCTCCGTGAGCGTGTACGGAACCCAGAGAGGGTAAAGACGGATTTAAAAACATATATCTCGTTGAAATTGACGTACCACAAAAGGTTCGCGTCTTGGCCCCGGTAAGAGGTAGAGTGCAACAACCACATGTTTCCATAGTCGATGGCATCTCCAGGTTGTGTCCTTGGTTTCAACAACGGACGGTCCTGGAGAACGGGCCGGCATAACTCTGATAGCTACCAAGATTTTCCATGTTTTAAATTTGCTTCTATCAAGGGATAAACAAGGGGTAGTTTGTCGATTGACAGAAAATTTTAGATATATATCTGTACGTGGAGAGTTCATAACCAGCCTCACTGTATAGCTATTGAAATGGCATGCAGTGTATCCCAGAACAATTTACGGAAACAAAAGGAAGAAAGGATATATAACCATGAGCACGTTTAAGCTTAACCAGGCAAGCTGTCCAATAAAAACTCAATAGCATTGCAAAATTAAGCCATCCCATTCCCATTACTACCTGTGGTATCACGTAGCATAACGTAGTAGCAGATCATCGCTTGGCAGAGTAGTTGTCAAACCCGCCAGAATCTTCCTCTTATCCCCATTACTACCAATGACAAAAAAGGACCCATATCAAAGCAAATGCTCCGCCATCTGTCATCACCCGTTCAGCCCAGCAACTATCATAATAAATCAACATCATCCTCCGCCTCCGCCTCCGCCATCGCCACCACCTCCTCCACCGCCGGAATCACCACCGCCACCATCGCTGCCAAACCATCCGCCACCTCCAGATCCACCTCTCCGCTTTGGATTCCGTTTACTATAGGCTTGTTGGTAATACTGGCTTTGATATACCGGACGACCCATCTGTGGGTAGTAGGCGACAGGGCGGGATGGCGGGGTTTGGAAGTCTCGATCCTTAGAGGAAAAGCACATTGTCTTTAGTGGGTTTGTTGTTTTTATCTTTTTTTTTATATTTTTATATTTTATTTTTGATTGTGGAGGTTTGTTCGTGTACAAGAAGATAGAAGATATGCGGTTTTTGGTCAGAGAAGGGATATAAGATACAAATATAGGGGGGTGTAAATGTATCCTCTCGCTGTGGTTGAGTGTGGCTATGATCTGGTCAGTCAAGGAGGGTGTTGTTTGAAGATGAGGCCAAAACAAAATAGAGATTGCAAATATTCGTTGTCTTATATAGATAGAATCAGACCCCTTGTCACCTCCACAGATCAATCCATATATTTATAAAACAACTCAGGTCAAAGGAAAGTGGAAAGATCTTCGATTTTGAAACACGTAAATATCCCAGAGAAGATAGCCTTGTTGAAACGATCGCCATTATTATTGTTTAGGCCTAAATTCTGTCAGCCTTGTCATTGCTCGCTGAGAACTTAGCCGAAGGATATCATATTCCACTGCTAAATTGTGAACGAGTCGCTGGGAATTGTGTATGCATTTTCTATATATTGATGCACACCAAAAACCCTGCTGCACCACAGCCCCAGCGGATTGGGGCTGAGCTTTGCGCACGGGTTGATCGCACGTCGAACGCTTCGGGGAGATTCAACGTCATATTCTAGAAGACTTGAAGTTCACACGTTAGACGCTTTGGTTGATTGTAAGCCCGACTCAGCAGTTTTGCACAAGATCCATGGATGGGTAAGGAGCCTTGAGGTTGGAATACGAGAGGGTTCGCTGCAAATGGTGGTTTGGTCTGGGGCTGTCCAGTCCTGGAAAGTCACGAGATCATGATGGCCCTTAAAAGGGGAGGTTTGGAAGACACATTCAAGGAAGATTCAAAATAGTCCCCTTTTGCCTGTGTTTTAGTCAGTTTGGGTTTTCTCTTTCTTTTCCTTTGTCAAGTCTGCATTTTGTTCATCGGGTTGTTTGATAGACAAGTAGACAAGTTTGTGAACCAATTCCACAACAGATGCTTAACGTAATCAATAAGCGAGCGAACCATATAAGTGAGCGAACCACTTCCCACCCTTCATATAATGAGAAATGCTCTGCATCAAAAATGTCAACCATACAAAGAAATAAAGCCTCTACTCAGGAAGGAAGGCTTCTTTTAGCCATTCAAGCACTTAAAAATGATCAAATTTCAAGTGTATGAGCTGCAGCAAAGCTATATGAAGTCACTTATGCAACTTTAATTCATTATATATATGGTCATACAGCACATATTGACACTTTCTCAAAAGAACTGGAAATTTAGTCTTACAGAGGAAGAATCTCTTGTTCAATGAATTCTGGCCATGGATGAGCAAGATCAGCCTCTCTGAGTTACAGCTGTATGAGAAATGGTCAATCTCCTTCTTGCCAGTCAAGAATCTAACCCCCTACTCACAGTGGGTGAATACTGGGTATAAAACTTTGTCAAGCATCATGATGAGCTGAAATTCAAGTTCTCACACAAGTATGATCATCAGCAGGCTCTATGTGAGGATTCTGAGATTATCTGTGAGTGATTTAGACTCATACAAAACACTATTGTGAAGTATGAGATCTTGAAAGATGATATCTATAACTTTGATGAGATAGAGTTTCAGATAAGTGTAATTGAGACTGCCAGAGTGATGACTGAATCTGAAAGAGCTGAGAATCCCAAGCTTGTACAGTCTGAAGATTGAAAATAAGTGACTGTTATTGCTGAAGTCAATACAACTGACTGAATCTTACATACTATAAGGGGTTGAACCCCTAGATTCGCTCTGGCTGGCTGACTCAGCCTAGCCATCGTTTGCACGTGCGCACGTGATCATGCTACGCGAGCTTGCTTAAGCTCGAGTTCTCGTCTCATTCTTTTCTTCCCTTTCTCAAGCAATTCGTCCTTGTTATATAGGAGGACTAGCCTCTAGTTCTTAGAGCTTAACCCTTTACACATACAATGATTATTCTCAAAGAAAAGATGCATCAATTCTGCTGGTATGAGACAGAAGAACTATCACATGACTGAGTGATTGAAGTCAGTGAGAATGATTGAATCACTGACCAGCTGAGCTTGTACTGACTGAAAGAGATGTTCAACAAGAAGACTCTATTTTGTATGCAGAGCAAGTATTGATTGTTGATTTTAAACTGACGAAGTTATATCTCAGCTGAATTTGATTAATTTTGCACTGAGAATCACATCATTGCCCTCTACATATCATCACATTTTTTTCATTTTCTTCAGTCATTGAATGTTGGCTGCTTCTCACTCCTGAAAATTGCATACAGACAGCAGATGGAAAATCAGATGTGGTTTGAAATCAATTATATTAACAAGAAGAAGTTTCTGAGTCTTTATTCTGTAGCTTAAATGCAGACTCTGACTGAGAGCAACATCAAGAGCAGCTTTAGAGCTGCTGAGCTAATTTCATATGATTTTGAGCAGATTCTCTCACAGCTTTATAGTATGATGTATATTCCCACTTTTTCAGAGACTTTTCACAGCTCTCAGACCTCCTGGGTGACAGTCACATCATATAATATACATTAATTGAAGCAGCAGACTAAGAAAGTTAAAGAATATATCAAATATCATACACAGAGTCTACTTAGTTCAACCAATCATGCTCTAAGTTAGCTGGTCAAGGGATGTCAAATGACAATACAGAGTGCTGTTATTCTAGCAGCTGAAAACAGAAAGTTAAGAGCTTAAAATGTCAAACAAAAGAGAAAGTAAGAAAGAGGCTGTACATATGTAGCTTAAGAGAATGCTTTGAGGGTTGAAGAAGGCTTGAATTGTATACAAAGAGTCAATAGATGAGAGTAGAGGTGATTGAGACTGCTGAGTTGTGATCACAAAAACATGCAGCATCACAGTGTAGTGTCTGTGGAATTATTAAACATACTGCCTATATATACTCTAAGTGTATAGAATATAATTTATAATGTAATTTGCTAGTTTTTCTTTATAGTTGAGGCTTTGAAGACATTCTCATTATATAGAGAGTGAGAAGTGATTCACTTGTTTATATGGTTCACTTATTGATTACATTAATGTAATCAATAAGCAAGTCAGCCACATAAGCAAGTTGGTCACTTTTCATCTCATCTCAGAACAACATCTTTATCATCAAAAATATCAATCACACAAAGAAATAAAGCCTTTACTCAGGAAGAAATGCTTCTTTTAGTCATTCAAGCATTTAAAAATGGTCAAATTTCAAGTGTACAAGCTGCAGCAAAGCTGTATGATGTTCCACATTTCATCTTAGATGATCAGATATGTGATTGTACAGCATGCATTAACACTTTCTCAAAGAATCAGAAACTTAGTCTTACAGAGGAAGAATCTCTTGTTCAATGAATTCTGATCATGAGTGAGTAAGATGTGCTACTTCAGATTGCAGCTGTATGAGAAATGGTTAATCTTCTTCTTATCAGTCAGAGATTCAACCTCCCACCCACAGTGGGTGAATGCTGAGTATGAAACTTTGTCAAATGCTATGAAGAGCTGAAATTCAAGTTCTTCTGCAAGTGTGATCATCAATGTGCACTATGTGAGAATTCTGAGATTATTTATAAGTGGTTTAGACTTATACAAAATACTATTGCAAAGTATAAGATTCTGAAAGATGATATCTATAACTTTGATGAGACTAAATTTCAGATGAGAATAATTGAGACTGTCAGAGTGATTACTGAGTTTAAAAGAGCCAGGAATTTCAAGCTTGTACAGTCTGAAGATTGAGAATAAATGACTGTCATTGCTAAAGTCAATATCTCTGACTGAGCTCTGCATATAATGATTATTCTTAAGAGAAAGATGCATCAGTTCTGTTGATATAAGACTGAGAAACTGCTCAGAAATTGAGTGATTGAAGTCAGTGAGAACGGCTGAATAAATGATTAGCTGAGTTTATACTGACTGAAAGAGATGTTTAATAAGAAAACTCTACTCTGTATGAAGAGTACACACTAACTGTTGATTTTGAACTGACATAGAAGTCATGTCTCTGCTGAATTTAATCAATTCTACTCTGAAAATCAAATCATTGCTCTTTATATGCCATCTCATTTCTCTCATCTTCTCCAGTCATTGAATGTTAGCTGCTTCTCCTCTTTGAAAACAGCATACAGATAACAGATGGAGAATCAGATGTGATTTAAGATCAATCATATTGATAAGAAGTTTCTGACCCTATATCCTGCAGCTCAGATGCAGGCCCTGACTGAGAACAACATCAAGAGTGGCTTTAGAGCAACTGGATTGATTTCATACAACTCTAAGCAGGTTCTATCATGTTTTAATACAACAATGCATATTCTCACCTCCCCTAGGACCTTTCATAGCTTCCAGGTCTCCTGGGCCACTGCTACACTGCATAATGTACATCAATTGAAGCAGCAGACTGAGAAGGTCAAAAAATATATCAAGTGCTGTACACAGAGTCCACTCAGTCCAAGCAATCAAGCTCTGAGTCAGCTGGTTAAGAAGTATCAAATGGCAATGCACAGTGCTGCTATTCTAGCAGCTGAAAACAGAGAGTTAAAAGCTGCAAATGCCAAACAAAAAAAGAAGTGAGAAGGAGACCATACATATGTAGCTCAAGAGGGTGCTTTAGGGGTTGAAGAAGGCTTGGATTGTGTACAAAACATCAATAAATGAAAAAAAAAGTGATTGAAGCTGCTAAGTCTCAACCACAAAAACAGACAGCACCACAGTGTAGTGCATGTGGGATTACTGAGTATACTGCTCATACATGCTCTAGGCATATAGAAAATAATTGATAATATAATTCTTTCTCTTTTTCTTTATGATTGAGGCATAGATGCATTCTTATCGTACAGTGGGGTGAGAAGTGGCCGACTTGCTTATGTGGCCGACTCGCTTATTGATTACGTTACGTGATATATGTTATATAAGCAAGGGGATGAGCCGAAACTCTAACTTTTGTAACGGGGAAATTCACGTGACATGGATCTCCTCAGCCCTTGAAAGTTGAAGCTCCGAACTTCGCCAAAACATCATCGGTAACAAAATTTGATGATGGGTTTGGCTTGATGGGGATGAATCATGGATGGTAAAGATTTCCCTTACTAGTTGAAATGCTGTGGAGTGATTTAAAGTCCATGGTTCATTTGCCCATTCGATCTGCTCTCAGCTTGCATAGTGCGTAAGCGTCACTTGTCGGTTGAGGGTGTGGCCGTCGGTTCGCAGGTGGGGATCGGGTCAACAAAATTGGATATATCAAACTGCTCGGCCCGGACTTTACTATCTTGGAATTTTTATACGTCTTCTTGTCCTCAGCAAACTAACATCGCCTGGGCAATGTCATTAGGTATCTTTTGATGCTGTCCTCTATAATTCATCCCTCCCCCAAAACAACCAACTAAATACAACCTCCCTAGTAATCTACCTAGTTTTACATATCATTCACAGGAACAGCGACGATGTCAGGAACAGTGCAGAAAGGCCTGCAGCGAATCCTGAAAAAATCACCGTCAGATGTCGTCATCCTCTCTTCTCTCCGAACAGCAGTAACTCGAGCCAAAAAGGGCGGCTTCAAAGATGCCTACCCCGAAGAACTTATATCCCATGTCCTACGCGCCACTCTTGCCGCAAATCCAAAGCTCGACCCCGCGTTGGTTGAAGATATAGCCATCGGGAGCGTTTTGCAAGAGCTGGGTGGTACAAAAGCTGCTCGAATGGGCCAGATACACGCAGGCTTTCCCAATACCGTTCCTTTCCATACAGTCAACAGACAATGTAGCTCAGGGCTAGCAGCAATCACAACCATTGCGCACTCTATTTCCGTGGGCGCAATATTGGTTGGAATAGGTGGGGGTATGGAATCCATGACGCGCAATTATGGCTCACGTGCTCTTCCAACTGTTTTGTGGCCGGAGCTGCGAAATTCTCCATATAAGGATGCGAGGGATTGCATCATGCCTATGGGCATAACGTCGGAGAATGTTGCAGAGCGGTATGGCATTACGCGCAAAGACCAAGACATCTTTGCAATGGAGTCTCACAAAAAGGCTTCGGCAGCACAAGAGAAGGGACTTTTTAATCGCGAAATCGTGCCAGTTACCACCAAGAGTTTTCTTGAGGGCCGACCTGAGGGACCCGCGACCGAGATTACAGTTACTAAAGATGATGGTGTCCGCACTTCGATCTCGCTCGATAAACTAGCTTCCCTGAAACCAGCATTCTCAGAAACAGGATCCAGCACCGCTGGAAATAGTTCTCAGATCAGCGACGGTGCAGCTGCCACCCTGCTCATGCGCCGCTCGACAGCAACAGAGCTTGGTCTCACTTCCAGTATAATTGGCAAATGGGTATCAACGCAAGTGGCGGGCTGCGCTCCTGATGAAATGGGAATTGGACCTGCCTTCGCCATCCCGAAGGTTCTTTCTCAGACTGGGCTGTCGATATCTGACATTGGGATCTGGGAAATCAATGAAGCATTTGCTAGCCAGGCCCTGTTCTGTATTCGGAAACTTGGTATTGTTGAAAATAAAGTAAACCCTAAGGGTGGAGCGATCGCTCTGGGACACCCACTGGGAGCAACTGGTGCGAGGCAGCTGGCAACTCTGCTCCCTGAGATGGAGAGGCAGGGAGAGCAGGTTGGGGTTGTGAGCATGTGCATCGGAACAGGTATGGGCATGGCAAGTGTGTTTGTCAGGGAATAGAATCTTGCTTGCTTAAGCTGTATGGGATATATCCTTCCATTTTTGCACCATTTTGTTATCCCTAATCTTATTTTATAGGTTTTGTTAACGCATTTAACCGACTGCTCGAGATACCAGCGTGACATTTATCATCAATCGATAGTTATAGATTCTATAAATGTTGGATTGATACAGCATCCGTATATTTCTCTCTTCACAAACACTCCAACTTGTAACTTCACATGTATCTATAGTTATATAACCTCCATTATATGGATTTCTGGTATACCTGAGGGCATACTGTTTCTTATCTCGCTTGGGGAATCCTGTCTGGTTCACACTACAACTAGTTAGTTAATCACGTGATTTATATCCCATTTTCAGCGTTTCTCCGGAACAAGATAAAAAAAACTTCCAACGCAACTGCCCTATGGCAACCGACCCACGGGCTCTGCCGGTGTAGCAATACGCAACCCATTTTGCCTCATATGTAAGATAGCTACTAGATAGGTAGTCGCCTACGGGCGTAGCTCTACCCGCCCTATAGTTCGACGCGGACTCTACTAGATCACGTGCCCTTAAGGCACGTGGACTAACCGCGCGTTAAATAAAAACACACACACACATACACATACACTTCCAACGCAATATCCAACAAAAACACCAAAGATGTCCCTTCCAGTACGTCTGCTGGGCCCATTGGAGGTGGCAACATCTAGGATCTCCAGTTCCCTGTACGTCTGCTCGACTTGCAGACGACAATGCCTACATCAGTCTCTCCGAATGGTCAACCATAACTCCCTATCGCGCCGACCCATCTCGTCCACCAGCAGCTATAACAGCGATAACAACGGCGACCTATCCGTCACTGAGAAGCTGCGCAGGAAAATATGGGGAACTGACAAGCCTCCAGGGCTCAATGATCCATATGGGAGTGAAAGCCAGCTTAATATTGGGAACAGTGAGACGGAGGTGTACGAGGAGGACACGGTCCATGAATCTGAAATGGAGGGTGAGCAGGGAGCCCATGTTGCTACTAACGAAGAGATAGAGCTCGCGAATTATAAGCGTGCGGCTACTTGGGATGGCTTAAAATTTGTTGGTGTGGAGAAGTGGTGGGAACGTCCTCCTAAAGCTGAGGATTGTTTTTATCCGTATGCTCTTTTCTTATACCCCGTTTTCCGCTAAATATCTTTCCAAAAGGTTGAAATGAAGCTCTTTAAAATAGCTATCTAATTTTATTCCACTCAGATTTATGGCTATTGAGAAAACCTCGTCCCGCGACCGGTTCCACCAGCTCCTCCACCAGACCATGGTTGAATTGCTTGTCTTGGAAGACATGAATAAGCCACTTACAGATGTATGCAACATCATTGGCCATGAGGATTACATTCGCAGCATTATCAGCCAGGTGGAAGTGAGACCGTCCAACGATTTCTTGACAGGAACTCTGACATTCCCCAGCGAGGAGGCGAAAAAAGTTGTCTACGACTTGTTTTCCAAACTCTATCAAGAATTGGAGGACAACACCGGAGAAGAGGTAGAAAAGATCACCTACAAGGCAGAGGAGTCTGCCCAACTCGGAGAAATTAGAGCCAGAAAAACAGACGAAACACAACTTGAAGAGGATGGAGAAAGCCACTTGGACCCGGAGACAACGGTTCACCCACCAAAGAATCTGGATTTCCTTACCATGTCACTTGCAGACCCTGAATTTAAATTTGCCGTAAGCTCTCTCCATTACATGTCAAACAGCAATTTACTACCTTCATCACAACCGGGATCCTCTCCCAAACCTTACTCAAAGGACTAACTCGAAAATAAAATAAAAAATACATTAATAGTACCTTAAACGCGCCTCCCAATTGACTGGCTACCGCATCCCAGACCCAGAAATAGCCCAAATCACCAAACCAGTGCAATTGGTGAATTTCCTGATTACTGTGTCAAACCCGAAGCCGAAGAAGCTGGCCGAGCAGCTCCTCATAGATAAGCGTCTTACTAGCTTACCAAATGTTAAGATCATGGGCAGGAGATACACGCCAATCGACAAAGAGAAAGAGATTGGACGATGGAAGGTTATCGAGAAGGAGCTGATACGGAGGGGTTTGCCGGTTACTGGCCGGCTAAAGACGTGATGAAAGAAGGGCAAGAAGGAAAGGGGCTGGTGGAAATGGTGGAGGCGTTAAGTCTTCCTGTGAAGAACTCGGTTTAGATTTAAGCGGTGTACTACTAAGAAGAGCCGGAAGTGGCACCGGTTTTCAGAATCGCACGAGCATGTAGAATATCTCTTTGGTTTTTGTATCACGTGCATCAAATCTTCCACTTGTTTTGTATAAATATATCCATAGTTGTTGGTTTGGTGGGGTGTGGATTGTTCATTATTCAGTTACTTTCCATATCCATGCTAAGTCTATAGATCCCATTTTGTCGGATAGGCAGTTCCCAAAGAAGGTTGATGAAATCTTAATTTCTCTACGGAATCTTAACCTTTATTGGACTCGATTGCTGGTCTGATGAAACCAAATGTGTGTAAGAGACGAACTGAGAAAGAAAATGCAAGGGTAAAAGAAATCAACAAGAGATAGAAACGAAAAGAATCAAAATGATAACAACATCATAGGGAAAGAAAGACATGGAGATTAACATATTTTGTGGTCCCATTTCTTCTCCTCCACCCATGATAATACCACTATTGACCCCAACAGCCGATCTTATACCTTGACACCCATACAGGGAGGGGGGGAAGTAAAGCCAGAGCAACAAAATCCACCAAATCCACACATTATTCCACTAACACATCGACTAATTACTTCCATTCTTTTCCCGGGTTATTGTCAGCCCAACACATCAGTCCTCGCAAACGCACATGGGGCTTATTTCGCGTGTAATCTCCCAAGGCCAATATACGTTCTCTGTATTGTTTTCCATGCGAGATACAGTCCTCTTTCTAATTTCCGCCGTCGCATAATTATCCGCTGGGGATTGCTATGGTGCGTATTTTGTAGGGATTAAAACAGCTGGATTGATGACACATCAGGTGGAAGAGGTGCAGTATATGTCAGGAAAACACATCTTCCAAGAGTATTTTTGTTGTTATTGGATGAGACTTTTAGAGAGAGGTTTTCTTTGAGCTGTATGAGCTTCGAGGTAGTAATGGCACTAGAGGTATTTGATAGGAGCGCTGGCGAGGTTTGTAGGACCGGGTTGGATACATGGTGTGGTTCAAAGTCGATGGTAATTGAATCCAAGGAGTGTGTTCTTGGAGAAGAGACCAAGGGAGGGGAGGGTAAGGAATGTGACGGAGACACGCAACTGTAAAAGCATTTGTAACAGGAGACAGATGGACACGCTCTTCGTGGCTAAATGTTAAAAGATCATCAATTGCCCACCAAAACCGCTCTCTCATAACCCTAAATTGTCACCTGGGACGGATCGCACAATGGTAGTTACCCCGCTGTTCCCGAAACTTCCAACACCGTTGGCACTGAGACCTTTACGTTTCTCTTTGGTTCGCACATATAACAATCCGTGTCTGAGGTCTTTTTTCGTCGGCCAACCCTTTCACAGAACCTTCCTCCGTTCATCGTTACGTATTTGGGTTCGCAGTAGTATGCTGCTGTAGGATGCGTGCATCCACCTAAAGACAAGACAGTGTCTACATCTCCACAGATTTTGTCGAGACTGCAGAGGAGGTGGTAAGCCGATGAGATACCGGAAGCCTTGTCGCAATCTCGATTCCAGATGGAAATTGACTAAATTGCCACAGGTTCCATAATTGAATAAGGTATTATCGAAATTGGGATCATCGCGGAGGCACCACAAGCATATACCTAGGTACTTAGATATATGATACAGATATTCGCCAATTGAAAGTAATGATCATTGATGTTTTGAAAATATCCTGGTTGGAAATGTCTATGGTGGTTTGTTCATGGCATTCGTTGCCTTGGGAACCCAAGATACTCCAGGTACAGACAGTGCCAGAGCCAAAGTTTGAAGCTTTCATATATCGAGATACCTCATGGGCCTATGTTTATTTCCACTTATCACTGGGACCTTAATTTGTCAGAAAGGTTCAAACTTTTGGCATGGCACTGTACTTCCCACCCCTATATTCAATGTAATTTGACATAAGGCGAAGCCCTGGAACTTAGCGCAACAATATAATTTCCTGATTGAGTCAACAGAGAAGGTGAGATGCCGCCACCGTATTAGTCCCTTGTTGTCCGCGCTTCATTGATCTTTGTTGAATAGAAGAATGTCTTGGTTAAGCCTGGTAGGAACACGAACAGGCCATGAAACAAGGAGTCTAAAATATTGCCACGATTCCTCAAGACTTGCTTGAAATGTGTGTTACATGTGGAACCGTGGCATATTTCCTGAATAGCTTCTGGGATGAGGTTAATTATCAGCACACTGGAAAGCTGAGGAAACCTTTCAAGACAATGCCAGAGGAGAGACGGCTCCACATAACTAGCGGGTGTTGAGAAAATGTTCTCGTCTCATCTTTTCGCCCCAGTGGGTATTAAATAACCCCTCGTCATGAAATCGCCGTCCTTGAGTCCCTCCCTTGTTGATTCAGAACTGAACAGACTCCGAACGGTTTCATTTTCGCCCATCATCTTCCTGCGCTTGTTCCGTTCCTTTTCTTCCTCCAGAACTCGAGCTGTTAGTCTGGCTGTCGCGGCGTTCTTAATTCCGGAGGGCATCGGCGTGGTGGTCCTGCTTTCCGGTCTGCTGCTGAGTAAAGATTTGGGTTTGGCGATGACTGTAGCAGCCTCAGAATTCATAGGAGTTCCATCGGAATCGACAGCCGAAATGCCAGTGTTTTCGCCGCTATTTCCGTTCTTCTTCCTTTTTTTGCTCGAGCTAGGTGCCTTCTTAAGTGAATGGGTTAATCCTCGGCTGCTCAAATCTTGCATACGAGAGGTCAACCGCTCCTTGTCAGACACCTGTGATGGGAGTATGGGAATGATATTCTCTGGAGAATATACTTCGTTACACTATGAACTCCATGGGTCAGCGATAGTTGAATTGCACAGCATGAGCAAAATGTAAAGAACGATAGGAACACCAACCTGTAAGCATTTGTCCAATTTCATTTCTCGGATTGCCTCTTCGGAGAAAGCATGACCACAAGGGACAAGGTAAACCGACTTCACCCTTGGGCCTAGCTCTTTACGGGTAATGGGGCAGACCCAGCGCTTTTTACCCTTCCCATCATCATCGACCTCAAACCTCACTTCAACAACATCACGAAGTCCCTTGACTCTTCCTTTCAATATTCCCTCACAGTCGGCTTTAGAGCTAATATCTTCGGCATCGTCTGCAGGCAAGAGAAACTTTAATATGGCGTCCTTGTTATAGAGGTTTCCAGAGGAATCGGATACCACCGGAAGAAGAAGTCTCTTGTGAGAAAGAGGACAGGTCGACCAGTAATGCTCCAAGTGCTCGCGTATGGTTTCTTTGAGCTGCGATGCTGTCGGATTACGAGCGGCGGATTTTACAAGTTCGCATCGCTTTGGAATGCTGTATCTCAGTTAGGTATATTAACCAAGGAAAGGGGTTGCATGGACGAATTTACCTTCCACCATCATTTCCCATGTCTCTGTTTGTGTTAATATGCGTATCTACAGTTAAAGAGGAAAAGGAGTAAGTCGTTGACAGTTGATGAATGAGACTCGCCACGCCCTACTCAGCGAAGAGCGCGTCGATCTTGCCAGAAACCATGCTTAGTCATATATATATATAACTAACTAGTTAGTTATATCATGTGATCCACATTTGATGATTAAGCTTCCAGCTCGGTGCTCAGGTTCTCATCAACAGTTCGAAAGCGCGAACAGGGCGGCTTCATGACGGACTTAGAGCAGCCATCATGAAGCAAACACACAGTATTTTTGTTCTTCTAGGTGTAGCCGCATGTTCTACAATTAGTTCTGCGGGAGGCGATGTCTTCTCCCTCCCTCGAGGCTTAGGTCCTGAATGTAGGTCTATAAATTCACCTTATAATAGCTATACACAATCGCCCTTCAAGTCGTTGGATTTTGCATTAAGCTGACCGTTTGAATCCATTGTTGTCCAAATTTTAGTTGCTAAATATTACAAGAACCCATCGACATTCACATGCATTTCCAATCCATCTATCAAAATCCCTTTCTTCGCAGTAAATGACGATTACTGTGATTGTCCTGACGGCAGCGACGAACCGGGTACCTCAGCATGTGCCTCTGTATCATACTTCTCTCCCTTCGATCTTAGAGATGATGGGGTTAATCGTACTCCAGCCCTCCCTGGATTCTACTGCGAAAATAAAGGCCATAGGCCATCCTTTGTGTCATTCCAACGAGTTAACGATGGCGTCTGTGACTATGAAGTATGCTGCGACGGCAGTGATGAGTGGGCTAAAGTTGGTGATGTGAAATGTGAGAACAAGTGCAAAGAAATCGGAAAGGAATGGCGAAAGAATAATGAACAGAAACAGAAATCGTTAACTACAGCAATTAAAAAACGGACAGAACTCGTTGCAGCTTCAAGAAGATTACGAAAGGAGGTGAGGGATCACATTTCAGATCTCGAAGTAGAAATCAAGGCCTCAGAGTTGAAAGTGGAGGACCTAAAGGCGGAACTTGAGGCAGTTCGGGCCAGAGATAGAGGCAAGGTCGTGACCGGTCAAAAGCAAGGGAAAGTTAACGTTCTTGCTAGTCTTGCCAAGGAGAGAGTTGAAGAGCTACGAGAAGCGTTGGTGGAGGTTCGCCGTGAAAGAGATGAAAATTTGGCTCGAGTTGCCGAGCTTGAGGCCATCCTATCGAAATTTAAAGAGGAATACAACCCAAATTTCAACGATGAAGGGGTAAAGCGTGCTGTCCGTGCTTGGGAAGACTATGATGCTGCACATCATAATACAGCTAGCGGCAGCGATAAAGAGCATAACCGAGATCTGGATGAAATATGTAAACCCGATAGTAAAGATTCAGGTATTAACTGGGAGCGGTGGGAAAGTGTGCAAGATGGTGAACCTGAAATTACCTTACGTGCGTTTCTGTTCTTCAATTATCCAGGAACTTCCTGCTATTTTGATTCACGGTGCTAACCTAAGACTCCAGTTTACAAAATCGTCGCGTATTTCCCCGACTCATTGATTAACTACATTGAAGACAAAGTTCTTCAGCTCAGGTCCTTCCTGGTATCCAATGGCGTCCTTGACCAGTCCTATAGCTACTCAACTGCTAAGGAATCTGAAGGCATAAAAGCTGCTCGCAACGCACTTTCTGCGGAAGAGTCATCCTTAAGCACAGCTCGCTCCCAGCTGGACGACCACAAAGCGGATCTTAAGAGGGACTACGGCCGTGATTCCGTATTCCGTTCGATGAAAGGTTCATGCATATCCAAAGACTTTGGTGAATATACGTACGAACTCTGTTGGATGGACCAAACCAAGCAAAAGTCCAAGAAAGGTGGATCCCACACGACCATGGGCAACTTCGCCAGGTTTACCACCATCACTGTCGATGAGCAGAATTTCTCAGGCAGGGTTGTTCCCCGAGAAAGAGTAGGTCTGGAATACACCCATGGACAAACTTGCTGGAATGGACCTGAACGATCTACTAGGGTTATTCTTGAGTGTGGGGAGAATGATGAGATATTGAAGGTTTCTGAAGATGAAAAGTGCATGTACAGTATGTTTGTAACCACTCCAGCAGTATGTGAAGAGGCCAGTATTAAAGGCGATAACGATCACAATATTAACAAGGATGAGCTTTGAGAGGTTAGGCGAACCATGTAATAATTGACAATTTTGTCTAGTTACACTGGTTTGTACAAAGCTTATCTGGGTTGCACATTTTCATTTTCACCTTCTTTTTCCTGTTAGCAGCTTATTGCAATCTTAGAAATTTCTACGATTCCCTGCTTTCCTCCCCCCATTCAAGATGGCATTTGTCTTTGCAATTCGTCCAAACCGACCCGTTTTTTCCCAGATATGTCATTCTTTTGGGAGATCATCACCGGGAGGTTCTAGCTCGATTAAACTGTGGATCGGAGAAGACATTTAGGAAGATATGGAAATTGAAACTCGGGCAAACCAGCTAGATCATCAGGCAACTCCTGAAGCTCTTCTCAGGCTGTTTGCATCTTTCGCAAAAAGAAAAAGGAGCATCACATCCAGGAATATACGGCATATATGTCTGTACCAACGAATCGGCCAGAATTTGTGGTTTGATTTAAACCCCCCCTCCAGCTTCGTTGGCAAGAATCCGCGTATCAACCCTATTCTACAGGATAGCCAATGATAACCAATGGTGGGAAACGATGGAAAACAAGTGCGGGGGTCAACTGACCAACCCCAATCCGAAACGCTCTCCAACCATATCGAGATCTTTTCCTTAAGTCCTGCAGTTCCGTCCGATGCCGATGACTTTCATGCTGTGAACATTCCATGGTTTCTAGCGTCACGTTTTACTTCTATCTTGGTGATTCAGACATAACATTCCAATCTCAAAGAATTATCAAACCCAGGATGTGAAGCTACAGCCAAACTCCAATTCCCCCGCCCCTCACCAGTTGGTTGGAGGGTCAGTGTCTTATGTTTCTCTCAATGTCACCCCCCCTTTCCACCGTGCATTCTGATCCCCTTCTTATATACATACATTTGCTAAACCCCTACCCAACCGTTAACCCCAATTGCGTCTCAACGATCCCGAGCTGTCGTGACTGACACCTGTCACGGAGAAAGCCGCGCCTTACCTTTGCTCTGCTCCCCCACACTAGGTGCGTCCGGAGGTTTAGCAGTGACCTAAGAATAACCTGGGATAGGCAACTGACGCTCGTGCATGGGCGGAGCATGTAAATTAAATAATATGGGGAATGATATGTGGCCTAGCTGACCTTTTGGCCGGGTTCCACGTACTGGAGATAATGTCCTCGAATAAAGGAAGTGTTTGTTATTGGCCGCGTACGTGGAATGAGATGGGCAGTTCATTTATGAAATGCCTTATCGTAGATGGCCATTTCTGGGTTACATCTGGTGGGGGTTAAAGGTGTGAAGAATTAAGGAAAACTCCGTTATCCTTGACAATTATTTTGTCCTCCAATTATCAGCCAAGGAGAAGCAACCCAGGCAGCTAAGGCTTAATCACAAATAAATCTGCCCTTCCCGTTGATGTTCAAGGAAAAGCCCCCAAGAGCTCTGTCGAGATCATGTCTTTAACACCATCTCCCCAGTCACTAGGTTGTTTCTTGTTTTCGTACGTTTTCTTGCCTGCAGTTGCGAGTCTTAAAGAATGACATCGTCGCCTCGCCAACACGCCGCCAGTCAGACAGCAAAATGGGAATTTGATGTTTCTAGCCCTCCGATTGGGGTTTAGTTAAGTGTTTGAGGTTGGAGATCATTTTCCATTTCCTTTCTTTTCTTTGCTTTTCTCTTTTTTGCTTTTTCTCGACCCCTCTACCTCTGTGCCCAAACTCGACACGGCATTTTTCAAACACAGCTATTACGTAACCATGATGTTGGTATCACTTCTAAGTGGGAGGTTTTGATTGACAAACGCGTCTAATTCAATCTCGAGCTTTCTTTATCAGATCGCTTGGCTCCGCTCTTGGCACCCTCTTGGTCCGTCAACCACAGGCGAATATGGGTCTGGAGGGGCTTTTCAGTGGTTGTATTTGAAAGTTGGGGGGTACCGTGGAGACAATGTGATATGTATAGAAAACCGTCTGATGGAGTCAGTTGGGGTTAGTTGGGTTCATTTGTGCAAGCTCCCTCCTGGTTTGAATTGTTCAAGCATAAATAACTACTGCTAGCGGCGCCTAAATAAAAACAAAGGTTGGGAGGATACAGGGGGTTAGGGCAGCAAAATCTTATGATTTCGTGTGGCTTTCCTTTTGGCCTCACATGCATGGATCTAAAACCGGAAATCTAGTTATGGGAAACCCTACAAATTCATAGCTGCTTAACGGATTTGCACAGCACAAGCTACGACGGGCAAGGAGAGGTATATCAAAGTCTCAGGGTTTCATTACATTCCGACATGACAATATTTGTAACCCCCGTGTTATAATAAGGGGTGAATTGTGGGGGTCTACGATTTAAGCTACGCGTTCGACCAAGTGGAAGATTTCTTGTTAAAGGTTTAGATGCCATTGCTTTAATGAAAGTCCGGATCTGCAGATTTCCTACATCTCAACAACCGCCACACGCACACACAACCCCCCTTTCCTTGCTCCTCAAAACTCACCCACCCCTTTTTCGCGAAAGGACCGGACAAGCTCAAACAGCATAGAAAACAACGCACGTCGACTCGGAAGACAGCAATGTAACAAAAGAAAAGATTTTCCGAGAGCTAAGGGTGATTGACTCCTTTTTCCCTCCCTGGCTAAAATTGAGATGAACCCGTCTCCCCCTTCCACTCATTAGACAACAAATCCAGGGCAAGCAGTCGTAGATGGAAACATTTTGGCATATACCATTCTTTCCGTCCTTATGTCGCGATGGCTGAACCGATATATTGTTTGAGGAAACATGGAATATATATATCAAGAGGACCTTTTCAAATGGCGGGAAAGAAAGTATATATATGGCAGGAAGAAAACAGGAGGGGAAAAGATTTAGCTCATCGGGAGCTGCTTAGTGCTGTAGTAATCGTTAGATAAGTAGACAGTGGTATAGGTCACACGTCATGTCCAACTTACAGAGCAGCTTTTGCAGCTGCAGGAGTTGCAGTCGCCGGAGCAGCAGTTGCAGGAGCAGGGAGACATTTTTAATGGGTGGTTTTGGTGGTGAATTTGTTTAGAAAATTCGTTATCTTTGGATTCTGAGACTTTCGAATGTATGGCTTTGGTTGAGAAGGATACAAGGAAGATTTCGAGAGGAAGAGGAGGGGGGATGAGGCTCTATTTATGCTATAATGGCTCCCCCTATTTCTACTCTGCTTCCTCGACTAGCGGGACAGGTGAGGATTCACCCGGGCTAAGGAGCTAAGGGGATGCTGATTGTTAAGGGAAAAACGCGGCGCGAATGGGCCTGTAGTCGTCAATTCTTCTAGCTGTTCGCGTTGGAAAACAGAATGTGAGAAACGTGGCGCTGGGGGTGGGGAGTGTGGGAAAGGGTTCGGCGACCAGTGCTCGGAGGCTTCAACTTGACCTTCTGCCTTGGAGGAATGGTGATCCAATTGCGGCCATCCAAATGGAGAAAACAAGAATCAAAGTACAAGGAGAGTTTCAGGATCTTGTCAAGTGGCATGCAAGTGCTTCAATTTCTCTTTTTGTTTGACTACGCGGGCATCTGTTGTGAAATTACCTCATACAATTCTCCGTACGGCCTGACGCTCTTCCAACCATCTACCTGGAATGTGATGCAACTTCGTTGAAACTTTAGGTGAGGCCTCTGGGGAATCAAAACAGATACCATAGGTCAGGGCAGCTTAACCGGTCCTAGCCAACCTTTGCCGCGCGGAGCTCCGAGTTTTAGGTTCTGATAATTCTCCATGTCAACGAGGATATTCTCAGCATCATGGCACCGAAATGACCATCTCAACCCCCATTGTGGTCAGCAAGGCTGAGCCAGTGCAGAGAGCGCATTGCCCTCAAACATCCCACTCAACGGCCTTGTGATCCACGTTCAGGCCCCCATCTCTGAGATAGGTTATTGGACTGCCAAGGAGGTGGATATACACATCATAGAATATTTTCCTACATCGACGGGCAACCAAAATGGGTGGTGAGATGTCACAACTGTAGGACGGGAGCAGGACATGGCCTGCTAGTAGCACAGCAATCAAGTGTGCTTTCCGCAGGTCATATGTGGTTGCGTCTGAAATACCAGTATTTGACATCCGGTGGGTGAAGGAGATAAGCCCCCCGCTGAACGGCCATGACATCCATGCTTAAAATTTAACTATCAGAGAGGAGAAACTAACAAAACGCTTTGACAACTTCGCAGGAGGCAAATCCCTAATACAGATCTGTTGAAAAACTCCACTTGTTGTCATGGCAGTCTATCACTGATGCGTTATGAGGTAGATTATCCGGGAAGCCAAAAAATCTTCACTTATAGCCTAACCAAGTAGTTATGATGCAGAGCGTCTCGGGTATCAACTAAATTTGCCAGCCTTCAGCAACGTTTTCGATGTCGGGCAGGGCCCCCCGCCCGCTTTTCTGCCACAGATGTCTGGCTGGTCGTTTCCAGTATTCTTGATGCCTGCTGCGCAGTCATCTCTTCGCATGTTTTATCCTGGGTCCATATATCCCTTGGTCAAAGAGCCTGTTGCTTGCTCGCTTTCTTATTAATTTGGGCCTCTGGAGTGTTCTTAAAATGCATCAGAACATTTCAACTATTTTGACAAGACTTCCTGGCGCTTGTGGGTTGTTAGAAGCCGCTCCAAACCCGCTCAACCTGTTTGAAGGATGGACTCCCTGTTAACTACTTTCTGATAGTACACATTATGGGAGTCAGGTCTTGAGGTCCATTATAGCACACGCCGTTAGTTCTACTTATACTCTATATTTTCTGCCTTTTTTCTATTTTTTCTATTTTTTTTTTTTTTTAGTTTTATATCGCAGGAAAATTTCAGAATGGGCGGACATTAGAGTCTTGAATAATAGGCTGTATCCAAACCAAAACAATCGTGATACGAGCTGGAAGGTTTCATTCCACACCATCACCATCATGTGGCCATTTAACTACCCCCAACGAATGTCTTGATTGTCTTTTATGAACTATCGTTTTTCACCAATCCAACGACTCTTCGGTAACGGTCGCTCCAGGCTCAATAGTAGCACTTTCGCCCAAATCCACCGACAGCTTCTTATAGATCTTCTTCGTTACTTCGTTATGAAGTTCAGTCAGGGAATTTGGCGTTCACTTCACACGAATGCATTAGCATTTCATTGTGCTTCAGTTGACTGATCAACCAGGGATAAACTTACTAAGGGTTTGGTCTCGGAGGTAATGCAGCGCTCAAATGGTGGTGAAAGGATTGATCGATCCAGAAGGATGTGGCTTTCAGGGCTGGAAGATCGATACACTGAAATCTGCTATTTGTTGGGCGTTAAGGCAGTCATGTTAAATAACCAAACTGCAACCACAGACACTCCAGCATCTTTATATAACCCAAGGACGCCTCGAGGGTCCGTCTCCTTCGGCTCGCCAAGGAATGGATTTACATTGAAATTTAAAAGCTTCTGCGAGAGAAGCAAATCCTTCTGCAGGAAATGAATGAGATGATACTTTCCATCAGGGGTTCTGCTGTTGAGGCTCATCCACACAACTAATTCGGGCCTGATATCCATAAACGTGAGGTTGATAATCTAGATGCGCTTCATGCTACCTGCATTATCAACTGCACTAACGTGAGAATCTCGTGTTCCCAAGGGTCCGTCATTTGCTGCTGTGCCTATTCGACACTGCAATATTCGTCGTTCCCCCTTCGTTATTGGTACTTGGAAGAGAAAACCGAATATATTCAATATATGATGACCCAGAGCAGAGCTGCCTAGGTAACTAGTTAATTCTTATGGTTTTTGGGAAAGAAAAGACCGCTGCCAACTTGCAGATCCATATAGCTGGGTGAGGCAATAATGCAAAACAAACAAGCGTTCTTTGGATTGCCATATTTATCACGGCGCAGACGGCCGAAGCGCATTGCTAGAAAAAGACATTTGGGCCGACCAAATGGAGATATGCTACACATTGTATAGTTAGTGATCGGCATAGATTTCATTCTCCTATTAGCAGGGTGAGCAACGAGATGTGCTACACATTGTATATCGGCATAGATTTTTTCATTCTGCTGTTTGCGGAGTGGATAGGATTATTCAAATCCCAGTTATCCTGTGGGACAATATTGGCCTATTAGCGGAGTAGTTATGTGGAAAGCGGGGTGAAGTTGGAAAGACGTGCTTAGTCATTCTACCAACGGCTTCATCCAATCTCAACGACGCACCAACGCCGTTGTCAACGTTTGCTTCATCATGGATCGTTTAGTGATAACAAGCATTATTAGTACCAGCCGCTGTAAAACTGAAATCTCCTCCGCGAAACTGGTCGCTGGAACCCTCCAGCAGTCCAGTTCCATGGTTGGCCTCATAGCGTACAAAGTTTGGTTCTCCCAGACCCTTCAATTTAGAGATGAGTGGCTGTAATAAGCGCTGCTGGCAAAGCTGCAGCAGCATGATCTTGCAAAAACTGTGGATATTGGATATAAGCGATATGGATAGCAGCGATTTCCATTGCTATCTATCAGTGATTGAATTTCGGTTCTTTGACGCAACTGTACCGAATGTGTGGTGTTTAGACCTGTTTTTACAATGCTCGTTTTTACTAGAACTCTACACAGATATACGTGCTAGAAGCTTGTGACTTGACTCTGATCGTTAAGTGGTATTATCCCGCTTTTGATCACAGGCTACCAATATCCTGATCTTTCTGTATCTGAAAGGCACCTTTCAAGGTCCATGTGGAAGGCATGTCGGCTCCGGCGTGATTACTTCTCCAGGTGGAAAAATGATATGGTTAGATCGGTAGGCTTTATCCGGCTATACATATTGGCTTTGGTTTTGTATATTATCACGAAATGGGAAAACTTTCACGGGTAAGTTTGTAATTATTCTCTCAGGTCCCAGAACTAAGTTGGATCTCCCTCCTCTTCAATTTGTTAATAAATACCTCTCATGAAGAACAGTGGATTCACATGCCATTTAGCCAAGAAAATTTTTCGGAAAACTCAAAACACATGTGCGACGTTGTATAATGAAAATATCAATGTCATTTGATCTCCGTCCTATTTAATGAGCGGACCGTGATGTGAGCGCGTCTCTGTTGGAATTGATAGCAAAGCAGTTGGAAAGCAGGGCAAAGAACTCAATCAAACATCACAAAAATTGACAGGTAGAAAATCAGAGCGCATGTACAATACCAGAATACTCCGATATTCCCCCGCGCATCCCCTGGTTGTCGGAAAACAAACTCCCCAAAAAACGCATGCGGATACCAAACCCACCCCAGGCACATCTTCTCACACCCACCAGGATGTCGATTGATATCAAACACCTCCCTTTTTCTAGCAACAATGACCATGGATATCTATCTTTCGCACAGTAACATCAATTGGAAGTTGTTACTCCTAGTCACCAAGGGAAGATTGCCAATGTGTTTCCTTAAAACAATCGGGGAATTCAGGATCGATGTAGGAAGTACATGTCTGGCTGGGCTGTCACAGTGGCATGTTTATTTCTGCTGACAGATCATTAACTTAGATCGTTCAAAACTTAAAGGTCTTACAACAAAGTAAGCAGTTAGTCACTTACACAACCGCATTGGCCTGAGGGGCATGTGCAGGCAGAGCCACAGTTGCAGCCACAGTCACCTATTTATTGCGCAAAGTCCATGAGCATGGCACAAAGATAAGAAAGGCGACACCAGATATGACATCGACATACGAAGGGGTTGAAATAATGGAAGAATTCACTTACCCATGTTGAAAAATGCGGGGTAGTTTGGTAATAATAAAAAATAATAACAAATAATAATAATAATAAAGATTTTGGGATTTGTGATGTTTGAAATATGTTTTGGACAATGTTTCTGTGATTTCGACGGAAGCTTGTTAATCGTAGACGAAATCAAAATCAACAAAATTCCCCAGAGGCTGGAATCCTCCCCTCTATTTATATTGCCGACAGAGACAAAAAGCGGGTCATCAAAAAAAAAAAAAAAAAAAGACAGTGCTTTTGCCAAACCCTGCGAGGCAAGGTTTTATAAGAACTACTGCGAGCCACTGTTTGCATTCCTAGCCCAACCAAAGTGATAATTAAAATTAAATTAAATGAACGAATCAAGCGCTTAGTTAAAACACTTACCAGCTGAAACCTCCCACAACTAAGTTCCCGCCTTTCCTCGTTCCAGTTGAGCCATACACAATTCTATCCTATTCCGCCAATCAAAAGTAGCGGGATCATCCGACTCGCGTCTCAGGTTGTCCAGCTTGAAGCTGCTTATTAGACCCGTCGATAGCTAGAAATGCTTTATCCAAAAATCAAAGGGCGGAAGTCCCTGTCAAAACCTCCTTGTTTACGGGATGGTGATTTTGTCTGTTTTGGGATGGCCATGGCGAATGCTATTACTAACTAAATCGAGTAGTTAAATTGGAAGTTTCTTTTAGTATTTCTTCTTCCAATTGCCGGTGTGGTTGGCTCAAGCGGGGAGTTTTTTTTTTTTTTTTTTTTTTTTTTTTTTTTTTTTTTTGCGGGTGTCAAGGGATGAAGCTAAATCCACTTCTGGGCCTTGTCCCTGGGATTTTAATTATTGGCCAATGAGATAACCAGTTATTGAATATTTTCATCCATTTTCCTAGGAATGACAGCAAATAAGTTAAACTTCAGAGTTAATTCCCATCAAGCTATGAAACCAACAATGCCTACCATATAAATCTCCTGTCACGCTGTTTCCCGATCCTCGTCATATCCATAGCCTTATCCCCAAATCCAATACTTCCCTGAGTTCTTACTTTGGCCCTATCTTGCCTAAAACCTGAAAACCCTGCCTTCCAACTTTTTTTTCGAACTTTTTTTTTTTTTTTTTGGGGGGGGGTTGGGGGGGGGGTGAGATTTGCGGCGGATGGAGAGGGCGAGGAAGAAGATTATGATATCGGGTGAGGAAGGGCAGTGAGAGGGGATGTGCGATTAGAGCGAAACGTAAGGAATTTTAACTCCAAGGTAATAGGAGTTGCGGATGGGCTTTCGGTTTCGGATATTGAGGGAATTGAGGATTGCTGCACTTGTTGATTATTATTTTATATTTTATATTGTATATTTTTTGGTTTTGGACCATGCTTTCAAATACCGGGATTGTAGAGGGTCAGCCGGCGCTGCAGAACCAAAATTACTTCCGGCCAATTGTGCCGTCAAGACCCAGATGCTTGATGGACTTCGGCCTGGTGATTAGAATCTACAATTGTTCTCATTGATGCCATCGAATTCATCTCCTTACCAGCCTTGAAAATGGAGACGGACTCGTGCTCGTGGGCTACGTACGCAGCAGGTTCAACCTATTCGAAAAGCCTGCTAAAAGTTAACTACGTGCTGATTGCGTATTTCATAGGAGAGGCACATATGATGAGCAGAATAATCCACTTGTCAAATGACAGGTGGTGCGTGGCAAAGATTCAGAACTCGTTGCCTATGTGCCACGGTTTGGGATGCGGTATTGCACAAACACGATATTTGTATCGCCATGAGTTCCTCAGTTAGGACGCTGCAAGTGGAAACGCCGTGTCCTGTTGTTGGGTCATGGGAGTTCTTGTCAAATTGCCCTAGATCGGACTTTAGAAGTGGCCCCTAATATTCTTGGAGGACGAGAAAGATGTTTGGTCTTCGATAACTATTTCCGAAACGTAAACAGCGTAAAGTAGGTTGTTGGTACCCGAAGAGCGAGAGTGCGATGCCACCTGGACATTTTAGAGCTCGTAGAGCTGTGAGGACTCTTTCGTCCGCATACTCCATCGCTCAGCCATCAGTTCATGGCATAGACCTGGTCTAAATACCCAGCGGGGTCCCTTCTTCGAGGACAATCACCAGATAAATAGCCCTCTGGGTCTCAAATCTCGGCCGTTTTGAACGAGTGGACCTTTTTTGACAACTCAAATATACTTAACATAATTCCACTCAACCAAGTGGATGATCAAATCTATTATAAATTCCTGAAGATATGGGTAAGCCTCACTCCGGAAAATTCTAACAAAAGGGGATTGTAATCCGGCAACTCAGACGATAAACCAAAGGATACTGAGATGATTCAAAACTGGCTTGCCAGTATAGATGGGTGATATACCTTTATATTGCCATTTCTTTCAAGCACTCACTGTAACGCCAGCGATAGACAACTGGTGGCTCAAGCTCTTTATGATCCCCTCGTATTTCCGTTGCCGTGTATCCCATATCACCACCCTCTGTATACCTCACGACACAGCTTAGTCCGTGTAATCAATCCACAGCCAGATCTAGCATTCCTGTCTCTTGATTGTACTCATGCGGCCATCCAGTAATGACCAGGACACTTTTATTTCATTCTGCCCTTCAATAAATAAATAAATAAATATAAAACAAATAAAATTGAGTACCATTCATTTACTCGGCCTTTTCCCGACTGAACATCTTTGTAAAGAATTGTTCTGAGGTCATTAATGGCTTTGGCTCCCTGACAGCCAGTGCTTTTTGTACAACCTGCTTTAGCGCCTTCGCCTGCTCAACATCAAAGTCCATATTTGAGAAATATCGACCATCAACCAATTGAGTGAAAGCAAACATATTCTTAATACTTTCCAAAGCCCGTATGCCTTCCATGATGGGGAACTTCTCTAAATTGATCGGAACATATCGGGACTTTTTGCTCGTAACTAAAGTCAAACAGAGGGATCTCAGTCAACTTGTTTAAGATATTCCATGACTGATGATGGGGAGATACCTTTTGTGAATGCCTCGGTAATTTCTGGGAAGGTCGCTAGTTCACTGATTGCTTGAATAACTTTCCCACTCCAGGTGTCTGGGTCGATCAAAACACCGTGAACAAGATCCCCGTAATCCTCCTCGATCGCAATGAATGGGACAAGACCTACACCACCGGGCGAGGGTTGAGAGAGAGTGACATAACCTTCCGAATCAGTCTCGAAGGGAAATCCGCCCATCACCTCCGCAATGAATGGTGACATGAAGTTTTCGAAATACCAGCCTGCATTTATGGCTGTTACATTCTTGATATTAGGACTATTGCGGGCATGCTGCTCGATTTTGTTCTTGTCTATGAACGCAGTTAGGAAGTGGTAAATAGAATAAATAGAAGAATATATTATATACTAACGGTCCATCATATCCAGCTTCACCTCTCCGTTTGTAATTTCACTCACACAGCCCGCCGAGCTATACACGAAATGCTCCACGCCAACTTCATTTGCTGCATCAACGATGATACGACCAAGATCCAGCTCTGTAGGCCCATTTGGATCGTCAAATGTCTATATTGAGTGTTAGCGACTGACATCGCTATATGCTTGAGCGCATGGATCTAGAATCCTTCCAAGTTCTTACCGGATCATCAGAGTTGGTATTGGCAAAGATTGCCCAGCTATCTCTAAATGCATTTACCAACTCCTCCTTCTTAAAGCCATCTGCTTTAACAACCTCGACGCCAGCTTTAGCCAGTTCCTTCGACTTTTCCGAATCTGGGCTGCGGGTGATTCCTCGGACACGGAAATCCGCGCTATTGCGGAGAAGTGACTGCACAACAGCGCCGCCTTGGTTGCCTGTACCACAATGTATGAGAAGTGACTGAAACTTGATGAGACGAAGATATGAAAATAAATTCAAACGCTACCTGTTGCACCAAAAACTGTAACAAGCTTTGGGTTCGCCATTGAAGGAGTGAAGGATAAATATGTTACAAGATTTCTAGTCCGTAGGAATTTCCTTTTGATTCAATGCAAACTCGGACTGCTTCAATGAATAAAAGAAAAGTACTCGAGTTTGCGGATTTCGCCCTGTTTAAATATTGCAACACCCTGTATCCAGCTTGGAAATTGGGAAGCCAGTTTGCTCACTCCTATCACTTTTGACAACAGAACTATGTGTTAAAAAAACCCTTCTGCCTGAAATGTTCTGCAACCTGGAAGTCATATGGATGGAGACTTCATGAATGCCATGAATGCATACGTAATACGGCTCATGATCATGCATAGTTCAACTTAGTCGAACGTCAAAAGTGGCGGGAACTGGGTTGTGAATTTTTTTTTTTTTAGCTAATTTCTTTATACGAAACTCGAAAGACGTTCAAGTGTTTAGACCTCCCATGGAGGTAGACACGTATGTAAGCGACATTCTTCATAAAACCTTAGGTATTAGCGTTATATTCGAGATCCAATGGACTCTGGAGACCAACAAGGGCAGTTCAACTAACTTCAACAATTAGTGGAGCCCTGAGGCAATTGCCCATCGTTTAGGCATCCAGGTTATTAACGTTAGGAGTAGCTACGAGATAAGACAAGCGAGGCGTTACGCTTGATAATGGGACTGCGAAAACCGGCACTTTGGAGTTAAAAGCCAAAGAAGAAGGGAAAATAAACTGGAGGAGAGAAGGAGATCAGCAACCAACCGCAATACAATTATCAACGCCCAGAAAGGAACATCTTACCGAACTACCCCTTTTACCAACTCATCTCATTTACCATCTCGCAACATGTGCCTTGTGTTCACAGCATTATTCTTTCACATAGGACAAAATTCACGCCTCTGCCGTAGCAGGAAGTGTTCGAAGACCCCAGTTACCCCGAATTGACGTCATTAAATATTGCCTTTCGTATCGTGCCATTGAATGCGATCCTCCACTTCAACACGAGAGAGAAATTCATTTTCCTTTCAGAAAGAAAATAGTCTTTGTAAATTTAGTCCCTTGACTTGCCAACTATTTAGTATAATGTGGAGTCAACGCGGGGAACCCTTGCTCGTCGTAGTCACCAAAAACAAACAACCTGGCTGAGTTGTCCAACCTGCAATAGAATAGTCTGGATAGGAGAGCAAGACAGGGGATGCACATAATGAACTGCTCTTTGAGAAAGCTCCTAGCCTTACAGGCAATGGCGGAGTGATACGATAAATATATCCGTGATGGGTGCTCTCAAGACCACACCTGTCATCAACCAGACATTGCTTGTAATTTCATTTCACTTGCCTTGTCCCTTGGGATTTGCCATAAAGCGTAAATGCAGCTGTCCTCATCGTTCATTGGCTTTTCGATGACAGAGCATTGATTCTTACCAATGCTACCCACATAACTACCTCAGATCGGGTCCCATACGCTTCCAGACTAATTTTCCCTGTTTAGCAGAGGTTCCAGAACCTTAGTATAGGATCCTTAATCCCATTTCAGCTCGGGATCTTCCATTCGCGAAGGTCGTTTCAAGCCCACCATTTGCACGCCCCAGGCACTGGTTGCTGCCGCAATGCCAACATTTCCCTCCGGTAAAAACCGATAATTTACGCAATGAGCTTCCTGACAAAGTCCAACACGTTATTAGTGGAACCGTTGGGGCGTTAGCCATTTGCCTACACAATGTGTAGTTTTAGTTTAACCATGTAGTCTTCGCTTCAAGGAAATATTATTAAGCTAACTACTAGTTAGCCCGGATAGTCCTCTCACCGCCTTCCTCAATTGAAACTGCCGTCTATCCACACACCAAAAACAGACTTGGTTTTCTGGACGACTCAACTCGTCGGCATCGAAAACTTGACCACTGAAGACAACCGACATACCGTGGAAACATCGCGTTGCAACGCACTAGCTGGATACCGTACCGTTAAGATAATACAAACTTTCTACGATGTCCCCCGCGTTTGAGTTTCGTGGGAATAGGCAAGGCGGAAACCACCGCCAGCAGCCCGAATTTACGTTTCGATCCCGGTTCCCCAAAACCTCAGCGAGACCTCTATTGTTGATGTTGCAAAGGGAAACAACGCCTGAATTTCTAGGAGGCTCACAGAGCGAAGAACAGAAGCCAAGAAAGTTTATAGCCTTGGAAGATTTAAGTGATAGCGACGAGGCAGAGATGGAAGTTTCCTCTGCGGACGAGGGTTCCCATCCTCCTCCACGCAAGAAGCAGGCTATCGAATCAAACACAGGGCCTGTCGCACAGGTTCCCAAGTGGTCGAATCCAGATCCTTACACTGTCCTGCCCCCCTATGATGAGAATCCTGCTAAGAGAAGAGACGTCGTCAAATTGATCCGCAAGGCAAGGATACAACAGTCTGTGGACCAGCCAAAACCTGAAGAGAAAAATGCTGTTGTGTCGAATGATGATTTTATCTCCTTTGGCCTCGATGATATAGAAATGGATGTCCCCCCTGAAAATGCACCTCGGGGACCGAAAAGCTCGATGAACCAGGATGGTGACCCTGCTCTTGGTAGCAGAAAACGAACTTACGACGATGAAATCACAGGCCCGAATAAACGTCCTGGCAAACCAGGGAAGCCAGACAGGTTTTCCAACTCCGATGGATCTATGCTCCTTAAATGGCGACCCTTCGATGACCAAAATCCCACTCCCTGGGTTGATTCAGTCTGCCGTTCCACGTTCCATGTAGGATGCAGGTATGCTTGCACCGATCCCCCCGCCGGTCTCAGCAAAACTAATAGTTGTTTCTTTGATAGTCTTCACAACGAAATACTTAGCTTCTACCACTGGGTTAAACCAAAGTCTTTCGAACACCTGATTAGGAATGACTTAATCGTGCGTTTGCAGCGCCTCTTTGAGCGAAGGCATTATGGCTCCCAGTTGCACGCTTTTGGTTCATTCGCGTCTGGCCTCTATCTTCCAACTGCAGACATGGATCTTGTATTGCTTTCGAGGCAATTCCTGCGGCAAAATCGCAAAACTCTTTGCCAGCGGACCCGTGAGATCTACTCTTTTACAGCATATCTCAAAGACCTTGATATTGCCGTGCCCGGATCCATCGAAACCATTGCTCATGCGAAGGTCCCAATCATAAAATTCGTAGATAGGCTTACCGGCTTGAAAGTGGATTTGTCTTTCGACAATTCTACTGGATTAGCAGCGAACAAAACATTCCAGGTTTGGAAATCTCAATTTCCTGCTATGCCTGTCATTGTTTCAGTCATAAAGCAGTTTTTGCTGCTTCGTGGCCTCAATGAGGTACCTACTGGCGGTTTAGGTGGCTTTTCAATCATTTGTCTGGTTACTAGTCTTCTCCAACACCTCCCGTATAGCGGTGCAGAGCCGAACCTTGGTGGTGTTCTCATGGACTTCTTTGATTTCTATGGTAATAAATTTAACTTCAGCGCAGTTGGCATACAATTTGATCCTCCTGGCTACTTTGATAAGGTATCAACTAATTTCCCATGTCAAGCGTACTTCAACTGACTAACCCCTTGCAGAAACTCCTTGGGGTCTATCTAGCAAATCGGCAGCAAAGACTTTCAATTATGGACCCTAACAATCCTGATAATGACATTGCAGGGGGTACAAAGGAGATTCAATTAATATTCAGAACCTTTGCGGATGCATATCGAACTCTCAGGCAAGAGTTAGTGCAAACAGCGTTCTCAGGGACTCGCAGAGATAGCCTCCTCGGGTTGATTCTCGGCGCCAATTATGAAACATACGAACACCAACGCGCACATTTGGATGTTCTGTGTAAGAATGATCCTCGATTTGCGCATTATGTCCAACCCCCTCCACCTAATAATCCGCCACCAGAAGAGCCTGCGGCTCCTCCCTCCCCTCCCCCAGTCGATGCGGACATTTTGACTGCGAAAGGAAACGAACAAGAAGATTCGTCACAAGGCCTCAAGCTCTCCAGAAAGAAGTCAGTGGCATTTGATCGTGCCGCCCGACTCAAGCAACTCCGACCTGACTTGAAACATGTTCCGAAATTTCTGGATCTCGATGCAGCTCTGAAGCTGGGAGGCTATTCATCGATTTCAGAAATGGATCGTGACTTGTATCTAAGGGAAAAGGCGCTTCTAGGGTGATCAATAGTTTTCCATGGATTCTCTTGCTTATTGTAGACCAGTTCCTACTTTTCAACCTGGTCTTACGTGTAATACCACTGCACAAGATGTCTCGAACTCGGACTTGATTTGTGTCAGAATTCCCGACCGGTGCCACTCGCTTGCCTCTGTAGCCCGCCTGACAGATTGATGATAATCCTTTTGCTTACCCTTCGTTCTTTCTCCTTACTCATCTTTTGCTTCTAGACGGCGCTTTTGTACGGTTGTACTCGCATGATACCCTTCGAAATATTAACCACATGGAAGTGGTTAAGGTGGGACGGAGGATTTGGGCTTGCTTTTGCTATATATTGCAGGTTCTGTGCTGTAGCGCACAGGGCGATTTTCTTTCTCTTCTTCTATGAAGTTAACATTACATGTTTTATTTATTTATTTATTTATTTTTATCCGCTTGTTGCCAGACTTGACCAGCACACCGGCTCGCTCGCGGTGTCTTACTCTTCCAATGTCATGCCTTCACTGTTCTCCAGCAATTGACTCGAAATTTGGATACTCCCGGCTTCCAACTGGCAGTCGATATACGTTTTCAAAATCCCGCTTATATATTATCAAATCAATCAAGAACCCCAAAACTTGCAGTTCTGCAGGCCTTATACCCACCCTATCTCCCAATTTTTCTTGTTCTTGCTTACTGAAATAATCTAGTATACGAGAAAGATATAGAACCCCCGGCCTAATCGCTGGAATCCTTTAGATCTTCTTTGCATCACTGACGTTACACCTCGCTGAAAAGATACCTGGCTAAGAAAATCGCTGTCGAACCGCTTAAAAACAATCATCTCACAAATCCGACGCCGTATTAAGTACAATGCAAATAATAAGGTTAAGTATCCCATTCATCCTCGAGTTCCCCTCCCCCTCGCTCCACCTTGGACGCACCAACCTCTTTTATCCTTCTCACCATGTCGCCAGCTCTACGCAGGCCTATGGAGAGGGGGTGAAAATTGCTCCCATTCACTCTCAGAAGAATTTCCTCCGGACTCCGATATGATTGCAGATATTTTAAGTTCATCTTACTATTATCTCTTCGTAAGCCCATTTACTACTCTCCGTTCATTTAGTGCTCTAGCAGGAAAAGTGACAACGCCCTTTTCAATTTTTCCCGCCGCAACCATCCTGCCCCGATTTCCCCGGATTTCCCGCCAGATTCCGTATCATTAAATTATTAAGAGATAGAATGTGATTATTATCCCAATGGCCATCATCTCCGCAGCCCTTCTTGTCTACTTGTTGACGCATTTATTTTTCTACGCTCCAGCCGTTAGTCCCAGTTCCTTGCAATTTTCGCGATCCTCTTCATCATTATACCATCCGGCCTTTTCGTCCCTTGTCGTCTCTCATTCCCTGGTCCCGGGGGGGGGGGGGAATTTAAATATAAATAAGTATAAACATTAGGGTACTCACGACAGGATCGCAAAAACAGCCACCCGGACAATCCCTTACAGTTCCACATTTTATATCCACGCTCTGGCAGCGGTTATCCAAGGCGGCCTACTCTCTCGCTTGGTTAGACGTCATCTTTTCCTTTTCTTTCGCTAGAGGGCTGGGGAGGGAGGGAAGGGTTTGGCATTGCCAACTCACTGCCGCAGCGCGTCTCGCGGGACTCATGTTTTCACTACCGACTGGACTGGCGGTCACGATGCCAACGACGAGAGCGGTAAAAGCCCAGATAAGTTTCATATCTGCTTCTCTTGATGCGTCAAAACAGAGAACGATAGGGTTTGGCTCTTTAAATCTAGGTGATTTAGTCGGCTAGGTGTATCTTATTTCTATGATGAGAGAATGCATCTGTAGAATGTTGCCGAAGTTGACCAAAAACATACCTCTGTTTAATGTATCAAGAAAGGCAATTATACTGCAAAGAATAGGGCGAATTTTTGACAGCGTGCCTACGACAGCGTCTTCTAAAGAAACTGAATCACACAGACTGGAGGTACAGAGCGGCATCGCTATCATTATATGAGGAGATAATTAGAGACAGGCATCTACCGTTGCTCAAGGAACATATTCATGAACGCCCTTCCCACGCGTCCCTCCCGGAAAAGCAACCAAAATTCAAAAAATTCAATCTCCAATGGAAATGAAAGCGGTCATTGGCATTTGTCCACCAGCCAAGAATAGATCTGCAACAGGCCTGTGAACATATCTGTGCCTTGGTTGTCACCAGGGTGAGGAGAAGTAACTTTCTTTTTGTTGCTTCCACATCTGTTGCGTTCCGTCACTCTGCATTTCCATTATTTTTTCAAACAATCGCTGGAGGGCTTTCAGCATACATGAAATTAACATGTTTTCCACGTATGCGTATCCCTCAATATTTTGAGTCATGTTGCTGCTGTTGCTGCTGCTGCTGCTGCTGCTGCTGGAGAGTCAGTTCTGCTCCATGGGCAAACTGGGAAAAATGTTTGGAAATGAAATCGCAAACAAACCTGCTAGAAGTTTAGCTGGCTGCACTATTGAGACGCCAAAAGCGCCTTGTAAAAAGACTTATGCCAGTCAAAGATCGTCATGCCTTGCAGAAGGGAATTTTCGACTTTTTCTGGTTGGCCGTTTTGTGCAACTCCATGTGGCCAAGCATTCTTGCGACGAGCCCCTTTTTTTCTCCCTCTGCCGGAGAATTTATCAAGCCTGCCACGAAATGGCAGAACCTGAAACAGAAACTGATCACAATGATCAGCGACGGCGATCGCGTTAGGTATTCCTGTCTAACCGTCTAACTAACTAATGATAGTCCTCTGGAAGTTGCACACATGCACCAATAGATCCAGGGCCCTGCTGCCCCTGGCATCTTCACCACAACGCAACTCAGTCCGCGCCACAGGTGTGGACGTACCCGAATTAAGGGACATTTTATCTCAGACCGACCTTGCCCTCCATAACATGGAGAACATAGGTAACTAAACTAGTCGTGTTCAATCACAGCGTCCGTCATTCTTAACAGTAGTAGTTATTGTGAACAGCGACAAACTGGAACCATCTACCACTGGCTTACCTGGTACCTGGGACTCTCATCCCCCTCCCTTCTTCCCCTCTGAAGATAATCCAATCCCTTGGATGCGCATGGTAGATTTCGATGTCGATCGTATGTTTCGAGGTCCGGCGTATTTAAACCAGGGCCAGCTCCCCCGATCTACCATTGTTATAATAGTAAACGCACATCACTCCGTCTTACTACATCATTCTTCACGGTATTCCAAGACTTTCCTGAGTCTTCAGCAAAAAGCATCACACCTCACGCTCATTCTCATCGACTCTATCCGCCGTATTGGTTGGTTGGTTCTATCAGGGTGCATCCTTTGGCATTGAATTGTGATTACGATATCCTCACCCCTATTCAATCACTCAACGTGAGAATACTTGAAAGCTTGCCATACCATTTCCCGACTCCAACCTTCACCGGCAAGATATTGATATGGATGCATAATATTCGCTTGGCTGTTACAAGGGCAGAGGTACAGTATAAGGAGGTACTTCGAACATTCGGACAGAGCGATAAAACTGGAGTACGGTGGGACAATGCACGTGCCAAGATGCTGTCCCCACCTATTAATTAATTATCATACGGATAACACGTTTGCAAAACATGAAGAACAACGACACAAGATGGGCACAGTTTTAAAACAAAAAAGGTGGGAGCTTTGAAAATCCACCTGTTGACAAATTGGGGCCTCCAATTGAACAAAAAGAACGAATATAATTCGAAGCAAAAGAATACCACACAGCGAGCAGTGAAAACACAAATGAATGGGATAGCAAAACGGCATCTAGGATTACTATTTTTTGCTCCAAAACGTTACACCGATGAAAAATTGTCAGCTGATACTACAATAGGGAACGCAATCGGAAGCCAAGTTGGATTAAAATACCAATGAAGAAAATCTCGATTAAACGTCGCGAAGAGCCCGCATAATCCTCAGTAGCAGCAAAATGCAGCTCCATTGGCACGAAACGCCCAGCCTCCCGAAATTACCGATCTGGTGTGTTCTTGCCCCCCTTCGTTCCATCGCAATAATAATTACGATGGATGTTGGAGGAGGTGCCCATCAGGAAGGCTAAGCAGGAGTGCCACTTGTTTGCATTTCTACTCTTCCACTCGCACCCGCCCTGGCACACGATTTTGCCGACAGTCTGGACATTTGTCCGAGAGGAGACAACGCCAAGAAAGTGATACACAATACCAGAAGCTACGGGAGGTCTGCGGACGCCGCTTGTCTGTCCAGTAGCTTACTTTCATTGGGCGAATCAGGCGGCATTGCTTGCAAAACCGCCAGGACATGCCATGGGTGTACTCGATGGTGGCTGGAATTTCTACATCCCCCCGCCCGGGAACATTCCCGGGATTCTCAGCACCACCTCCGGGCAGAGGTGTATCGGCTGCTGCGGAAGGAGACGCAGTGCTAACAACCGTGGTTGATGGGGAAGAACCATCGGCAGGAACTGATCCGGAAGTGGCCCCACGGGCTGCAGCGACAGCATTGTTTCGACTTTCCACACAGAGGGCGTGAGCTATGGCGATAGCGTCAGCCATGTTTGCAGCAGTGCAGGTAGTCGTGCAGCACGTAGCCCGACAATGGAGGTGATCCGATATTTGCTGTTATGCTGTTAAGCAAAGGGCCTTCCGCGTCGAGAACTTGCAATATGCAACAAAAGCCTGTGTGCTCTGCGTTCAGTATCCAATTCAACATTGCAGGCGCCGTGTTGGGCTGCTCTAGACCGAGAACGGGGCTCTGATCACCTACCTAAAGTCTAGGTCCAGTGTTGCGAAACTAGAGAGCTGGGCCCCGCGACCGCAGCTCTGCGAGATGGAAGGATTAACAATATGAAATAAACTATATTGCGAAAATATAAATGGTGAGATGGGACTGAACAAGGGTGCCGTGGGTTGTCTGCCGTGGGTTGTCTGCCGTGGGTTGTCTGCCGTGGGTTGTCGGTTGGCGATGTTGTTTGTGGGCCGTGGAGAGAATCCGGCATCAGGAGGAGAAGAGGAAACAAACAAACCTCCTCCTTCGTCCGGCTCTCCTGAACTGCTCCTTCTTCGAATATTCGAATACATCGGGCAAGAGAATCGCAGGAACAACCCAGCTGGGCTGTCTCTTGCCCAGCCACTCCTTCCAAATATCGTCATGACGCTGTGTCAATTGATCGCCCTTGGAAGGTCCCACCGGGTGGCAGTGGCCTCTTTCTTTCTCACGATCTTTGCGGTTCTTCCCATTGCTGCACGATCTGAATAATAACTTATTAAGCACCAGAAGACGCATTGCAAGAAGTTCTGCATAACAATGAAAAGGTTGTCCACGGGTGGTGTGCCTCCGGATCTTACGGTGCACATATGCATATATGCTGGTAAAAGATAAAGTGCGAAAGCAGCTCCGGCATTATGTGGAATGAAAGGGGAGTGTATCAAGGAAATATTTTAAGAAACAATCTTGGAGCGAACGGATAGGCCACTAGGCTCAAATCCAAACAACCGTGTTTATTCAACCAAGTGAGTTTCTATGGTTGCTAAGAGCCAGGTCGTGTGGTCTTAAATTTATTCAGAATCGGAGTCTTGTTGTAGATTTATGCACCATGCATACGGGATTATGAACGCCACCAAACTCCGCACTCCATGCAGTCATGCACTGTAAGTTCGGGGATGGTCCATACATAAGAGGAGAGAGAGGTGTATGGAAGGAAGATGTAAAAATATATGATGAATATGACCGTAGCAGCTAAAATCAAAAAGGCGAGGAACATTCCTCTTGCAATAAAAGGAGACAGTGTAAAGTTCACCAGGAAAGGTGAGAAGAGAACCACATAACTAGGCACATGATATCGTTCTGAATTATCTAACCCGCAAGTAAGAAAGAAAAAATAAATGCTTATTAGTTAATCGGTTCCAAAGGAGGCGTAAGCATCCTTGCATTCTTGCTCCCGACGTCGTCATGCTCTTCTGTTGGGGTAGAAAACAATACTCCACCATCCAGCTCATCCGTATTGTGATTTTCAGGAATGATATTTACAAATCCTTCCGCCGGGCTTGCCCAGGTATAATCCACCCACTCTGGTCCAAGAATTTCGCGAATCCCCTTAGCAAGCTTTATTATGCGTTGCCGTCTGGCTCGAGACCATTGGCGATCAGTAATGCCATAACAGGGCGTCAGCACACTGGGAGCCATGGAAGTGTCCTTGGAAGTTGGGACACTAGCATTTTCGACCGTTTCACTTGTGCCAAGTTGAAAATATTCTTCCGAATCCCCATCAAGGGACGGGGAGTCCTCTCCTTCATTCTCCAGGCTGTCAACAATGCTGTGCCACACACGAAGCGTTTCGTTCAATTCATCCAAGCTGCTCACGCCCACAACACTAACACCAAACCTCCGCCCAACACCAATCAGAGCGGCAGATATGAAACCCGGATCCGTATCAGCAGACGGCGCAAGTGGCGGCCCAAGAGCGCCTGCAGCTGAACCTTCACGCAACCAAGACTCGAGCGCATATCTTATCGCGACAACCTCAATTTTCTCCCCCTGTTTCTCTGTCCATTCACTGGCGGATCGGATTGAATTTCGCAAACCGACAGGTGCCGGGTGGAAATCCCCCATACCCCCAATGGGGACGCCATCGCATCTCAGAAGGCCCATTCCTAGAGGGGAGGCATTGGGAACGACATCAACGCCAGCAGCAAGCAGGCGGGGCAGTCCTTCCACGGCAAGTTTCGTGTTTTGAAGAGTAAAGTTGGCATAGGACATCACAGCGTCCAGCGGCTCACCGGTCCTTTGCAAAATCATCTCCGCCAATGAACACAGGACGTCCACCGGGTACCCCGATATCCCCACATAACGTATTGTCCCCTCCATATCACGAATTCTGCGTAGTTCTACCACTGCGCCCAGAACTTCGTCTGGCGAAACGAATTCGACATCGTGACAGTATACCACGTCGAGGTAGGCGGTCTGAAGTCGCGATAAGCTGCGCTTAATGCTCTTTCGGATCCATGCAGGTGAGTAGTCGAAGGATTGCGCCGCGATTCGACCAACCTTGGTGAGGAGACGGTAGGAATATCTAGGGAACTGGGTGCGAACGAAGTCAGTGGATAGAGCACGACCTAGCAGTTCCTCCGCTGGTCCATAGTATGGTGAAGTGTCAAAGGCTCTGATTCCGGCCGATAATGCGCGGTGGACTATGGCAGTCGTGGGGAGGACGTATGGATCGGCATTGTACTGGGAGTTAAAGGTTGCGGTTCCGCAGATGATTGGCGGTAAATCCGACGAGAGCGGTATAGAAGGCTTCCCCATGCCTTTCAATTAAGAAATATATCACTCAATTAGGAATAAGAGGCTGCGATGAAGTAGTTCTGCAAGTGGGCTGTTTAATAAATGATGGGTAAATAGTCCAAGCCTGCCGCTGCTAGATAACGAACGTTTTCCCCACACTGAAATTCTCAAAGAGTCGGATAAAACGGACAGTAAACTTGGAAGAAGATAGCTAAATAGGATGCACACTCTGGACGCCTTTTTTAACACCACCACAAGCTGGTTAGTAAGTTAGCAAGGGGAAAATGATTCATATTTAATTCATATTATCATTATCAACCAGGAATGCTATGGGACCTCTTTGAACCTTAGGGAGAAAAAATTTGATTATCCATTTTTATATAAGTTGTTGGTGAGCGTTAGTTAACCCCACCAAGATGGTCAGCATCTGGTCGCTATTTCGTGGGAAAATATTCTTCCTCCGGTTAGACTAGAATTGAGAGAGAGTATACCTGAGGACTTGAAAGATGAAATCATGGGTTATACCGGCGCTGTCTCAAGCGGAATAGCTAGCAAAGATGATGGTGGTTGCGTAGTTGTTAGACGGGGGGACTAGAGTTGAAAGATGAGATAATCTTGAAAGGTTGAGTGAGGTGCAAGGCGAAAGTTGAGCCTCAAAGATTATCAGATCTGATAAAGGTTTGACAGTAGAAATTGGTTGATTGTTGTCCTGGATATTCTTATTGATTCAGTTTATACTCATTTTCCAACCTCTTCCAATTGTGAAACTTGACGGTAGTTATGGTTTGCTATAAAGCTATATGGAGGAGTACTGTTGTTCTGTCACCTAAACATCCATTTCCGATATTTCGATCCATCTTCGGATTCGTATTTCTCAGCCAGATACAAGCAAACCGCATCTCCCCCATTCGGGAACCCGCATTTTCTTTCCATTGTCTTCATCTTCTACCTCTTCTCATCTCTACACCCCTGATCATCTCCAGCGTACACAAAATCTCAGAAACCAACATTTATAATACATGAACATCCCCGCAACGAAATGAAGTCTATCAAATCAATAAGAGTGGAGAAATCCAGTTGATAATACATGGGGAAAACAACAGCGGGGAAAGTTCCCCTATTCTCTAGTGCCCTTCCACATACATAACCAGAAAGGAAAGGGAAAAATAAAGAAGATCTTTTATACAAGCAGCCTGTTCACACTCCAAGGTTTCGGGGTATCCAGGAAAATTAGAATGTATCGGTGTTTGACTCGGCAATGCCGTGCAGTAGCACAAGTAGAGTAATGTGCACCAGTTGAAAGGAAAGTGAATGCGGTATAAGGCATCGGAACAAACGCTGGGAGGTAAGAGAGGCGAATGAGCGCATGGCCTAGCCCATCTAAGGCTAAGAAAAAATCAAGGAAAGGGGAGAAAAGAATCCGTAGACGCCCATGCTATGCTGTGAAAAATAGGGGGAATAAACAGTGACATGGTAACAGAAAATAGTGGTGTAGTGGTAGTTGTCGATGCCGTAAACGAGAAAGAAATTCCCAAGTAGGTCGTAGGGAGTTGACGAGTTCCCCTCCTCCGAAAGTGGGAATACGATATTCAAAGGTTATCGGTCTTTATACACTTTAGGTTTCCACCCCTCCTTAATTTCCTTTTCCATAGCAGCCTTCCGCCCCGCCTCTCGCACCTCCATCTCAATGCGCTCTCTCGCGCGCAGAATCTTGCTCTGGAGGTAAAAGCTGCCCCCCTTCTTCGGGTCGTTTAGGTCGAACAACTTCTTGAAGCGCTCCATTGTGTATTCCAGGTTCGCCTCGCCCCCCATCGGTGGTTTGACGTTCAGGATTTTGCAGGCTTCATCGAGCGTTAGGCCCGACGACGCGAAGTTGTTGGCTGAGGTTACATTTCCCTTTTGCGCCTGGGCTGCATATTTCGACGAGGCTGAGGCTTGCTTGTATGCCTCTGCAAAGGCCCGTCCAAAGACCCGACCGCCCGTAAGGACTATCTGGGCGACAATCCGGTGCGCCTGGAGAGAAGAAGGTTTGTTAGTTATTGATTCGATGTGTGGAGGCAAGATGTAGAAAGAATGTATTAGGGAGAGCGAAAGCGTACCATCCCAATCCGTCACAGAAGGCCCGTTAAATCTTCTACCTCCCGACAGACCACAATAAGCGAGTGGGGTGCAAGAACGTGGATGTGCTGTTTGGGAGATTTGGATGTCGTTGCTTGCCGCAGAAGAATTCGACTTTGATCTTCAACTTACTTAACGGGGTTCGGAATACGGATTTCTCCTTTAGGTTTAGCGTGATCTATTAAACTCCTCATTGTACGGTTCAACGATAATCCGACGTTCTTGCCCCGAAAACTGCAGATATTATGCAAAAATGGGTTATTACCGCGAATTCCATTTTAGAGCTATCTGTTGAGTTATACATAATTTATGTTATTCCATCCTGTCGGTGCAAGCTCTAATGCGCGCGATAATTTAGCCAACGTAATTCCCAACTTGAGTGGATCATCAAATTGAAAAATGCAATCAATTTATCAATCTATCTCCTGTGACATATCAAAATGCCATTAATTTGCAATAAAAATTAAATAGCTCTCTAGAATTAGAGGGAAAGATTGAAAATTGCAATTAGTATCTTAAAAAATTAAGGAAATCATCTCTATTTGTGAAGTAGTTAAGATTTTGTAATATTTTATACTTTATTTTTATCCACTGATTGAATAATTATCTATATATAATCATATATTAACATTTACATCAGTTGATTGAAGCTAAAAGGAATTCTTATACACTAAACGTTGAATTAAACATGAAAATATTAAATATTACAAACAGTTCTATGTTGAAAAGTAATGGTTACTTTATAAATATACTATATAAAAAAAGTTAGCATTGAGAAAGAGGAAAAAGAAAGATAAAGTAAAATATGTAAAAATAAAAAAGTTTCAAATATTTATAAGCTTATTATTTGTAAATTACTATTATTGTTTATACGTGTACTTAAGTCAGTGACTATAATGAGCTTATAAATGTAATTGTGATTTCAAAACATGATTGACGCTCACATTATCGTCCTCATATTTTGATCAATTGACAAAGGTACCAATAATGCACGTGATTCTCCTGCCTGCCAACTGTCCCCGCCCAAGGTTGTTGAGGCTTAAGCTGGCAAGAACTAAGGAATTTCCAAGGTTCAAGGGTTTGATGATAGGGAGACACTACATCAAGATAAATAACATATTAAGGCCCACTTCTGCCAACTCACACTAACTAACCAGCATCACGACATACATCATCGCTGATGCTAAAGCAGAGTGTTGTCTGTTCCTCATAGCGTCATCTGTACCGCCCAGAATGACCCCTGTCTGGGCAGGTGGATAACGGGCTCCTGGTTGTATGGCAGCTATCGGTATCTCCACCCCGCATAAACGCCTATATCATAACCCCCAAGCTCTATTCTGATGCTCATACCGATGTTTAGAGACCCCTTGGGTAGATTCCATGTCCTCGACACCCTATCCGCAGGACGATGGCGCTCCGGCGGTCCTTGCGGCCGCCGATGGGGCTCCACCCACAGTCGCTGCCTTCGCTCCCACTACTATCTCAGGCTTGTCGTTGGCCTCGAGACAGCGTTCTACTATAGTCGTCCATAGGAAATCCCCTCTCCTGGTGGCCACTCCACCCCCGGTCACACGCGCTTTGGCCTACTCTCACCCATTCCTTCTCCCGCTCAATAGACTGGCAGGGCTGCTTTCATGGACGACTGGGGATCCTTGGGAGAGCTTCCTTTTAGTTGCTTGTTTTTGTGCAACTGTTTTATACGGAGATGTTATTCTTCTCTGGGCTGGACCTCTCCTGGTTGTACTGGGGCTGATATTGGCTATGTAACTCGCGTCGATATTCTCCCTTGTCGTCAACTGGTCTTACCGGAGAAAAGCATGGGAATCATGGAGTAGGAGACGGCGCCTCCCAGCACCTTAAGAGCTTAGATGAAATCGTAGAAACTCTGAGGACGTTCACCACG